GCCTAATGAATGTCAACCTCATATGTCTTAGACTTTGAGCTCGCTCACGCCTACCAGTAGGTTGTGTCCATTTCGTGCCATTGGGGGCTGTAAGCTCAATTGATTGTGCCATATTGGTATATGTGGATATGAGAAAATGAGTGTTAAACAGTAACGAAAATTGCATTCAATGATGGGAAATATGTCATATGAACAATGTTGGACATCTAAGGTCTTTCATATCTTGCGCTCATCAAATAGGACTCCATCAAGGCAACCCCGCACTGAGGCTGAGCGGAAGTTTGTCTCATAATTTGATCTCGTCATGACCATCATCCTGATCCGATGAAAAATGCCCATCGCACTTCCTAAAGCAGACAAGACCTAGATCAAGTCGCATTGCTGGCGACATGTAAAGCATGCGGGTCTCGATCGGCACATTTGAACTACGAAGCGCGGCAGCAGACCCAAGTCTCTTGAAAGGCTTTTTTTTGGCATCATTCTCGCTGATTTTCCGGAGTATGTACAATCTTTACATTGGCCAGTGATCTATTCAGGTGATAAGATAGCCTCAATAGCTTCGTGATCGGTTTTGCCTGTCAACTTGCCGTCTTCGGTATAGTGCCATGCTAAGGCAAAAGCTCCACTCTCAGGGCCCAAACTTCCGATCGACGTCTCGACTACGCCAGCACGCGCGTTAACATTGCCCTCCAAACTTCTTCCTCCGGTATAGTCGTTGTTCGGAGCTTCAAGACGCTTCTGCTTGGTGACAGACAGGTTAGCGAGAGATAAGCTTTTACTCCACCAAAGTCACATGTGTACGCTTTGCACGCGAAACCTGGGGCCCCGGACGACGATCAGAGGCCTATCAACCTTCCAAACTGAGGCATAGCTGATTATTCAACATCGCTTATCAAGACGTGACACTATGACGAGTCGTCAGGCGTGCGATCAGTGCATGCTCAAGCTGGAATCAATGCAAGGGTAGTCTAGGGTAAAGAGCCAGCATGAATGACATTCCCTATCTGTGGATATGGACCATCATCATATCTTATCATGGCGAACGCCACGTTGTTAGACAAAGATACGCTAGGGATGTACGAGATGAGTTGAAACTGCTCGTGATGGCTATATTCGACCACTTCGTACAGACCCTCAACTTCACACTCTTTCTACTACTCCTTCAAAATCGGAATCCAGTTCTTTCTCATCATGTTATCGTCTACCAACGAGAAAAAGCTCGGAAAACCTATGAGCCCTGTGACTACCCGTGAGGAAGGCATCGTTGAGCACGTTCATTTGGGTTACAATGCCCAGCTTACGAAGAATCGGTCATTGATCTCTGTTCTGGGGATGTGCCTTGCCATCGTTGCAGTGCCGTATGGTATTGGTGGTCCTTTGTGAGAATTGCCCCTACACGAACTGCATATGAGACATAAACTGACTTCGTACGCGTACGTTGTAGGATGAGCGCCATCTATGGTGGTGGTCAGCTCTCCATATTCGTCGGTGTCCTCGTCGTACTCTTCTTCAACGGCTGCGTGGCCATCTCACTCGCGGAGCTAGCATCTCGGTATCCGACATCGTCTGGGGTGTATTACTGGTCATATCGGCTATGCGGCGAACGCAAAGGAATACGCAAGATTGTGTCGTTCTTGACGGGCTGGTTCTGGCTCATCGGAAACTGGACGATTGCGCTTTCTGTCAACTTCGGGTTCGCTTCTCTCATCGCTGCGACGATCTCGGTTCACAACCCAGAGTGGATGGCATCAGACTGGGAACTGCTGCTCATATTCTATGCGCTGTGCATGTTGGTATTCCTTGCATGCTCGTTTGGAGATAAACTGTTGCCGTACGTGGACTCCGTGGCCGCTGTATGGAACTTTGTTACCATCATGGCACTGCTAGTTGGTTTACTGGTTCGCGCACAGAAAGGCCGTCATTCTGCCTCTTACGCCCTGGGGAACTACGACAGTAGTTTCTCAGGTTGGGGTACAGGCTTTACCTTCTTCATCGGCCTCCTCCCACCTGCGTACGCTTTCTCTGCCATCGGCATGGTAACATCGATGACAGAAGAGTGCGCCCAGCCTGAGGTCGAAGTCTCTCGCGCTATCGCCCTGTGCATACCCTTTGGTGGCATTGCTTCCCTGCTGTTCGTCCTACCGTTATGCTTCGCGCTTCCACCACTCGAAGACATCCTCAATGCACCTTATGGCCAAGCGCTACCATACGTCGTATACTCCATCATGGGATCGAAGACTGGAGCCTTGATCTTGATGATAATGATCCTATTCGTTACACTCTTCTGCGCTATCGCAATTACAAACGCTGCTTCCCATTGCACATGGGCGTTCAGTCGCGACAAAGCGCTTCCCCTTGCTAGCCTCTGGACATGCACCTTCGCCGACCGACCAATATATTCTCTCACGCTCGTCACAGCCGTCGAAATGTTGCTTGGTCTGATTAACCTAGGTTCCAGCAGCGCTTTCACTGCTTTCGCATCCGTAGGCGTCATCGCACTTGCCATTGGGTACCTCATTCCTATCACCATCTCTCTCTTTACCGGTAGAAAGGAAGTCGCACATGCAAAATGGAACTTAGGCAGCCTGCTTGGCACCACAGCGAATATTGGTGCCATCGCATGGATCCTCTTCGAGATGGTGTTGTTTAGTATGCCAACCGTACTTCCTGTTACGGAAGTCTCTATGAACTACGCTAGCGTTGTGTTGATTGGTTTTGCTTGTTTGAGTGCGCTGTGGTATGCGGTTTCTGGTAGGAAAGGTAAGTACTGAAAAGACACCTGTACAATGAAGCATGGCCGGATACTCTACTGACAACATTCAGAGTTTAATGGTCCTCCTGATGAGGTTTACAATGTTCATTAAGGCTTCAAATCTCTCATAGTCTTCGCTGTCGGAGAATACATTCGGCTTTAGGCTCCTTTGATTGAAAAATCACAATTAGTCCTAGTGATACAAATATGCAGCACTTGATTACAAAGCCGTGTCGGTAGTCGATAAATTTTACCCATGGTGATTGTGAACATTGTGAAATATATTTTCCCATCTTCAGCAGAATCTCTGCTTCGCTGCTTTGATTTTCATGTTAACTCAAAGATAATGTAAGATACAGTTCCGAAGGGCTGACGTGATATACCCTAAGCGTACTGATAAGGATGATCTCTTTGTTTAGACATATCAAATACTGCAAGCGTATATCTGATTCATTGAGCGTTGGGTAAGGATGGCACACTCAGTGACAAGGGAAACCAGGTAGCAGGGAAAGCCTGTATCTAGCAATGAGGTATGGGTTCTAGATTGTTTTCCAACACAAACATCCATAAGGCAATCAGAAGGGAAATTCACCTTCCGGTTTCTCCAACACCCCACCATCAACCTGCTTCTTATGTTCTTCATCTAGATATGGAAGGAGCAATCCCTCCCAATGTTCTCTTCCCTTGTAGTAGCTGACAGTCTCGTCCCAACTCCTGATCGCCTCTGCCAACCGTCCTGGAACATGCGGCTCTTTCGCGATAGTAGTAACCGGCTCGAAGTATGTTCGGATGGTAAAGAGTAGGGCTTTAGACTTCGGAAGACGTCGAAGCGATTGCCTTTCCGAGCGGAAGTGGATATCTTCAACACGAAGACCTTCGGAATTGGCGGTAGCCCATGAGGCAACTGTATTGGAGTTTTGGTCGCCCATACGGTGGGACCACGCAAGACCGTCATCGAGCTGGATGAAGAACTACAGCTGATCAGCACAGGAAGCTTGTAAGGTGGAGCGGGTATCTTCGTTACGTTGTTCCGAATGACAGGTTTTTCACACGTCATGTTGGCAAAGAACCGGTTCATCGCCTTTTGTAATTTCTCTTGATAATGAGGTACCCCAGCTTCGATGTGAAGCTCGTCGAGCGACATGCGGTACTTCTCAGTCAAGCGCCAGAAGCCAGGTAAGCAGACCGCTCCGGCATCTATGTGGTAGTGGCCATCGTCGTTGAGTACCATAACTACAAGATCGTCCTGCACAAGCTTTGCTGCTGTGACCATAGCCTCCGTTGGGTTTGATGCCGGATATTGAAACTCCTCAGCAGTAATCGTGTTACGAAGGATGTTGCCGTGCAATTGAAAGACTTCCGGGTAGCGATGTGTGAGATACTGTGTCAACTCTTCCAGAACCTCAAAGCAGGCTAGTCGTGTGACTTCGTTATCGACATATTGCACGCGAGATGCAACATCCTTCTCAAGCTCGCGTACCTTGACGTCATGATAGGGGATGAAGTTTGAATCCATCTCAATCCATTCGTTCCAATGCATCTTTCGAATGCCCATAGTAACGAAGTTTGGACCATGGCGGAACGGTCGGTATAGTTTGGGATCTGTAAGCTCCAACTTGTAGCCTTCCGCTGGCCTAGGCAATGGTGTTTTGAACGGTATGGATGACACTTGAGAGGGTCAGTGTCGTCCACTTGAGCAAGATGATTAGATGGCCGCACCTTTGTGTTTCTCATAGTGAGCTTGAGGGAGGATGCTGCGCTTATTGCTTTGACTCCGCCATAGTAGCGAAAGTACAAGCAGAATCACACAAGTCGCGAAGCCTAGAGGCGTAAACACAATCTCAGATGGAACCATATCCGCACTGTGGTAGTGGTATTTTTGCACACTGACTTCGGCAGTGTTGTAAGCAGAAGACAAGACACGTTAAATGCTAGAGTATTGGAAATAGACATTGACAACGGCGAATGACACCACTGGTGGCTATCTACATCTCTAGCGCAAGGTCGCCTGCATAGGTTTGCAAGAAATGTGGGTCGAGAGAGCTGGACGCTGTACTTGCCAGACCTGGCATAGCCTGAGCTGTGAGATACCGATACGCTAAACCCCGGATCCACACCTCGTGGCAAAGATGATGCCTGCGAACCTGCCATTTCGGGAAATTTCATTGGCCCCGTGGGATTGTTCGTATCTGCGATGAGAACCTGTCTGCTTGCATCGGACATAGATCGTGAAGATGCTGCATCAGAAACACTGGGGATAGCGGCCCAATGACAGCGAACTCGCCTATACCAAAGTGAGGCAAATTCCGGGCAATTTCGAATCGCTGGACTTTTGTATGAACAACTCGGTCTTAGTTCAGGACTCGTCCTCGTTATGAAGTAGCCCTTGTATGCGTGCCACTTGAATGCGTGCCACTTGAATGCGTAGCGAAGTGGATCAGAGCTGTTTTGCGTTGACTCGATACTTGACCCATACAGCAGAAACATGACCCATACGTTGCGAGGGCATATAAGAAGCCGCCAACTGCGTAGATGTGTTAAGAGCAACTTCAGACAAACGTATACCACGCTTGACAAACTTTACGACATATTTGGTCAATTCCGTACGATCTAATCGTATCTTCTACATCAAGATCTCCAGTATGCCTGCAACATTCGGAAACTATGCGGGTACAGAATCGAAGTCGAAGGCTTTCCATTATTCCCAAGCTGTCAGAGTAGGGAATATTGTGCGGATATCAGGTCAGGGTGGCTGGGATACGGAAGGAAACGTAGCCCCGGATGCTCCAAAGCAGGTCGAACTAGCGCTGGAGAATATTGAGAAAGCTCTTCAGTCGGTCGAAAAGAGTCTGTCTTGGAGAAACGTCTACGCTATTCGATCGTACCACACAAACATCGACGAGTCTGCTGACATGTGCATCGAAGGCTGGCGGCGGGTTATGCCTGATCACCGGCCAGTGTGGACATGTGTCGAGATTACAAAACTTGGTATTGAAGGCATGCAAATCGAAATTGAGGTGGAGGCCCTAGTTGAGTAGGAGTACGGGACCGACGGTTGAAGAAGATGGGCTACAGTGACCAAGAAGTCCATTGTATCGTGGGTGGTCGCCCCCTGGACGTCCTTTCGTTGACGCGCAATGCGCATGCATTTGGGATGAGCGATCGTAATCTTCTACGACAGCAAAGAACAGGGGAGTTCTGTTCAAATGACTAGTGTACACATAGCACTGTTTTTGAAACTTCCGCTCCACGTGGTAGGACTGCGAGAGGGCTCCCACAGTACCAGTAAAGTTTCTCGGACAGATAAGACAGACTCGAATCGCAGGTTTTTGTGTATAGTTTCAAGCGTGCTCATGACACAGTTCCGGTGTGCTTCCAAAAGTGAATGTGCGCCAGCTACATACAGTGGGAAAAGAGTACAGTTCTGCGCTCTAGATCTTGTATCCATGCCTTGTATGCACTCTAAGCACGCATGGACATGTTGCTGGAGGAGAAAATGGTTGGCTGGGATGTTTTGTATAGCGCTGTAAAGGTATATTAGACCAGCGTGCTGAAAACACCGGACAAGGGATAGCGATGCTGTTGCGACCGGGTGGAAAAGGTCTTGTTCCGCATCTCCATTAGGAGATGCCAGCATAGAGTATGTAGGTTGAAGCGCACGCTCAAACGCTTGCACCTTGTCAACACAAATCTCTATACCATTTTGAAGCCTGTGGTGGTAGATACTCATCTCAGACAAAGTTGACAGGACGGATCCAAGCGACTTAGTACCAGAAATAGATTCCCACCACACCGATCCAGGCTCCATGTGCTCCCAAATGGTGGGTGGGAACGAGGGTTCTCTATCTTGAAGGAGGGCATCGGTCAGATCAGTAGACGCTAGTTCCGAGAGCAACATTCTGGTGATTCTGTCTGATGACGACCACGCTGATTGAAAACCACCCATGGCGTTTATAATTGCAATCGCTCCGGCGAGGTGGCAGCGGGTCGAAGCATCATCCGACATGCAGTTGACGTAGCCTTCGAGGAAGTACAACAGCAGCACTGCGACTAGGAGTGCAGAGAGCGAGGCGTTCTCGCAATGCTCGCTACTAAGCTGACCGCGGATGGTTGACAAGCAATGAAGGCGTCTCCTATCCAGGGTCTGTTTTGAAGATCCTCGCTCTTGTAGGGCCCGGTGTTCCTCGGCAAATACACATAAGGCCTGGAGAACCGGTTGCGAGCGCATGGCAAGCGCGACTGGCGGGGGAACTGGCTTGTGGAGAGTTGAGAATAGTGGCCATAACCGTGCCTTGAAATATTCTACAGCTCTTCGCTCATTGACTGCCAGGTGGGTGCTGTTGAGGGTACGCTCTATGGACAGCTGTGGTGGACATTCGGGCACGGTTTTCGCAGGCCGCTTCTTCCATCTAAGTAGCAATTTGTCGTAGCTGCAATCTTCTGTTTTGGAGATGAAACATCGGCGGCACATAGGTTTTTGGAGATCGCATTTGACTCGTCTTTGCTTGCAAGGCCAGCACGATCCTTCAACCGTACGTCGACGCTTTGGCGGACTGTTGCCAGAGGATTCCGGGCGCGACATCTGTGTGCATGACGTGATAGTGGTCGCGGATTCGAAATTAGAGTGGCGAGATCGCAGAAGGAAAGTGACAGTAGGCGTCAAAGAGCGTTGTTTGGACTCTGAGACGGGAAGCACAAGAATGCCCACGGTGTTGATACATGAAGATCAGAAAGGGCGAGACGCCTCCAGGCCTCCGCTCATCGGCACCTCCGTATGCCGTCTGCCAAGACTGTTATTCCCGCTAAAGCCGCCACCTTAGGGCGCGCTGCAGTTGCTGCTTCGTCTCCGACTCCAACGATGCGATGCTCCTGAAATGTCGTTCGGTATGGTTCCCGTTGGATCTCATGGCGGTATGGCATTGTTGAGTTCAGGGCTGGGATCAAGACGAAACAAACAAGTAAGCAGCTTGTCGGAACTCATGCTTTTGCGTGCCGAGAAAGGCAACGCAAACGATACCTAGGTATGCAAAGTTCAACAAACTCGCTCTCCTTATCTGGAGACTTCTACTGTTACAATTCTTTCTAGGGCGGTCTGATCTAGTTGTGGCTTTTGCGATCGATACCAGCATTTCGCCTAACGCTCGACCGTCGGATCAGCCCTGCATTTTGGTTCCGAGCCGTAGTGCCAGGCTGCGCCTACAAACTGTTAGCATATTTTCTTGTTACCGTCCAGCCTGTTAGTACCTGTAGTGGTACCTGCAGAAAAGCGCAGTCAGCACAAGTACCGAAAAGACCCTCGCTTTTGACAGTTTCTACATGCGCGTCGAGGCGTGTTCCAGTCTACACTACTCTCAACATCAGCGTCGGGAATGGTATTGAAAAGGTGAGTTGACGCTAAGGCTTGGGTACCAAGATCAGTCGCAGAACAAGCCACCTTGCTGAATCAGTAGAGTTTGCAAGGCAGTAAGCTGTCTGACCTGCTGTGCCGATGCTGTTGCACACAGTTGGAAGTCTCGTGACGGCTCCGGCTCTCCACAGCATCGGCTGCTCGACTAAGCTAGTGTGGTCGATCTCCCTGTTCAGCCTCTCCACGTATGGTCAAGTGATTGAAGACTCAGCGCTATCTTTTCTATCGCTATCATCACTCGATCCTTGGGTACGAACGACGACATTCCCATGTCGCTTGCTTAAGGCGATGTCGCAAGACAGCTCGATACTACTTTTTTTCCCCAAGAGCCGTAACATAGGTAAGGGGAAGTGAGTCTCAGCTGCTGGTACTGGCTCCCACTAGCTGAAGCACAAACGTACCGCTTAGTCATTTCACAAATGGCAGGAGCCGGGACTGCAAGGCAAGTGATGCGCTTGCTTTTTGCGGATCGTGGGTTCAGGTCCCGGATTTTCATGCGGAGAGTATTGAGCCTTGCCATGCCAAGCAAGCATGCGAGCTTCGGTACCCAGTCCAGCAAGGTCTGGGCAAGCCACCATGCGCCTTCACGAGAAGATACGACATGATCGCTGCCTCGTAGCAATCTAGACAACGAGTACGGAAGCTAGCGGTGATGGAGAATGGCGATGTAGTACCCTCTTTCTCGGCAAGGAGCGTTTCCGCAGCTGCGCATCGGTGGCAACCGCGCAGTATGCGATGGTTGCAAGCTCTCGCCCGCTCGCTATGGCCTGCACTTGCTTGTCGAATGGCGAGTGCTTCAACTCATACTCGTTGAGCAAGATTCAGTATCTGCAACAGCTAGACCGTTCTTCAACGCGCCGCTTCGGAGGCTTGGCATTTTCCTTCTGGACTCTGCGGCGACTATTGGACTGCCAACACTTCTCACCAGGAGCCGGAGACTACTTGTCTCCAAAGATCACTAGTATAGGCTCGGCCCTGCATATCGTAGTCATGACCATCAGCTGGTAGCTGTTTGGCCATGTTCTCTTAACTACATCGCCTTGGAGCGGCTGGCTTGGCTCGAAGCTGCAGGGGTAGATTACTATTTCGAGGACCGAGCTGTATCTTTCTAGTCGACGTGGCTTGCCGTGGCCTCGACTGCGCTGTGCCCTGCTTCCGTGTTAGACGTGATCGACCAGGCTGAAGCCCTTAGGGTTTGTACACGACCGCTGTAGTAGACTGTTGCGGGATATAAGGATGTTCTAAACACCTTATCTTTTCGTTCCTCACCAGTTCATAGTTGCCCATCCCTCGTTGGCTCCTTTAGTAATTTGTTCATACTCTTGTCAGTCGTTACATATTTTCACTTTCAACATGGTCCTAAGTAAATCTCTGGCTTTGCCTCTCCTCGCTTTGTGCTCTATAGCTTCATCTACTCCATTGGAACAACGCGAAGCTGCACCGGGCCTCATCGATAACATCCTTGGCGGTGGGGATCTCTCTGGTATGGAACAGCTTATTGCTGATGTTCTGTCTGGCAAGAGATCGCCTATCGACAACACTAAGGCGAACAAGCCGGTGACATGCTCGTTGTTCAGCGTCGACAAATGCTGTGTTTGTGAGTTCTGACAAACCTTTCTCGATCGTATCGAAGTACTAATAGTTTTCAGGGTATGATGTCTCTGCCGAACTCACGAAACATTTCGTCGGAGCCGACAAACAATGCAACGATAATGCTCGTGCTGCAGTTCGTATGGGTTTCCATGATGCTGGGTCTTGGGACAAAAATGCTCCCAACGGTGGTGCCGATGGATCGCTACTGATGGACTTTGGCGAAGAGGACCGACCAGAGAACAAAGGCCTTCAAAATATTCGCACACTACTTCGTAGTGTACAGGCCAAGTACAAGGTTGGGTACGCCGATCTTGTCCAATATGCGCATAACCATGCCACCGTCTCATGCCCGAAGGGTCCACGCGTACTTGCCTTCGTTGGCCGCAAAGACGCTACAAAGGCTGCGCCTACTGGTCTCCTACCAGATGTTCGAGATGATGCCGACAAGATGATCGAACTCTTCAAACAGAAGGGTTTCTCAGCACACGATCTTGCAGCCCTCGTAGGCGCCCATGCAACAGCCAAACAACGTTTTGTCGACCCTACTTTCGCGGAGAAGCCTCTCGATACGACTCCTGGTGTTTGGGACGTTGAATTCTACAATGACACACTTAACAACCCCGCGGGTATCTCCAAAGACCAAAAGATCTTTGTACTCCCAAGTGACAAGGTGCTGTCAAAACATCCTAAGATCAACGATGAGTGGAAACTCTATGTCGGCAACCAGGTCCATTGGAACCTGGACTATGCGAAGGCGTACATCAGGATGAGTTTGTTGGGTGTAGAGAAGAAAGACCTGCTCAAGTTGACTGACTGCACGAAGACCTTGCCCATCACCAAACCTTCATTTCCTTAGTATATAGATTTTCCAATACCCCCTACTTGCGTTGCGGTATAATTTAATGGTTACTATTAGTATAGATTTTCGGAATCGATCTGCATGTCGTTGCGTAGACTACGAAGTCAATATTGGCACAGATTTCATTACCAATTTCTTTGTGTGCACCTGTCGTATGTGTCGTCCTCAAGATATTTGCATTCTACTCTGTGAACTATCCGAGGTCCTTAGAAAGAAATTGGGCAACGGCGCTGACCACGAGACCGATCAGAACGCGGAGGGCAAGTCGACAAGAACCTTCTTCCTATAGTCACATTAGCAACCTTGTGATTTATTACGCTTTGTTAGCATCCTGTCTTACATCAAAATACCATCGCCACAAGGATCATAGTCTACCCAACGGGGACAGGTGGGGTGGCTGACATAAGCAACAGACTGGCAAGGGTCCGGGTCAGACGAGTCGAGCTTGCTTGTTTGTAGTGCGGAGAGTAGCTCACAAACGTCACGGCCGGCACACGAGCGTCACCACCACCACGATCCATCCGCACACTCGCAGACCGAGACCCAAGCTCGAACCACGATACGAGTGAACCAAACGATAGCGAAGGACACAATGGCAACTCAATTCTTGAGGGCGGCCGCTCGCGCCGGCGTTCGATCACCCATGGCTGCTTCCCGCGGATTCCAGACAAGCGCGGTACTGAGGCAGGATGCTGTTGTCGCGCCAGTCAGGAAGCCCGTTGGTGCCTTTAGGGGAGGGTGAGTGCCCCTCTTGCAGTTGTATTAGCAGATGTTGCCATAGGTGGGATGGCTATACACCTATTTGGAAGCTTGTCGTATGCCAGCAGATAAACCCGAAGGCGAAGCAGCAGACTTTTTGGTAACACACTGGAACAAGAGGATATGGCTAACGTACGACAGATTGTTTGGGTTCCTTCTCGGTGCGACGACATCCGGTGCAGGCATGTACTACTATGTCATTGACGAATACCGCGTGTCAAATCAGCTCTTGACCGAAGACATCTACGTACGTCATTCACATCTACCTTCTCTGCGCATGTTTGCGGATGAAATAACGATATATGGGGGTCGCCTGGGGAAGCGGGCCATTGCTAACGAGAACAGGCTCTCCAATCCGCGGTCCAACGGATAGAAGGCTATGTCCGCACCCTCGAGGACAAGGTCGATGCGAAGAAGCGATAAAGAATTCACCAAGTACCCACCGAATGGCGAATACACAGCAGATTGTGAGGGAGACGTTGAGGAAGACATGCACGAGTGGGGCAGGCAGTATCGCGCGCTGGACCGGCGGAATGGGACGCACATGTACATTACGAGATTGGTCTCTGCCGTGTCATTACGAAAGCGGGCATTTGTCGAGTGTCTATTTTATACCAAACACATTTCAAGTTGATCATGCTGATGTCTTTGGTACTAGTGACAAAGTCACAGCGAACGGGTATTGCATTGTAACATCAAGTATTGCGTGTAAACTCCAACTACAATTTCGGCATCGTCCTCCCGCTGCTACACAGCTACTCTTGCTATTGCATATGACGGTGTAATGACACAACTATGCTTACGCCATGTTGTTTCATTCATAAGCGTGTTAGCTCCAATTTTGATCATAACAGATGCAATTCTATATGTGCTTCCATCCGCATTTCAATCCATCGTCTACGCATATCTCTGTGAGCAACATCCCTATCAAAATCAGTACCTAACGCCTACCATGTTCCATGACGCCAAATGCATCCGAACATCTGACATACGCCATCGCCTTCACAATATCGCAAGCGGCGCTATCCATTCACACTTCGGAGGCGTGACTGGGATGTCCTCATCATCGTTAAATCGTCCTAGTTGCGACACGCGCTTATAAATCTCCTCCAAAATCCTACCCTGCTCGCCATCATACTCCTCTGGTTTGCCCTCTTTGTAACGGTCCTTCGGGTCGATTGGCTTGCCATCTGGTGTGACGCCCTCAACATGGGGACGTGCTGCCGAGGTAGGCTGTGCAATTGAAGGCAGCTGAGAGGTAGCTTGAGCAGGAGCGGGGGGATTGTTAGGTTGATTCTGTGGTTGAGTTGCAAAAGGAGAGGGAGAAGGTGTGGAAGTTGCTGGAGCGGCGGATGTCTGGGGTTTAAGGAAAGGATTAGCAGCTGCTGGCTGCGTCGCGTTGTTTTGCGGCTGTTGGGTGCCGAAAGGTGAGGGCTTGCTCGTCTGGCCGAATGCTGGAGTCTGCGATGATGCAGTTCCACCAAAGGGGTTCGATTGCGCAGGTGCCTGTGTTGATGCTTGCTGTGGCTGACCAAATGGGTTTGGCTTCTGTGCTTGTTGACCAAACGGTGAAGGCTGATTTGTCTGCTGCGCTTGCTGACCGAAAGGAGATTGACCTGACGAAGCTTGCTGACCAAACGGCGATGCGCCAGACGATGCTTGTTGCCCGAAAGGCGAGGTATTGGCACCTGGCTGAGACGCTTGACCGAATCCACTTTGACCGAATCCAGGTTTGCTGAATGGGTTTGGCTTTTGCCCTAGAGCGTTTGTCTGTCCAAATCCAGACGCCGCACCTGGCGCCGATGGCTGGCCAAAGGCCGAGCCTTGGCCCATACTGCTGGTCTGCCCGAATGCGCTTCCTGCGCCCGGCATCGACGGCTGACCAAACCCGGAGGCTCCAAATGCAGGCTTTCCGAACGCACTACCAGCACCGCCAAGCGCTGAAGGCTGACCAAAGGGTGATGGCTTTTGACCCAAAGCAGAAGCCGCGCCAAAGGGCGAAGCTGACTGGCCTGGATTTGACGCCTGTCCAAATGCTGAAGTAGCCTGACCTGGATTTGAGGTCTGTCCAAAAGCCGAAGTAGTCTGACCCAGGCTCGACGCCTGTCCAAACGCTGAGGTGGATTGACCCGGATTTGAGGGTTGACCGAATGCTGAGGTACTCTGACCCGGATTTGATGGCTGTCCAAATGCGGAGGTAGTTTGTGCTGGGTTGGATGGCTGACCGAAGGCCGGCTTTCCAAATCCTGGTGTTGAGGCCTGTCCGAACGCAGAAGGCTGCGAAGATGCTGCTGCCGCCTGAAACGGGTTTGACGGAGCTTTCATAAAAGGATTCGCGGCAGTGTTAGATGACGCAGTCGTGTTAGTCATCGATCCGCTTGCTGAAGCAGTGCCCTTGGCGATGTCGATGCGATTGGGATGGACGTCGGCACCTGCCTGAACATAGCTGATAGCCCCTGCGACGTCGTCCAAGATCGCTTTTACTTGCTGTTGCATCTTCTCGTTCAGCGCACCCTCTTCTTGTTGCTGGAGTCTGTTAGCTTTTGAGGAAACCAGAACCAGATTCCGTACTTACTGCTGTGGGCTCGTTACCGGCCGCTCGTAGCGTATAGTATCGAAGGCGGAGCTCTTCGGGACTGATTTCGACAGGCCCTTCAATAAGCTGTCGTGGAGCATCTTTCCCTGGGCCATAACATGAGAGCGGGTACGTTGGACGCTCCTTACTGAGATCGGCTTGAATGACGTCCTTGTCTAGGTTGAAAGTCGACGACTTTGATTCGCGGCTACCCCCGAATGAGCTGGACCCGCTATTGTCACCCGGACGGTAGCGATCGCCACTGAAAGCACCAAAGCGGTTGTTGTTGGAGCCTCCGCCAAAACCACCTCCCCCTCGGGCTGCATCCCGCGAACTTCCAGGGTGCTCGAATTTGCAAGCATCTGTTTCGCGTGAGGAAAAAGTCGGTACAACATGTCTGGTTGCTTACCTCCGAATTTGCAAGCGTTCCGCGGATAGAAGTTGCAGACGGTCATGTCGCCAGGGTAACTGTTTCGTTGCCTTTGTTCGGGATCAAAAGCTGTGACTCCGAGTTGACTGGGGAAATTAGTAAGATGAGGAATATTGTTTGCGTTGGAGACGCTTCGTGAAAGAAGGCAGAGTGCCTGACTGGAGATTGCGACTGGAGTGAACGGAAACTTCAGGGCGAAGGAACGCGACGCGCTAGCAATCAACGCGAGCAGAGCGCCTGGTCGTGTGCGCTTTAGACAGCAGTGAATTGTGCTGTACAAATCGCATTACTTGTACGTTACCTCTGCCCATCGAAGCTCCCTCTCGGCGCTTCCGGTCTTCTTCCTGTCTCCGCCCATCTCGATTGATGCATGTTGAATGCTAGCCCGTCACACGTGCGAAGCGGTCAACGTAGACAATGTGAAAACACAGTAGAGGAAAGAAGCGAAATGAAAGGTAACACCTACGGCAGCGCGGTAATCTCTATGTTACAGTGCACTTGTTGACAAATGTGGACTTTTCTTGTGCTCTGTCGATGTGAAGCTTTCCTCTGGGATGGCGCTCAACGTTGTCGAGGCAGGGCCAAAAGCGGTACGGGCTAGAGTGAATCTAGCATTAGCGCGTATCCCGAGCAATCGCACCAGTGGCCTTCCACGTACGCGATCATGGCATGTCTAAGCACCGCTCGATGATGCATCTTGCGCCATGTACATCCAGGCGCACTACTCCATACCGCTGTCAAACTACAGATTCGAAATCAAGACCTATTCAAGACATCTAGGCGCACATAGCTGACTGCTAGTCCCGAGCACGCGCTGTTCCCCCTAGACCGTTCCGAACTATCGCTTGGCATGACGGTGTAGATGCACGCTTTCTCTATTCTTACCATCGGAATCTTCGTTGCAGGATACTCGACTGCTCGTTGGGATCTTGTGACACGCGTCTACGAGTTAGCGATATTTGCCTGGGATCACGGAGTGGTGACAAGGACTGCCAAGGGTTTCGCTCTGCTCTCCCTGCTGTTCTTCCTCTTCATACTGCCAATTGTGCGCATCGCAACACAGGAGACGGACCTGGTCAGTATAGGCCATTCTCGCGATTGCAAGCTTTCCGCTGACCGAGTCGAACAGCACCCGCGACTTGCAGGCACCGGCATCTCTGCACGCGAGCAGCTCAAACGTCGCGGTTCCTTCTAGCGGGGTAGCAGGATGAGGACATGGTCACACACAATGGGTTGATGCGCGTATTTTGGCCATCAGACGCTCCCAGGGACTCTGCGCCGGGTGTTCTGGTAGGCTTCAGAAACTCAAAGTCGGATGTCTTTGTCGTCGGTGTGCTACAAGACGTCGAGTTGCGCCAGGTCGAGAATGCACTGCTCGTGGGAACCTTGCTGCGACACAGCCCCCACGATATCCAAGAACTACTGCAGCGATGTGGACACTCCTCTGTGCGCGCATTGGGTTCCGTTAATCCTAAGACGCCAGCCGATCAATCTGGCGCCGACCTTCTCACAGTCCATACCGACCCTTCGCTCCGTTTCCCGCGCCTTCATCACCCCGACGATGCCCTTATAACCATGCAAGTCATCGTCTACGACCGACCGCACCCAACGCGTATGCAATACCTCTCACTCAAGCCCATCACGCTGGCTCTGGGGGACAAGACAAAGGTCGCAGAATGGGACGTGGCTTTCGAAGAGCTAGAACGAGCAGAAGAGAGGGAACGTAAGAGGAAAGCACACCTTGTCGAAAAGCTGAAGCTACACAGAGTGATTGCACATCCTCGCACACAGAAAGAGCTGGCATTGCCCATGATCATTGAGCAGGTGAACTGTTCGTACGAACTGAACGCCCTACTGCAGAAGAATATTGGCATGATTGGCAGACGCATGAAGCGAGCTCTGAGTGTCAGTGAGCGCGTCGTTGAGTCGGCCAACGATCTCTGGGACTACATCTGGCTTGTACTCCACTATGCATTCAGAGTCTGGATATGGCCCATAGCTGCGCAGTTGTTCATTTTTGGGCTGATTACACACCGTATAATGGGCGAGGCAGTTCTTCAGGTTCTGCATTGGCGGCCAGGCTCTTCTGACTCGCCAGCCCTGAAAGACATCTCTGCAACAGCACAGCAGATCGACATCAGATTGCAACAGTCTTGCTACTGGCCCATCCAGTATCTCACCTTGCGCAGAAGGAAGATCAATTGGGAAAGCATCACCAACAGTCACCCAGAATACATCAGATTCTACAATAGCCTTTGGCTGGTTGCTAATGATGTCATAATGGGCATTGCTGTCGGAACATTCATCATCGAGAATGCTTCATTCGTGGCGGCTCAAGTCGACACCATTTTCAGCACCTGGTCGGTCGACGGGCTACGGCGTATGATATCATGGCTCATGGGCTGGCCTGGAGGCTTGAAGTTGAACACTGAGTTGGCTGCATTCCTTGGCGACCTGTTTCTGTGGGTCATCGACTACTGGGCTGGTATGTTCGTTCTACTGTCATTCAAGAGTTTTTACTGACTAGACTTTGCAGGCTGCATATCACTCTTGCGACCAAATCTGCCTGCGCTCGTCCAGATCATCGGCTTTTCAGCTTTTGCTGGCGCCACTATGCCCATCTCAATCTTTTCAGATCTCGTCTCACTATTGACGTTGCATATTTACTCATTCTACGTCGCATCTGCCCGCATCTTCCATTGGCAGCTAACTATCATCATATCGCTCTTTCACCTCTTCCGTGGGAAAAAGCGCAATATTCTCCGTAATCGGATCGACTCATGCGACTACGACTTGGACCAGCTGTTACTTGGGACAATTCTTTTCACACTGCAATTCTTTCTACTGCCGACAGTGTTCGTCTTCTACCTGACATTCGCAAGCGCACGCATTGCAGTCATTGGCCTGAAGGCCGCGTTGGAGATGGGTTTGGCATGCCTTAATCACTTCCCGCTCTTCGCAGTCATGCTCCGGCTCAAGGATCCCGGACGACTGCCCGGAGGGATATACTTCGAGCTTCAAAACACTACCGATGCTAGCTCTAACACGGCAGGCTCGGTAAACTCACCCCCCACTGCCTACGTGCTGCTAAAAGTATGTCGATTTTCACGAAGGTACACTGAGTATGAACTAAAAGCATGCAGTCAATCCCATTATCTCTTCGCGCCATGTTCCAACCTTACTTTGACCTAGGCGATCGCATACGCAAGCACTATTTCTCGCCTAGTGTCTTGCTATGTCTAGTTTCCGGACAATTTGTTCCACCTATTCACCGCCGCAACCTGTATAGCTTACAGTACAGCATGTTACCCGCAAAAAGGGCAAGCATAGGCGAATTGTGGAGAAAGTTGACTGAAAGGAGTGGGAGAACATCATCACACGAGCTGAACGGGTATGCCGCAATGCCACTAAGGAGAGACATACAAAACGGGAAAATTAGAAAAGATAAATAAGAGTTTAAATTCTCTACAGACATCACATGTCTTCATTCATCATTATCCTACGTGTCCTACATCTTGTTCAATTTTTCTCGTAGGAGCCCGCCCGCTTCTACCAAGGACAAGGAGAGTGTTATGGTAGATTGAGTGCCTCTTTTGGTACTAGAAACTCCACAATCAGCTGCAGTGAGAAGGTGTTGCGTCATTAGAAATCTAGATGAAGCAGAGCGCCCCTGTCAAGGCTTATACCCCATTGCAGGTTCATTCGCTACGCCTCCAGACATAGCCAAATGGAATGCAGTACTAGTTTCCTAATTGCGCTCACGCTCACCGTCACGTTCACTTTCACGTTCACTTTCACGTTGAGTTTCCATGACGCAGGGCGTCCAACAATGAATCTATGAATGCTTTCGTTGTACGCTTACGACCTCACAGTCTTCTCACTCCTCCATCGTCAACTGTGATTTTCTGCAATACTCAGTCATCAAAGAAACTTCTCACAATGGCGACCAAAGACGCCGTGCAGACTTCACAAGTCGGTCGTATGAAGTAAACCATTCTATACAACTGCCCAATAATAATTTCAAGACTGACTTACTTACAATTGTAGATTCGACCCTTCTTCGTTCTTGCTCGTTCGCGTGGGCTGTGATTCCTCTCAACAAGAATTCCTACTCCATGAGGGCATTCTTTGTGCACGTTCAGAGTTCTTCCGCCGCGCTCTAAATGGCAACTGGATTGAAAAGAAGGAACGACTTGTCAAGCTACCCGAAGACGATCCCCAGACTTTCGCATTCTACGTCAGCTTCATCTACACCAATGTGATATTCGACGCTACAGCCCTCCAAACCATGACACCGGACGAGTTCCAAGCACACATCCTAGCTGTTGTCAAACTCTATGTCCTAGCCGAAAAGCTGCAAGACAGGCAAGCCAAGAACGAGGCTTTGCGGACCGTGCTCAGCGACACTGCAGAGCGATCGTTTGCCGACAGTCTACCTAACGCCGAAATTGTTCAGTTCATGTACAACAACACCCTACAAGGTAGCCTTGGACGACGTCTCATGGTCGATCTCTGGAACGACGTACACGCGACGAGCATCATTGAGCAACGTGAGGGCATCTGCAAGGAGTTCTTTGTTGATCTCGCCCATGCACTCCTTGGTGAACGTCCTTCGCGAAAGCGGAACGGGGCTCTGTCCTATGGAGCCAAGGAATATTGCGAGGAGCTGTGAGGTTTTCCGTATGACATTCATCATATGGATTACCAGAAGAAAATCGTTTGTCCAATTGGCATGACAGAAACAGATGTGGGTTGGCGTGGGAAGATTCATGTCTGTTCACGAATTCCCGATTTTGACATTAGACCAAGGGTGTGGCAGGCGATGAGCAATATGACTACCCGCAATCAACGAATGTGTACTTGTAGTGTGACAGCTTTGTAATGATTAATGCCTGCATGTGACTGATACGATACGCCTTGCATCCAATAACTACCAACCTCATACATCGTAGAGCGCAGTCTGACCCGTAAACCAACGCTTCAAATACATGCCGAAAGCTTTTCGTTTGACAAAAGCCGCCATCAATGATATGCAAGATGGAAATGAATAGAGATTACCTCCTCAGTGTGTGCGGGAGCAAATACGCCATGACTCCCGTGAATCCCATGTCTCTAAACGCCAAACCTCGTTCTGCTGATTACGCATCTTCGGACTCTCTCATCGACCAACGGATGGAGTCGTCATCGCCAGGAGGCTGTGGCCAGTGGTGCGGTTTTGGTGTAGTGCTGCCAGGTTCGTCGTCGAAAGGCTTACGACCCCATACTACGTAGCTACTCAGCGTTAGTATGTGATTCGCCTGATTACATATCCCGACTCACAAATTGTAATAGGCATGTACGTTCTCGTCAACAATCGAGTTCCTCACATGCGCGAGATAGACCTCGACTTCGGCTGGTGTCCAGCCCAAGCCAGTGACAAAGTATTCAAGCGACCATCCTTGCAAACCCAACATCAAATTCCAGCTACAATACTTGCCAAGCATTTTCTCGCGATCGCTTTTTGGCCATTGATTGGCGGGGATAGCAAAAACCTCCTCATGTACATCGACGAAACCAGCTTCTTTGTACCACCTCTTCAGCTTGTCTGCGATGCGTAATGGTCGACCGAGTTTGTGTGCTGCCTTGTCTGCTAATTCTGACCACTCTTTGAGCGGATAGTCTTCGGGCATGTCGTCGGCACATTGGAGCTTTGAAAACCATTCCTGAGATTCCATCCACCCGCCAGGTCTCAGGTTGTTATAACTCTTCTGTATAATTTCTCGAAAGTCGTTGAAGATGCCGAGGGACATGCGTGTGTGGATGTAGTCGTATATATAAGGTTCTTCTTTGGGATACCACCATGTTGGGCTGAGGATGTCTTCCATGTAGAAATCGATGTTTGTGTAGGATATTTTTCGCTGGATCGGTGTCAAGTCAATGCCTTCAACCTGTTGCTGGATTAGAATGGTAGAGGGAGAAGAATGGAATCGCGTACCCGGCAGTTTGGGAATTCGGCAGCTACTACTTGTCAGTGGCGGTTCTCCGGGGAAAAGCAGGCATGGCACCTACCCATCTCAAAACACCAGATTCCGGTGCCACAGCCAATGTCCAACATTCTCTTTGGCTTCTTTGGCTTGAGCGGTGCGAAGTAGTTCCGTCTGTGCAGAAGACATTTAATAATGGCATGTTGCCAGTCCAAGCGGTATATCTCTGGCTGTAGATGTGCGAGTCAGCGACGGGCCGATTGAACAAAAGAGGTGTTTCCAAGCAGCGCGTACCTCGTCATTTGGGAATGGGTAGGCTAGAATGAATTAGCTACAATTGTGCGCAAAGTTGCCCCGATTTGACGCTTACCTCCGGCGTGAAAGCTGTGGTAGGTGCGACCGTACTTCTTCTCGTTCTCGTACATGCTCGGCGAGAGGCTTTGTACTTCGCTAAGACGTGTGAGCGCGCGCGGTGTATCAACGAGGGAGGAGTGAGGTACAGGTCATCATATTCTCCATCCGAGGCCAGTTCCGACTGCGTGTCTGCGTTAGTCTTGTGCACCTTATGCGCGAGGGTGGTGGGGAGGATGTGCATCAGCAGCAGCAGCAGCAGCATACCTCAGGCTCGACAGTCGAGTGTGTGAAGTCGGTGAGATTGGTGGCACTGGACAGCGGCCGCAGCTTGTCCTTGGGCACCGGATCCGAGGTCGAGGTAGTCATGATGGGTTGCTGGTGCGCTACGATGCGCTACAGAACACGCCCCGAGTCGTGTCGAGGAGGAGGCGAAACCCAGCGGAATGGCTGATGTCGTTCCCAAGACCCTGGCCTTGGGGGGCCGTCACGCCGATAGCGAAAACGCCGACGGGAGCGCTAAACGTGGGCCAGTAAACCCCGCAGTCGTCCCAACCTCGACCGCCTGTCTGTTGCCAGCTGTCCAAGAGACCCCACAGCCACCACGACTATGTCGAATGACAGCTACAGCTTTACGCCTCATGCTACCAGTACCGCCTGAGTGGCTTTGAACGTGCGTCGGCCCTTCCGAGACGCTGGGTGACACTCACCGACCCATCGGGTGCACACCCTCGATACCTCTGCATCTGTCAAGAGCTTACCATTGTTCATCTTCTGCTGTGCTTATCGTCCATCATCTACCTAACCCCTTTGCAGCTTGGCCCTTTCGGCCCCTTGGCCGCCAAGGATTCCGCCCGCTGCATCAACCCATGCATCGCATCGAGGCCAAGGTTGTGTCAAATTGTTTCCTGTTTGCCCAAACTGGCGGGTTCAACTGCCCTTGCACATCCTATGTCGAACTTTTCCAGTATGCTAAGAACTCTCTTCTCTGATCTAGTCGTTGTTGTTCTTATCCTACTCAACAAAGGCGAGCATGGCTCTTTCTATTCTCGAGCTGATCTGGATCTACACCTCTACTTTCTGTACTGATCTGCCCGTCTTTTGATCAAATTTATAGTGGCTGTGCACTGAAGTTGGTCGATAGAGCTTGCATGAGGCTGGCTCCGGCCAAGTGTCTTGCTGAAGACGAGGAAGAGAATCTACACTGCTGGGTGCTGAGTAACGGTTAAAGTAAGCCAAGCATATTTGTGCGAGGCCAAGGAAAAATAACATACTGAAAAAGTGCGTGGGGTTCAGAAGGAGCAGCCAGACGAACTTGGCCAAGGACATGGGAAGGGGGGAAAGCCCGCTGAATATTGTGCCTCAAGTTGAACGATACGGAAAGCATGAAGAAGAAGTGGGAGGAGAAAAGAAAGTGCAAATCACATTGCATCAAGATGGTGATGCACCTATGCCCCGCTACTAATGTACAGGTAGTTGTGCCAGAGAAGCTTTCGATAACGCATTATTTACCGGCCCTTCTTGACCCAGCCCTCCAAGTTCTCCCGTGTATCGGCCAGCTTGCCCTCGACCATACCAACAGTTCCCTGTGCGTGTGCCTTTCCAGTCTCAATGAATTGCGAAATCCTGCTCTTCATGCGCAGATGCGTGTCTGCGAGGACGGGGTATCGCTCTTCGTAGGTCCAGATGAGGTCTCCAACGTTTTTGGTAGTGATTGGAAGGACAAAGTTTGCGGCGGTGATGCCGACAGCGACTGGAACTGAGGTTCGCAGCAAAATGTTCCTGTTGCGCGTAATAATGGAACCTGCCATGGAGGAAACGAGGACATAGAGAGCACCAGGGAGGACCTTCTCGCCCGATTCTCTCGGCGGGGCTAATGAGCGGATGGTGCTTGTGAAGGAGTGCTCGAGGCGGAGGGTTTCGGTAAGGGCGTTATCAACGGCCTTTTCACCGCGCACCGCTTGCTCGTACAGAGCCATGCGCGCGCGGCCAATCTGGACTGCGAGGCGGTCGGTCGGTGTTGGGCGGTAGGTAGACTCTGGGGCCGACGACGAGTTTGATGGGTCTACTAGAGAGGGAGCAGTAGGAGCTGTGGTATCGATGGGCATGTCATCGTAGATGGGTTTGCGGTCCTGCCGTGACGTTAGCATTGCGATGCACCCACGGGCCAGAGACTCTGAAAAGGAGTCTCCGAGGGCTCAAAGGCATGCCGACATACAAAGTGATCCGCGGGTCGCTCCTCTGCATACACGGTTCCTGGTGCGAAGATTGCGGCGGCCGAAAGGGCGGCCATGGCGGGGACAGCGGCGCGCTGAACGAGGTCAATACACCGTCTTCCATCTTGTCAAGACTACTTACCTGCCGTAACAGCGGTCTGAAAGCCATATCGAGCGTGGGGCAGGCGCAATGCGTCGAGTTTGGTGGTGTCCAACTTGTGATGTTGAGCTCAGAAGACGCGGAAACGGCCGTGCGAGCGCCGCAAGATTCCCGTCCTCGGCTTAGCTATGACATCGTGCCCCAGGTGCGTCTTGTCTTCTCCCTGCCAGGCCACCCTTCACCCGCGCAACCCAATATGCTTAAGCGCCTCGCACGCACAAAGCAGTCGCCATGGGTCTGCCACCAATGTCTCCAACACTCCCGCCGCCAGCGACGCTTCAACTCCACTGTGGCCGCCGCCGCCGCCAAACCACGCGATCCTGCCCCCAACCCGCTCTACGGCCTGTCTGCCAGCGGCAAGACAGATGACGACGCCCTCCGCAAGGTTTTCGATAATGCTTCTTTCTGGGACAGCTTCAAGCGCGCATCCCAGAAGGGCACACCCACAGGAATAATAGGCAACAAATACCTTACCCATCCCCAGGGTTTCGTTGACTTTGTCACTGTGACGATACAACGCTGCAATGCCGTGGTGCAGAAGGTGGCAGCAGCGCAGTCGGTCGACGACTTCAAGCATATGGTCAAAGACCTCGATAAGCTCAGTGATCTGCTGTGTCGGGTAATAGACTTGGCCGACTTTGTAAGAGGCACGCATCCGGATCGCAAGTTCCAGATCATGGCAATGAAAGCCTACCAAACCGTGTTCCAGTATATGAACCAGCTGAACACGACACCAGTACTACATGACCAGCTGAAGAAGGCCTCGGAGATATCCGAGGTATATGACACATGGACCGAGGAGGAGCGCATCGTAGCGAGGATACTGATGGAGGACTTTTCAAGATTTGGTATTGGTCTAGACGACAAGACAAGGGAGCGCCTAGTAGATTTGAGTGGCGAGATTGCCGATGTTGGCAACGAATTCGTCGAAGGCATGGCTCCGGAGAAGCTGAGCCTGAAGTTCAAGTCATCAAGGCTGAGAGGGCTGGACCCAAACCTCGCAAAGGCACTGACAAAATGGGGCGAAACTAAAATTTCCACCATGCACCACGAGTCGCAAGCTGTGCTGAGGTTTGTAGAGGATGCCGATGTACGGCAAGAAACCTACCAAGCTGTGCGGACAGCGAACAAACCAAGCATCGCGCGTCTAGAAAAGCTATTGAAACTACGAGTCGAGTTGGCGCAAACATCAGGCTACGAGACCTTTGCACACATGACGCTAGAAAACAAGATGGCGCGGACACCAGAAGCAGTCAACACTTTCTTAAAAGCACTCTACGAAGATAGCCGACCAGCTGTCCTCGCTGACCTAGAAGAGTTGATGGAGTTGAAGAGAGGCGATGCTCACCAAGACAACTTCCCCAATCGCATCAACGCTTGGGACAAATTTTATTACACACAGAAGATGCTTGCGACAATGGAGGGTCATTACAGGCAGCGTACACCCGACTCTTTGTCCGCATACTTCTCTGTTGGCACTGTACTGCAGGGCATATCGCGACTGTTTGACCGATTGTATGGTGTTCGCTTCGTTCCCAAAGAGACCCAGCCAGGTGAGGTATGGGAAGATGGTGTGCGACGACTAGACGTCATCTCCGATACCGAAGGCCATATTGCCGTGCTATATTGCGATCTATACTCGCGACCTGGCAAAACCCCTAATCCGGCTCATTTTACTCTCCGATGCAGCCGCGAGATCCTGCCTTCAGAGATGGAGGAAATGTCACACATGCAGCATCGTTTCTCTTCCCCCATCGAGGCAGCCACAGACGGCATGCCCGTCTCCTACAACGCCGAACGCAACAGCTACTTCCAATTACCCACAATAGCATTGATTTGTGACTTTAGCAAAGCTTCGCACTCTCGACCAACACTCCTCAACATCCACGACGTGCGCACTCTCTTCCACGAAATGGGCCATGCACTCCACTCCATTCTAGGTCGCACAGCTCTGCAAAATGTTTCCGGTACTCGCTGCGCGACCGATATCGCCGAGCTGCCTTCGGTTCTAATGGAGCACTTTGCCTTTTGTCCCCATGTCCTAGGTTTATACGCACGACATTGGGAAACGGACGCCCCTCTTCCCATGGCGGCCCTAGAATCCCGCCTTGCAATCGACAATCGAAACCAGTACTCTGAACTCGAAAGCCAGATTCTCCTCTGCATGCTCGACCAAGCGTACCACTCCCCGATTGCCGCAGACCCGAATTTCAACTCGACAAAAGTCTACCACGACGTCTACAACAAATACGCATCTGTCCCTGAACCCGCCGGCACGGCTTGGCAAGGTTTCTTCGGCCACCTGTTTGGTTACGGCGCTACATACTATTCCTATCTCTTTGACCGCGCGCTAGCGGCCAAGATCTGGAAGGATGTTTTCCAGCACAATGGCCAACAAGGTAGCTTGGATAGGGAGAATGGTGAGCTTTACAAGAACGAGGTACTCAAGTGGGGCGGAGGGAGAGATGGTTGGCAATGTTTGGCTGGTGTCTTGAAAGACGAGAAGTTGGCCAAGGGTGGAGAGGAGGCTATGGCCGAAGTGGGAAAGTGGGGAATTAGAGAGGCGAGGGGGAAGTAGAGAGTAGATGGCGTTTCTTCTTTCCAAAGCTTGCACGTACTGAAGGATGTATAGATGATGGCTAGATGATTAGAAGTTGGACTGAGTGTTGAAGAGCACCCGGGGCATTAGACCATAGAGCTTGATACTGCAGATCGCCTGCCATGATGTGGAAATTTAGTTTATACCCCTTGCTATGTGATCCCCTACTTTGTCTCGTATTTCCCTAATTATAATCTGTACCTGACAGATCGGCTACCCACCCATTCCCCTTCCTCTATCCATGACCCCCGCTTTGATCCTCTCCACAACCTCTCTACCCAACCACCTCAGTTGTCCATTCTGCCGACTCGCTGCGTCCGCCCATTCAAATACGCCTTTCAACTCCTTCAGTTCTTCTACCTTCCAGCTCTTCGCTAATCTACCTAGGACCAACCTCGACTCCACAACCGTAGCTCCAGGATCAAGCCAACTCTTACTATACTGATCGAGCGGCAATATGAGTCCCGCGTCGCTGGCAGAGATGAATTGCGATAGTGCAGGGAGTGTGAAAATCCAGTGGAAGAGAAGGTTTGTAGTCTTCGACGACTGGGCGTCGTTGAGTGCGACAAGGGTGGCGCTGAAAGACGTAGCGTAAGTATCGTGAGCGGAGCGACGCCGAACATTTAGCGTTTGGTTGCGCTCAAAGGATTTGAGATGAAGTGGGTTGTGCACAAAGTCTAGGATCGTAGGCCAGTATGTTTGATCCGCCGTCTCGAGGCGACTGATCAGGTGGATCTCGGGAAGAAGACAGGGCGCTACTAGTGTTCTTGTCGCCATCTGTTGGTTGCCTTCTTGGGTGTTCTTGAAGACAACGGTGATGGGCATAGATATCGCACGTCCGGTGTCTACGTCTCGCACGACTAGACACCTGGGCTCAGCAGCGAGTACCCAGAAATGACGGAAAGCTTGTAGATGTGCCCTTGAGTCTTGCACATCAGAGGGGAACAAGGGGTAGAAAGCACATATCAGACTCGCAATAGCCTTGTTGCTTCGACTAAAGGTTTGTGTACCGCCTGCAATAAACAGAGTACCGAACGCCATGTGAGCAGCAAGGTGAGAGCCATATGGGATATCGGGTCCGATACGTCCATGGAGACCGCGTAAACGACGGAAGACGTCGAGGTCACCTGTTCCTGCCATGACGGTAGCGGCGGCTAGTGCGATGAGATCTTGACAGTTGCGTACTGTGTTCTTGGATAGCTTGGAATCGTAGCGTACGGCAGTAAGTTTATTGATACGTATCAGTTGATCCAGATACTTGATCAGGAAGTCTCGGACTTGGGTATCCCCTGTACCAGCATGCTTGAGACTCACAGCCCACAACAGACCCGCGAGGATGTTGTAAAAGGGCATTTGTTCGCTACGGAGTCGTGTAATGCCTTTGAGATCCCAGGCTTCGCGGTAATCGTACGGCAGGTTCTTGATTATCCAAGAATCTGAGGCTTTGATGTCGTCCCACATGATGAGGTGCTTAGCGAGGGTACGGAGGAGAAATATGTCTGGGCGAACATAGTCGAACTGGGGCAGCGTGTCCGGAATATCAATCTTGCGCGCCACGGTTTGGTCGTGAGTTTTCATGAAGATGAGGGCAACCGCGATAACCGCTCCGGCTGTAGCTTGGTCGAGAATGTGGACAACGTTGACCGGCTTAGGCGCTACAGCAACGGCCATTAGACGCTCAACGATGCGCATATCATGGAGACCTCGAAGGTCTTTGCCCTTGCCTAGGTTTATGAAACCAAGTGCAAAACCCGCGGCGAGCCTGTAGGCTTCATCTCGCAGGCTGTCTGGTGGCTCTGATGGATCTGGAATCTCGACATACTCGATTTCTGAGAGCATAACCTCGCTCATACGGCGGTGCTGGGTGTTGTAGTAGAGCAGACCAATACCCATTAGACCCGTAGTCTGTGTGTAAGGAGAGAGGTTCAACTCGGCTGCACCTTGCGGTAACATTCTTGTGACATGCACCGACAGTAGTCTTGTCACGAGTGTGTCCATGGTGCCCATGAATGAAGCGGCCAAGCCTAGTAGCAAGCCTACCGAAGTCATGGTGTGCTTTGGAGTAAGGTATTTGAACGACAGCCATTTCGCGATTGTCCTCAGATGGCCGTTAAGGCCCAGGCCAAGTAAAAGCCCTGCATGCTTGTTCGTCAGCTCCACAGGTTTGTTGTACATTATCCACGAAGTATCGATACCCTGAGCATCTCGCGATATGCTCAGTCCAGCTGCAGCACCGGCATTGAAGAAAGCCCAGAAATACTTCTCCTCAGAGTAGTTCTGTCGTTCGGCTGTAACGACATTGCCCATTGGCTTCATGAGGCATGATGTGGAAAAGCCATATAGAGGGTATTTCTCCGTCAGTAAAGGCTTCTTGCTGCTGAATTTTATCATTGAACTACCCAACGGCAAGGAGAACGTGCGGATCATGACCCATTGCATGAGCGCTTTCTGACCCTCAAGCATCGCTGCGTCGTCTTGTCTGCTATCAGCTTTGTATTCCGCGACAGTCTGTCGTAAAGGTTCTAGCAGTGTATACGCTTCCATGAACCGCCGATCTTCGCGGAAAATGAGTCGCGTGATAGAGTGCCTGTCAACTTCGGATGTCGATTGGATTGCTTCCATCCGATCAGCGCCTTGACATATAGTGTGAACATCCCTCGTTGTACTAGTTGCATGAAGCGCTCCACCCGATGCATTCAAGTGTGCATCATGGGCGATTTCTGCGATAGGAGTAAGGCTGATGTCCAAGTCTTCGCGTTGTACAAGTCTGAGTAGTGAACTCGACCATGTGGTAGGTGGGTTCGCCTGACATCTTGTAATCGCTTCCATGAGTGGTGCTTTCGCGGCTTCCGGCAGTGTCGCTAGCATCTCGGGACTGATGTGACAAGCCTTGATTAGCTCTACTATCTTCTTGGGGCTCGAGGCAGGGTCAATATCTCGGAAGAACCTGTGTAATGCCACAGTTCTGGGCGTAACCCCTGCCATGATTTCGTCAATATTGATGGATGAGTGCGGAGATGCTTTGGATTTCCGTATGAGCATCGCTAGTGTAGGGAACGGAGCATAATGTTGGGATCCTGTGACAGTGCCGAGCCAGTCCATTATTGAAGGGGGCGCATCCCATGGCTGCGCATGCAATCGTACTTTGCCAGTCAACGTGGTTTCGTCATACGCCCAGTCTTGGCCCGAGCCACCATCAAGGTCGAAAAAGCCACCTTGTCTCCAGTCCCACCCTTCCCAACGTAACCAGTGGCCGATCTGTGCTAACACAGGTGCGAGATTCCCAGGCTCCTTACCATGGAATCCTTGGCATAAAGTGTCCAACTTGCGTTCTTCGCGGAAAAGATGCAGTGACACCACAATCTCAGACAAAGATGAAATGCGAAGATCTTGCTTTTCAGAAGGGGAAAGTCGCCTCCAGTGGTCATTGGTAGCTTTGCCAATTGGGGACTGGAGGTACTGACGAGCAAGCTCGAGGCAGGTGGATATCATATTGTCTTTAACGCCGATCTGCTGTGCGATTGTTGGTAGCTGGTGCTGCTTTGAGTCGCGCTTCATTAGCGGGCTCATTGTGGCCGATTTCGGACTTGAGTGCAAAGCCCAGGTCCAAGGAGATGATCTCCAGCTCTTTGGATGTGTTGTTGAAATCTGACGACTACACATGAGTCGCCATGCTGAGTCTTCGTCGTCAATGAGTTCATCTGGTTTTGCTTGGCTTGCAGGGCGCCCTGAACTTCTTCGCTGGGTCGACTTCGCACGAGTGTTGATCTTCCCTTTCTTTTCATCAATGAATGGTACTGCAAGAGTGAGCAAGGTCGCTACAAAGGCCATCCAATCTGCAGTGATCCGCTCAGCTCCCCCATCAGATAAAGACTTGCGAATGTTCCACCATACTTCCAATAGGAAATCGCCGGCAAAATTTGGCAGTATCGTTGATAGTACTTGGAAAAGTTCGGCCACGTAGCTGTTCGATGGTGATAGGCGCAACACCATCCGGTGACGACGCAGCTCGCCATCGGATAGATCTAGCTTCCCAGACGCGCCCGATGGGGACAAATTATGCAACGGCTGGCTCAGTGATATCGTTCGTCTTGAGCCCGCAGTCACTCTACTCTGATCATATCGTATGATGGCATACGGGTCGAATAACTTCATAGGGCCCAAGCTAAACTTTACTGGTAGGTGGCTGCCCCATCCCGCAGTCAACGATAGGCAGGGCTCTTGAGGATTTCTTGATGTGAGTTGAACTATGCGTTCGATATGACCGTCACGAACTTTCACAAGATCCAATGTGTTGTCTAGCTGCCGCGAGCCAACAAACTTCGGGACACATGCATAACGAGGAGTTGCACTTGCCGACCCAGACTGTGTGGCTGATGCTGACGGCGAGAGTCGTTTCCGTGTGACCGCTAGCTCGCATTCGAGGGGAAGTTGCAACGATGGATGTGATATATACAAGTACAATTTCCTCTCGTGGAGCGTCGCCGAATTGAAAGGTGCGTTCAATGTAAGTACCTTTGGTTCATGCCAATCCTGTTCAGATGTCAACGACAGAACTTCACTTGAAGAATATGGACTCACCGGAGTGTTTGAAGGGTCTCCCAAAGCAAAGAGACCACTCTTCAGGTGCTGTGTAATGGGAATCTCCGCAATGACACTGATTATCAGCTCTTTAAGGAGTCCGTCTCCAGGCCGTGGTCCGTCTTTGGCATCGGGCGGCGCAAACAGGTCGTCAAGCTCATCATAGTCCTCTATCGTGTCGAAGGTATCCTCGTCCATGGCATCATCTAGAGTATCGTCTATTGACACAGCACCCAAACTCATTCGTGATGTGACGCTACCAGGAGTAGAAGCGCGGTTCCGAGATTGCGAGAAGCCACCGAAACTTGTGCGATCGTGGCCTAGTGAGTGGCGGCTTCGCTGGCTTGCATTGAAACTTGCGTTGAAGCTGCCACCAATACTATTACGAGATGTTGCGAGGTCTTGGAAGGCGCTTTTGTCGAAGCTCGTGGAGAGCTCAGCTCGTGAGAGCAGTGAGCTCACTCGTCTAGACTCTTTTGGCTGACGAGTAATGTCAGAGTCGGGGTTGAGCTGTGAAGCAAGAGCATCGTCCACTGCCTGGTCAGATAGTCGCTCCTTGGTAGTAATCTTGAAGGATGGAGGTTGGGTCTTGCTGCGTGGGGCTCCACCAAAACTTTCTCTCAATCTGTCAGCTCCTCGAATTGCTGGCGTAGTTGCTCCGGTTCCTGGCGCAGTGCCGCCGTATGAGCTACGACGTCGAGACTTGCTTATTGGAAGGGAAACGTGTTGCTTGCGAGAAGTTGATATTGATTTTGGCTCTAGGTAAGCCGCAGACCAGATGGTAAATACATTCGTCTCGTGATTCGCTGTGACTACTAGCAGAAGGGGCTTATCATTTCCACTGCGATCGAATAGGAGCTCATTACGCGGTGAGACGTAGATAATCTCCTCAGCTTTGTCGATGGCTTCCAGTTTCCGATGGCTGGAGCCGTGGCTAGTCAACAGGCTGCTGCGATCACCACCCGCGACGACATTGACCACTAGTCCCAACTCGGACAGCGGGTCTGTAAAGGAATACAACCTGGGTATCGATTCTGGGTTCAAGGGGGTGATCAAGTCATCTAGGAACGTGGTCGCACCAGACAGACGAGACTTTCCGTGCCGCGATGCGCCAATAGAAGAACCATGCCGGCGGTGGGGTTTAGAGAAGCTTTGAGAGAAGGAGAACTGCTGTGAGAGAAAGGACTGGTTGGTTGTGAGGAAGGAGTTTGGTGGAGCTGACGGTAACAGTGGACTCGTGGGCACAGGATGAAGGGGAGCAAGCTTCCTTTGCACAACAACACCGCGTGCTGCAGGAAAAGCCTTGTCTACTTCGAATGGGAGGTTCACGATGTGCGTGGTGCCCGAAAGAAAGAAGACATGTGCTTGCGACTTCAAGAAGACGACGAGCGCACGCGACAGAAGCTCTGTTGTGGGTGGTTTATTGTTGGCTGGCACGGTGGGATGTGCAGCAGGCTGTGTACCTTGGGTCAGGAAAGTCTTTGAAGGGTCGGCTGTGTTGTATTCTGTCGAGCTGTCGGAGGCCTCATTCGTGCCATGTGAGGGCTCGTCTACCAGGAACCATGTCAACAGCGCCTGCTTGACCTTCTCTTTCTCCACCTCGAAGTTGAAGACCTTGCGTATGACACCACCTCGGGACCAGACCACGTGGTATTCAGTGGTGACGAGCTCGTCGGTAGGGCCCTGGGGGTCGTTGTCGTCCGAGTACGTGTCCCAGACATAGTCGCCGTCAGTGCTATCCTCGGTCAGGATGGACTCTTGGACCAGGTACTGCAGGGCGGAGGGCTTGTGGACCCCGATTGAGCGAAGAGAGGCCATGCGGACGCTCGTTCCGCCACATGAGGGAGGTTTGGGTATCGTGTGGGCGTTGGGGGGATGTGGGCGGTTTGTTTGCGCGGGGCGCGCAATCCGACGTGACGCGCTGTGGTCGAGCGCGACTTCCCCAGAGAAATGTTGACAGACTCCGCAGCACCTCGGAGCTTCCTTCACCCTCACACATCAAGTCGCGCACCATCTGCAACCCCCAAGACGATCTGAATAGTCATCGCAGCATCCTAGAAACGTCTCGACGTGTTTGCGCTCAGAGCAGACGCAGCCTCAGTCGCGCCTTGCGTGTTACCTAGGCGGTAGCTAAGCCGCCCACCACCACCACCGTCAAGCTGCAAACATGGAGCCAATCGTCGCGGCAAAGGGAAAACTTACCCAGTTAAGGTGCGCTTTCCTCTTCCCACTGCCTACACGGCTGCTGACGTGATGTCCTGCAGGTACGAGCTTCCGCACCGCGTACATGCCTCTACGGTATACCCCGTCAAAGCCCCCAATGGCTCGACCATCGTACTATACGGCCACGAGACAGGTATTGGCATCCTCTGGAGAGGAGGACGCCCATTGAAAAAGTCCTCGCCCCTTCCCCAGCAGCCAGCGAAGCCACCAAAGGTCAACGGAACAAGCAACGATGCCATTATGATCATCGACTCCGACGACGAGCCTACCAAAGCTGTTTCAGAGCCGCCACCCAAGGCCGAATTTGAGCATGAAGAGGAAGAGCTTGATCCAGACCAGCCGTACGCCTCAGTCGTCCAGCAACTTTCTCTGTCTCTCAGCACCCAAGTGCTACACATCGCCGTACCCCAAATACCGACCGCCTCTACCCTCCGATCCGCAGACACAACACCTCGCATATTCAGCACTCACATCATCTTCACCGTCGCATGCGCCGACTCTACAGTGCGCGTCATTACATTGCCTCTGAGCCCTCCTCCACACGTCGCAAAAGACAAGCCATACACCGCGAAGTCACAGTTCGGCGAAGACGTTGTCAAGCTTCATGGCCATCAAAGCATCCCGAGGGGTGTCACTATGACTTGGACTGCAAGAGGAGAGGCAGACTCTATAGACGAGGCAGAAGACGGCATGGACGTGGATGAGGAGGAAGAAGACACAACGACTTCTGAGCACAAACACCAACCGCGTGCCGGTCAAGGCTTCGACTTACTCGTAGCCTCGCACTCCGCTGAGCTGGGAGGCCTGGTCAAACTCTTTCGCTTTGAGCTATCTGAGACGTCACCGAAGGTCTCGCATCCGGTCGTGCCTTACAAGACGCTCACTCTGAACAAGCCTGCCTCTCGCATTGCCTTCAACACTGCTCAGTATCCAAATCGTCGCCATTCCCAACTACTCATCGCAGACTCGAAGGGAACTGCGCGCATCTACGATCCTTTTGCGTTACCCACTCGTAGCCAACGATCAGGCGGCCGTCGTAATGAGCCTGGCGCATTTGTGGGAACATTCAGGTCATCTTTCGAGGGCGTCAAGAACATTGCGCTTACCCCTGCTGTTCTTGCGTCGCGCAAAGCCATCATTGATGCGGCTTGGGCCTCCAGTGGCCGTCATATAATTGCCTTACTCGTGGACGGCGAATGGGGCGTCTGGGATGTTGATCGGTCTGGTCCAAGCCCCCCAGCAGATCCATCGGCTTTCTCTCTTCGAGGATATGTTGGTACAGCGGAGAAAGAGGCAAGTTCTGGCGGCGCATCAAGCCCGAAGCGTGGAAGCCGCAATTCGTTAGCTCCAATGACGCCGAATACGCGTAAGCGGAAAGAGGAGACACTCTTCCAGGGCAGCGCACCAAGCCTGACAGCAGCAACTAGAGGCGGCATCTCTGTTGCGAGTATCACGTCGACTAACGGAACGTCAGAAGACTCGGTCCTGATCTGGTATGGATCTGAGATCTACAGGATAGCCGATCTGATCAAGTTCTGGAGTCGTACTGCTTCTGCCAGCAGCGGTGCTTCCTTACCAGGTCCTGGTCTCCAAGTCCAGGATATTGCACTCTGTGGGGAAGCCATCACATCAGTCTCACAGTTCGACACGACACCTCAAGCATCACGTATGGCTATCGCCAGGGACACTCTTGTATCAGCCGAGCACCGTCTCATCATCACCGCGAGTACTAGCCAGCCTCTTGGGCGCGATTTGAGCGCCATATTTGCACGCGAGCAGGTCGAGGATGACGCATCGAACAGAACAGACCAGGCTCTTCTTACCCATGGCGAGCTTGATCTCGGCGGCATGGACAGGATGCTCGAGAGTATGGAGGGCAGCGGAACTAGCGGAACCGTCCCCAAGAGCTTGACCATGGGCGGACCTCGCAAGGTCCTTTTCGCTTCCTCCGCAGCTTGATTGCAAATGAAAAAGCGACATGTCAGCGATAAGATTCTTACATCCTCTGAAAAAGACGCTCTGGTAAGGAATTTTGGAAAGCCAGCATTTGTATACGATATCCCTGGATTACCATCCTCATCTTCATCGGCCGCTAAAGACGCGGAAAGCAGTTCTCAACCCTATCATAAGTTCCCCGCTCGTCTCCCTCCGTTTCCTTTCCTTGTCCCTGTCTTCTCTTTTCCCCGTCATGCTCTTTCCTTCTACCCAGAGGAAATGGGTATTACGAATTTTCGCGGCCTAAGGTGGAGCTCAGCGACCAGACCCATTCCTGCTGCTCAGTATAGCCTAGCGATATATCAAACACTGCCTACCCACAGTCGCCGACGAAAACTGTTACCCCTAGTAGCCCTCGTGCGAACGGTTCCCATAATGTATAGTTTTCTGTCTGGATAGCTGGGGACGGCGCGTGCACATTTCCCACCTTGTTACTCTAAGCTGCTCGTTACCTAGCCGGTCCAAGGACGTCAGGTGAGGACGGTATGCGTTTGTGGCAAGGAGACGCTTGGGTGCATGACGTACGTGTCTTTTGTGGATGCGATACGGCATTCGTGCCTGCGTGGTATGGGGATGTGCGACATTTGAGATATGTGCACAGTGAGGCATTCTTGGTTAAGCACTGCGCTGGATTTTCTCCGTTCGCACACGATGCCAACAATGTTCAAGACGATCAAACATTACTGTGATTACTCCTTCTATGCCCTCATCGAACGCCAATGCTAAACTCCCAACGTTCTAATACTCCACATGTCTTTGCTCATCAAAAGATGTCCATGACGGCATACCTTCTATGTATCGCGATGACAGCACACTAAACATCTCCCAGCACTCTCCCAACAAATCCTTCGAGACCAGCCATGCCCTTTGCTCCCCTCTCATTACCCCCATAAAGCCCAGGCCCACCACCAGGCATGACCAACACCTTGGCACCCACCTCCACGAATTCGCGCGAGGCGATGAACTGAAACGTCACTACGACGGCAGGTGGTACAGTTCCCGTTGTAGGCTCCCTTACTTCATCATCGAAGCCGAATCCAAAAGTGTCGTCCTCATCCGCGCCATTATGAGTCTTGTTCATCGAATGATTAAGTTCCATCCGTTCAGTAGCGACGGACAAGACCTTAGATGAAGCTCTGACGCTGGCGACGTAGACCACAACTGCACTTCCGACGCTGAGATCTTTGACACCCTCTGCTTGCTTCTCCTCGAAACGTACTTTAATGATCTTGTGCGCCTTGGGCTCGCGAGCTACCAATACCATGCCTTTGCGTACCCTATTGATAGACGAGTTGACATTTGGCGTACTCACAGGTACGACACCCATAGTACCAACCTGTCCGGCATGCAACTTCCGTACGGGTAGACGTAAATTGCGCAAAGACGTAACGCGGACACGTTGCCACTCGCTGTGTCGGTTGCGCAGTGAAGCATTTTTTGGCTTCGCGCTGAGTGCGCCGGGAAACGATCTTGACTGTGGCATAGCAGGCTTGCGACTTGGTCTTGAACTACCGCTGTCGCTATCGTCCGAGCTGACATCAACAGGGTATGGTCCTAGCAGCAGCTCATCACCAATGGCCAAATATCCATACCGGAGGTAGCCTCCAATGATCGCGGAGCTATCACCGATCCCATCTGGGCGGACGCCATAAACATCTTCAATATAGAAGAGTGGGGATATGGGCGTACTTGCCGGTGGGGTTACTTGCGTGGGCATCGGTAGTCTCCGGAGAAACGCATGCAATTTCTGTATCCCAGTTCCCTTGACTGCGCTAGTTAGTATCACTGGCACTGCTGCGAGTGGCGAGTCTACAAGCAAGTCTAGAGTCTTCTCAGTTTCCCCAAGATCGGCTGCCTCGATGGTGTGTAGATCGGCTTCCAAGACAGATGTCGACGGGTCAGTGATGAGCAAAGGCCTCCGCTTGTGTTCCTTCAACGCCGAGAGCAATTTTTGCAAGGTGCTTTTCAAACCGTTCTTGGTAGCTAAGTCGTACTTGGTGATGACAATCACAAGCGGCAATTGCAAGGCGAGGCAGAGTTGTAGATGTGCGTGCGAAAGATCCAAATCCGCTGCTGCTGGCCCAAGCAACTCTTCAGAAGAAGGTGAAGCTCCAAGCTTGCCCGACGACTCGTCGGTATTGTCAGCTGGAACACACAAAAGTGTCCAATGTGGTTGCCTAGTGAACGGATCAGGATACTCCATCATACGTTTTCAGAGAAGCGGCAGCTAAGAGTGAAACCCTCCCAAATTAAAGAGATACAAGGGGATAAGGAGCTGTGATATGTGGTGATGACTTACCAGCCAACAATTCCACGGACCGTAGTACGCCTGAACCGAGGGTGTCCAGCTGAGTCAGAAAGAAACACCAACCGGCCGTTCTCCGCTGACTCCACCGCCGCATGAATGTCGATCCACGAATCAATATCCCCTGAGCCATAGCTGGTCACTTGTGAATGATCTCCTTCGTCGCGATATCCTATCAACTCTTGGGTGACAGAACTGGTCATCCCCGATGCAATCTCGTGCCTGTGTTTCAGTAGACTTAAGCGACTCTTTCCTCGGCCATTGTCCAGCGTAGCAGTAGATAAAGTTCCGAGTAGGGTAGATTTACCAGACATAGTGGCACCAGTCACTGATACGCGCATCTGCTCAGTGACCCTTTGGGGCTCCTTGCCCAGTGCCATGTCGCTAGCACTGGTTCTGAGCGCATCGTTGTTTGCATCTTGCTGCGTTTTTTCCGACTTATTGATCAAGTGCTGTTCTGGGCGTACTAATGCTTCAGCAACTAGTAGTTGCGATCTTATCACCCTTTGTTGCGGTGTGCCAGAATCCTCGACCCACTCGCAATCACCAACAGGAACTCTGCGCATAACTTCAACACCACAGCCTAGGCTTGCAGCCATAGCGCGCAAGTTGTTCAAGCTCTCTTCCATCTCATCTTCTGCTAGACCGACGATGGTTCCGTCGTCAGCAACTCCAATTTCGTAAAGCGCACCACTGCTCTCCTCCAGTCCAGGTAGAAGCCGTTGTGGCATCTCGGGGGCTGACAACCGTGCATCCTCGGGAAAATGAGGAACGACGGGTGCCATAGACGAGGACATGTGGTTCGGGCATGATTGTTGTAGTCGCCACAGCAGTTGAGTGGTCAACTGCTCGAGACGATGCTGTTTTGACTGTGTCGCGGCCAACGGAGGAGGGGTGTTCGAAAGAAGGCCTGACTCAGATGCGCTGCGACCCACTACAGGAATGGGTATGTCAGGTCGACGCATGGACCCGGATATATGGCGTCCAGTGCTCGTGCGGGTAAAAGACCGCCGCCGCCTGAGCAGCAGATGCAGCTTGTACTCAGTAGGCCCGTCCTGTGGCTCAGCCTCCAGCCTCGTGATAGCTGTATAGTCTATAGCAGCAGTGGGCTTTGTTGTGTCTAATCCCACTTCGCCCCCGGTACTACCTAGCGGCGAAGGAAGTCGTCGAGAATTCGTGGATGGGATGGGCGTTTGCGCGACGTCGCCGGCGGAAGTAGTTTCCCATGGCGATGAGACCCGCGGAGGGTCAGGATCGAAGGTGAATATAGAAGCCATATCGCGTAATATGGACGGGCCCCTTTGTGGTTGTATTCCTTATCGAACAGGGTGATGGGCAAAGTACCAGACTTGTCACGTTGCGCGTTGTTGCGCTGGATTAGTGCGTAAGCGTGATAATGATCGTGAGTTGGTGTGTAAGAGGTGCGTCCGGAATAATTGCGATAATAATGGAAGCATGGTGACGGGTGTAGAGCACAAACGTTGAGTGGGACTTCGTCAAGCAGCGACTAGAAACAACTCGTCGGCGAGTTGCGTGAAGGTGCCACGCTGGCGTTCACAGATTAGAGAGAGACATTAGAGTGGACAAGTTAAAGATGACGACGCTGTTGATGATGGTAAAGGTGCAATGGCATGAGATGGTTGACGGTTGCTGGGAGTATCGAGGTCGCCATGTCCAAGGTTAGTCGTTGGTCCTAGCTTGCTCATGCTACCTACTGCGGGGAGTCACCGTCGTGCGGGGCGGGCCATCATCCATCGCTCTCAGCCTCACATGGATCACCACAAGGCTTAACGCCCTTTTGTCGCCCTTTTAGCTTGGACTCGGTCAAACTATGTCGCTACAGAGGTTGCATTGATTCGCAATCAGTGTCCTTCTACTTCATCATGCTTGTCTGGTGCATGTTGATGCGTTTGCTGGTGAATTGTGTCCGACACATGGTATAACGTCAAGGACAGCGAAACCGTCTCTTGCTATACTGTTCATGTTCTACCACACTGAAGGAGTAGTGCAGCAGATGCAGGAGGGGACAGGAAACGTAGTACAGAGCAATTGTGATGCAGAGCATACTGGTAACATCCTCTGACTCGCAGACCACAGACAGTATTGGAACGTGTCGCTGCTGCGTATCTGGTCATTCGAACATCGTACCTACCCGTTCGTCTCCCCCAATTGCTAGATGCTTGACACTATGTCTGACTCTCAATATACGCCCTAGTCTCGTAAGAAGATCGGGCATGACAATCATGATCGTGATCGAGCTGAGCGCGTCCTTTAGGCATCCATAGCCTGAGAGCGACAGTGAGGTGCAGTCATGGAAAGTCGCCCAACAGTCAGTAGGGCTGCCTAACGGCATCCTTGGCCGCGACCAACACGTGCGCCACATGTTGGCCTCAGAAGGGCGTTGCATGACTGTGCACGCCTGTGTAGCTACTCAGACAGCCAGATGCTCACTCCAACTCGTGCCCGTGAGCGCATGAGACACATCGATACATACCCTACGTCGCAGAAGCGTGCCGGGTATTGACGTCCGGACGACTTGGACCCTCTACGGCGGTTGAGGCTGAAAAGCTACGTCAAGCATACCCTATGTGTATGCGGAATCATGTTATGCCCGTCTTACGGGCTTGGAGCTCACCACTATAGAATGGCTTAATCCTCTCCCCCCTGCAGCGGCTATTGGCCGCCATGTGCGATTAATCTATGTCCACGCGTATGCCGCCGCCTCATTTGGAGCGTCATCCCGTCTGGGAGGCGGCGCTGCCTTTAACCGGCTTTCTCGAAGGTGACTGGTGACACTGCAGACGTATCCCGCAGTAGCGGGCGGGCGTCAGCAACACGCGAGCGCTATGAGGCTTCCATGGCCCTGGAGTCCTTGTGCAACCTTGGCCATGCAGCCTTGCGTATGCGCAACTACATACTTCGAAAACCCGGTTGTAATTCCCGCAACAGCTCACGACCAGGAAGTTTGCTGTTGGTGTTAGAGTATCGTCGTGAGTTGTATTCTCGCAACCCTTCTTTCTGTGTGTGCTATGTCTTATCACAGTCGACCGATGACAGATTGCTTGTACTGGGCAGCCACACTAGTATCTGTCACTTGCGGCGCGGTGCTCTAGACACGCGGACCCATCTCGGATTTGGAGACGTTGCCGATTTTCTTGCGCGTCTCGACCACATCGCTGAAGCACTCAGAGCATGCGTAGACTCTGCGGAAGATCTCTGTATGCACACATTACCACAATTTCGTCAAGATCGCATGATGTGTACTTAGCGAGATGTCTATCATTTCTTGGCTCTATTCTGCTGGACTTTTTCTCGATTCATGTAGGCGATCTAGAAGGTGGTTTTGCTGTGGTGTGGGGCGGGTTTACGGTCGCCTGAGGAAAACATACGATTCAAGTATTTTGAGATAGGCAAAGTGGGCAAGGGGGGATTGCGCCTGTTTGCTGTGCCACCGGCAATGATATCCTAGGTCGGCAAGCACTCCGGCCATTAAAGCCCTGAAGGCAGTTTTGCATCATTGAAACTCCGTATGCAAATTGGTGAGCGGACCGATAACTCGATCGTGCCCACCCTGGGTACCACAGATGGTGGAGTGAAGTGGTACACGCCGCGGCCTTACTTCGAGTTCATTCCGGTTCCTGAGTTCCGGATCCGCCACTGCGTTACTTCGTCAGCTACTCGCTTGTAGGAAGCTGAGATCGGAGCCGAACGCAATGCTTTTCACGTGCTACCGAACGTCAAGAACTCAGTGCTCCCCATGTCCCATCCTTGTTAAGTCTACTGAGGGATCAAGTGACTGTCATCCTTCCCGCGCAGCCGCGCCCCGCCGGATAATCCTTGCGATTCTCCCAGCTCGACTCGATCCACTGGTCAGCAAAGCATGTCAGGTTCGCACTCTGCTGTGGGGGCGAAACAGGTTGGAACATCGAAGACCCTTTCGCGTCATTACTGCCCGGTGCTTGAAATCGACCGAAATCCCGTGCTTAGGCACAATCTTTTGCGCGAAGCGGTCAGGAGCCAATTACCTAGGGGTAGTTCCAGTGGTATGGTTCCGAGCATACGCTAAACCTGCCGCGCCTGCACAGCACACGATTAAGCGACTGCGATGAACCGGATTTTGGTTACATGTCCGTCCTAGAGTCGGGTGCGTATCGCAATATGCGTGTCAGTGCGGGTCTTGCGGAGCAAGACCAGGGCGGAACATGAATAATGATATTCATACCTATTTTCTTGATCAGTAATATGGCGTTAGTCGCGTTTCTGAGCTGCAGTGACTGTCTTGGCAACATGCATGCCGAAGCTTCAATCACGCACTTTAATGCACGTCGACTAGAGCTGCCTGCCGCAACCAGTAAGCCACCGAACGTGTGTTTGATTGCACATTGCATATCAAGACCGGAAATATCCACGTCACCGGAGCATCCCACATATGCATATGTACTTCTGCATCTCGGTGTTGAAAGTCACGCCAACATGCGGCTGTCGGTTTCCGAGACAAGGGACCACACACATGGCGGTTTATTGTTCCGCTGCCCGGTGATGTCAAGGTGCAAGAGAGCAGCGAATCAACACTGCTACCGTAGCCGCCGCTATACCGGTGACATGGTTCACCTGAGTACAGCAGCCCGGACCACGGTTGTTGACCTTAAACTGGACAATCTGTCAGACAATGCTGCGCGCCAGTGGCGCCTCTCGGTATCTTCGGTTCGTGGTTGGTCTTTCTCCACAGCGGTGGGTGCTCTTTACAAGGCTTACCCGCCCCAAGTCGTGGCGACAACGGCCCGCTAGTTTGATCGTTACTCAAATTCGCAAAAAGCCGTGCGAGCTTGTCGGCAGCCTTGCTCGCCTGTTTACGGCTAATGCAATATGAAACCGGCTCATGATAATTGGTGCGCATGGCGTGAAGGATATGGCGAATTGCAACCCGGGTACGAGACTTGTCATGAATATGGGGCTTGCAATGAGATCAGTTGTTGCAAGTCAAGATTAAGATTGCAGTGCTAGAAAATATCGGAATTGCCTTGCGATCTGGTGTTTCTTGCTGAATCGTGGAGGTTGGTCGGTAAAATTCCCCCTTTAGCTTAAGCTATGAATTTTCGCATTAAGATTTCGCGCGGCAGTGCCGAACCATGCCGTGCGGGACAACGTCGGCCTGATTCTCTGTTTGTCTGTGGACCCTGATATGGAGTAAGGTACTGACCGATGATTCTGTGTGAACCATGTAGTCGGATACATCGCAGGGAAGAGCTACCAGGGCACCCCCAAGCAGCAGGAACTCCATGTTCCTGCTTTGCACGCTCCTCCAAATCCTCCCGCAATCCCTCGACGGGCTGACGCCCGACGCCCTCCTCCGTAATTCAGTCTTTCTTGTACGACGGGTCATGGCGAATAGATTGATATGGCTCGTTGAACGTGCGAGTATCTTTTGACGGTTGATGATCTTGAGATTGATGGGAAACAGGATGTAAAGACCGCTTGTTGCAGTAGCTTTCCCTACTTCTGAGACAGGTGTACCCGAAATCTATGTATGCATATGTATCATGACAATAAATAAGCGCTTGGTTATAATCAAAATGCTGAAAGGAACTTCCGGTGGCCGAATGCTTTAGTGAACGGCCGTGGCGCACGCACCGTACCAAAATGTCTTGGTGTAGACTGAAAAGTGCAAAAGCACAACATGTGTGCAGCGACTTGTAAGTATGGTTTTCGCGCAGTCCATACGCGCCCTGTAGCGACTGAATCGAAGATTCTGGGCCCTTGGGTGGCCCCCGGCTGGTACAGTCGCCTACCGGCGTGCCTCCGCTTCGGTGCGTCCATATCTTCGTCGTGGGCCAGGGCTCGGTGCCTAGGACCATACTGTGCCATTTTGCACTCGGCGTGTTCGCTCAGACGGAGCGATACTCTACTTCTGCCCCTCGCGACACGGATAGTTCTAGGTAGATCAAACAGTGAGATGCGACTTCATCTATCCGCTTGCTTCTGATGCTCTTCTTGGCTTGCATTTATCATGCGCCATATGTCCATTCCTTGCAGTAGTACGTGTGAACTCAGCTCCACATCTGGGGCAGGAACTTTTCGACGCAGTTCCTGATTTCTCCCGTTGATGTCGCAGAAGGTTACTGAACGTAGAGAACTGCCGTCCATTGCACCCGTGTTCCCAACACTGCGGCTTTGGTCGGGAATTCACAACACGTGGCATTACTGAATTACCTTGCGTGCTCGGTGATGAAGACAGTGCAGGTACTGAGCCACTGGGTGGTGGAGCACTCTGCGAAGACTCGTACGAAGGATACACGGCAGGTGTCGTGGTCGTTGGTGGGTACATCGTTGGTAGAGGGTGATACTCGTTGGAACCATAAGTAGTTGCTGGGTACGGTTGTGAACTACCTTTTATCAGTGACGATCTCCGCTAGATTCCTGATCAACTTACGATGAGTAGGTGTTACTACCCAGTGACTGAGCCGGGACGCTATTATGGGGCGCTGAATACGTGTAAGAATGTGCCGAAGGAGCCATAGGAGATGCATGGCCTCGCAAAAGATCGGTAGACTGTTGCTGCTGGTACGGACTCCGTGGAAGTGATGGGTGCTGGGGCTGGTATGGCGGCAAAATAGGGTGTTGATCAGGTCTTCTTTGCTGACTTTCGTTGTGCACTGGACTTGAAGCATAAGATGAGCTGTATGGATTTGAGTTTGAAGACCTTGGCTCCGCGTAAGATTGCAGCGGTGGATAGCCTGATGAGTAAGAGGTCTGTGGAGAGCCGTAATGACCCATACCGTACTGCGAAGATGGCATCATGAAGCCCAAGGTGCTGCTCGTGTCAGAAAACGTTGACGTTCACGTTATGGTCAGTGGGGTAAAATACCTCATATCTTGCAATTCTAGAGACGATCTGTTCGGCTGCTCGAGGTCTGCCGACAACTGTAGCTCGAGGTCGTTGCTACCAGAAATGGAAGATACTGGCGATGAGACAAGAGCGGGTGCTCGTGTGGGCTGGTCGTGTGAAATGTGCGCCGCTCGAAGGTTGACACTTGACTCGAGTTCGGAGTTGGAACCTTGAAGGGACTCGTGATGCGAGAAATCTAATGCTTGCGCAAAAGAAGGATTGGGAGACGGGTCGTGGTCAGATTCCAATAAATGGAAGGTGTTGTTAGGTGGGATGTCTTCGAGAACGTGTGAAGTATTCCAGGCTAGTGGAAGTGGGTGCGACCCGGGCGTCTGATAATCAATGGAATTGTGGCGGGGCGTTGGCAAGTCTGCGGCACGGTGGGAGCGAGCTCCTCTTATTTGTGGAATTTCTGGTGGCTGAACAGATAAGTTCTGGTCGGCACGGTCCCTAAGTCTTCGTGAGATGGTCGTCGTCTTGGGTTGATGGGTTTTGGAAGACCGATGGGTCATGTTCAACAACGGAAAGGCAACATCTGATGCGGAGAGTACCAGTGGGGTAGACGTACGTTTGTGTTTCTGGACACGGCCCGTCAGGTGGGATTATACCAGCCTTATGGCAAGTTGAATGCGAGGCAGAATCACGAATCTAACCTTGACGTTTGACGGTGCCCATGTGGTCTGCGCCCTACATGGGGGATACTGGATGCACAGTAACAGAGCATCTGAGCTTCATGACCCAACAACGACAGAGCCGGCTTTGCGGCTGTGGACTCGAAGGATGCTGATCCTAGTCGTGAACAATCCTAGCCCTCCGACCGTTGACTAGCCACAGGACGTGCACCCGCAATGGGTGCCTGGCAGGCCTGGGCCGGGGGTACCCACGCACCAGGAAGAATTGCGCGACTCTCTCTAGATTTGAGGATTGTAGGCATGCCTCGTGTTCTGCCAGTAACTTCTTCGCCATGACCCCACCACTAATCCGAAAGTCTGTCCCTGACAACCATCAAGTGATGCCATCGCTACATACAGCGTTGGCGGTGCCACGAATGCTGGCGTTGATGGGCGCCCTATTCGCCAAGCAGAGGGTTGGTGGCGCTCATAATCCCGCGCCTGTGACGAAGAGCCAAACCGTGTTAAGTTTGGTGTTGAGAAATGGCCTGTCAGATCTCTCTGCGTTAGCCGCGGGTGGGCCGCGACAATACACGATAGACAGGATGTGTGCGGCTTCGGGTAAGATGCGGTCGAAAGAGGGGTGGCGTATGCCCAGCTTCAACCTGAAAGATCACGGACACTGCCACGGGAGCATGCTGTTCATCAACTCAAACCCCGTGTCATGCTCTGCCAATGCACAGCTCATTGTGTCGTTCTAAATTTGGCTCGCTGCAGTATCGCCCGAGCACGTGCTGGCCAATGCCTAAGCGGCCCGTTGTCTTTCGGAAGCGATGCCGTTAATGTGAACGGCAAGAACTTGGCGGCACGCCTGCAGTGGTGTCACTTCTGGAAGACATCTCGAAGCTTCAGAGAAGACATATGACTCTGGGAACAACTCTTCATGAAAGTACAGAGGGAAATGGTGGAGACCGAAACGAGACCTTGGGATGGGATGCTGAAGAGTCCACGTGTTTGAAATTTCGGAGGGGCATGCAAGTGCTGCCTTTCACGGTAGATATTCTGGCCCCACTCCGAGAGAAGCTTGACCTTTGATGTGTTTGCGGAGACTGGAGTTCGGCTCCGTATGTAGAACTCAGGCCATCGTGACCCCCTAGTGCAATGACGAGCGCACAGCTACGCGTGTGAAGTGTGTCGTGGCGCTATGAGTGCCAAGGCCCTTGTGATTGGACAGGGCTCTTTGCCAATTGCAACTCCACGCCTCCCCCTAAACAGCCATCTCATCAAAGCCACAAATCACTATCGCCGAAAGTAGCGGGTCCTGCCTATTCTCGAATTTGAGACGGCTCAGTTTTGCGTGGATCCACTGCGCCGGAGTCGACTTATACCGATTCCGCCCTGGTACGCGAGCACGCAAAGGATGCCGGCCGGCAGCAATCATTCGGCTTCATCATAGCTCTGATATTATGCAAGTCAGTCACCACCTGGCCACTGATACCACCGTTGCGGTCATGTATGTAAGGACACGAGATAACCGCGTGCGGGACTCATAGTCTACTGTTATCTAAAGACCCACGGTACCCGCAGGCATCTCCGTGGTTCCAAGGTTGGTCAGCCTTAACGCATCGGCGGCGACCGTAGTCTTCAGGTCCCCGAAAAATTGAGGCTCAGCCCTGGGTTGCTGCAAGTCTGCTCACGCAAATATTTCCCAGCCGCCGCTGGCACGCCTGATGGACCATACGAAGCCGAGCTTAAGATGCACTCACGCCAGGCAGCATGAAGCGAAGTTCATGCGAAGCTAAAATGCCCAGCCTGGTATTTCCCTGGTAAGTCGCAGGGACTGGAGTCCCCACATTGTCGGTATTGTACTATAGGCACATTTGTCACATGTCTTATACGATACCTCCAATATCCTCTGGATCGCACTATGCCAACTTAAACACCATAGCTGTCACAGCTGTTAGCAGTTATGACAACACTGTGAAGTTCTCAAGTGAAGCTGAATTTTGCATGAATTCGCTGCGTCAGGTCGAATATGCAAATGACTGATTCAAATGTGTGGAGGAACCGTTTCTGCTCTTAGCATAGTGCCTGCTATACAGGCTCAACTAAGTACCCAGGTGTTTCGTCTAACACGATATCGAAAGAACAACGTAACACGCGCAGCCTGTCAATTACAGATCACTGACAGTACTAACCGTAGTTGCATTTACTACTGGCTTGCTGTTCCATTGCCATTGCGCGTCTCCACAAAGACGTGAAGCGTGTTTACCTTCATCGTAAGCCAATTATTCTTAGTGACAAAGCAGACGCCTTACAAGACCTCATCCAAGCCTCAGCATTGATCGCTACTGGACTTCGATCTCGCAAATGACCTGGCCGAATCACAGCCCTCTTAGGCCTTCCATACTGCTTACTGTGTTTCACTACGGAATGTCGGAACTGCTCAACCGCCCCAGAGAGCCTCACAGCATCCAATCAATAGAACGGTCTGCCTTAACGATCCAGCAACGGCCCAGGTAGCTTTTGCGAACCAATAAATGCACCCAGACAAGAACGATTGAAGTTTGCGACACGAGCATCGAGGAACTGTCAGACCAACATGGGTACCTGCATGGGATAGTCAAGGGTAATGATACTTCGGTTATGCCAGAGGCCAGTAATTACCGAGTACGTGTCGCAGAACATGCCTAAGCAATATGTGCACGTTGTGGAAAACACCTATGCCGATCAACAACAAAACGTCACAGATGTGACGGGGAAACTGGTTTCCGTCGGGAATACGCGTATAGTGTGTCTACTGACTCGCTACAATGTTCACTCTCCATCATCAGTGACATGATCCACCCAAAACCTGTGGAATCGATCACAATGGTTCCAGCATGACGCATTCGTCCTTTCTCTCATGACCAGGTTCTGATCCCGGCGTATGTCCGAAAAGTTGTGTCCATCGCAGCGCAAGATCTGCGTCAGACATTTCTCGATTCTGATTTTCCCGTCCTGAGTGCAAGATCGACACAGAGCATGATGTTCTCTCATGAGTGTGGTAACGAACGAGTGACGTACAGAGATTTCTTTCATGGCTGGAGTAGCACTCCCATAGCCCGGACTCTCACTGCATGAATTGGACACGAGATCCATGGCAACGACTTCAATAGATAAGTGCCACCGATATCTGCAGCTGCATACAGCAAGTACGAGACACTTAGCAAATGTTCAGTAACCATACATCGGTACGTTTAAAATTCGGCCTGCATCGCTATATTTGCAGCTACTTTCTCGTTCGTTTCGCCCCAAACTACGACTGCGCAGAAGGAATGGCATCCAACGCCCTTTTGAATGTCTCGACTAGTTTGCCTGTCTCCTCCAACCCCACACTAAATCGAATCAGATCAGCTTCAACACCCCATTTCGCGCACTATGATACCATTGTTAGCAAAGCCGCCATGTCAGCAGCGAGAGAGAAGGTAAGTTACTTACCCAGTCCAATTCTCCATAGTGCGCAAGAATCACGTAGGGCGAACTCAACGTGAAGTTTGTGCCTAAACTGGGTCCTTTCACGGTGTCGAGGTTGTCGAAGAAAGCGATCGCGTCCGCTTTAGTGAAAAAGGTCGCGGACAGGAGACCGCCGTAGCCACCGTTGGGGTTACGGCATTTCTCGTAGAAATGGCGAGTTGGTGACGTCTTGGGGTAGTTTACTTGTTTGACTGTCTAGTGTTAGGCAGATGCTTTAATTTGACATGTGACGGCGGAAAGTATATGAACGCAAGGGTGTAATAGAAATACAAAGATATGGAGGGAAAACATACCGCGAGGGTGTGCGCTCAGTACATCGCAGATGGCTTCAGCGTTGGTACCGATACGATCAATTCTTGAGACAAAGTCTCGGCTGTTGCGCTCGAGGAAGATGCTGTCTTCGGCCCAGTGGTTATCTTCGTAGTCTTCTTCCCATGTTCGTTTGAGAAGGGCATAGTTCTTTGCTTTTGGGTTGAGCACGAGGCTTTAAACGTTTGTCAGCAGATGTTCTCTGGAATAGAGACGTACAAGAAGTGCTTACCCTCCACCCATCACGTTACTGTCTCCACTAAAGACCTTGGTTAAACTACTGACAACGACGTCGGCATATTGTAAAACATTGACGTTTATGAAGTTGCCAATAGTCTCATCTACAACTACGCAGAAGTCGTACTGGTCCGCTAGTTTGCGTATCCGCTCTAGGTCTGGTGACCTCAGCAGCGGATTTCCTGGGAATTCAGTGAACAGCGCGACGAATCTTTCGCCGCCTTCCAGACGCTGTTCGAGGTCGTCCAGCTCCTCTGCTGAGCCGAACCCGTAGAACTGCGAGCCTGGTCCGAACTTCTCGGTTATCTTCAGTGTATCGATATAAGGGAAGCTGATTTTGTAAGCGTGGTATAAAGGGACGAAGTAAGAGGCTTACCCGTAAACAATGGCTCTCTTTGAGCCCTTTGCTCTCAAGAGATTCCGGTGAGCATTGAAAATCGAGCTCATTCCTGTGGGGTACAGATATACATCGTCTTCAGAGAATCCTGCGACCGGCCGCCTCCTTGCAGCATCATGATCCAAGGTCATTGCTTCTGTCAAACTGACGTCCGCAGTCAATGAACCCGCGATGCGCCGGCGAATGGCTAATTTTGCGTTCTTAGTTTTGGAGAGATCCAGGTTTCGACCAAATCTCTCTTCCACAAACTGAGTGGGATCCTGCACCTCTCCATTGCCGTTGGTGAAATCGCCCGAGGTGTCCAGGTCAATTGACGTCTTCTTCTGATATCGTCTGGGACCCTTGCATACTCTTGCTGACTGATTAAGCGTCGAAGCGTCTACTAGAATGCCTTCCTTGAAAAGCTGGGAGCAGTACTCCGCTCTTCGACTTGACACACCATCCCCAGAGTGCTGCCAGAATGCTTTGGCAATGCTAAAGCGCTCTTTTGGGAAGAGGACAGCTGAGACTCTCGGGGATATGATCTGCAACTCTTCCGAACGTGCTCTCTCAGCTGCAGGTACGAAATCAAGAATCCGGACTTGCGACGCATCCAGGTCGGGTGCTTGCCGTAGGAAGAAGTCCTGACATCTTGATGCGGTGGCGTTTGTGGGGAACAGCATCGCACTCTCTTCATCTTTTCCATGCTTCTCGACGATGGCAGCCGCAAAAGCTTGTATAACCTTATGTATGAAGAATCTTTTGATGGTTAGCGTGCGTTCGCCATGTACTTCGCCACACCGCACCTAGGATAGCCAGTCTTCATTTTGCTGATAACCCATTCTTCACCCTCTTCATATCCTACGTTTGCCCGCCATGTCGGCAGTGAGACACTGACAGCCTACACTCGTTAGTACATTGTATGGAGTCCATTAGTGAAGTTGGACGCACGTGCTCAGTTGCCGGTGGCAGACTCTCTCCCACTTCTACGTCATTCTCCAGGACCATTGGCGACATGTCGAAAGTTGATATGGGGAGAAATAATAGAACAGCGACTAAAGGGTGAGAGGGACACCAGTAATGGGGCAGGTAAATCAGATATAAAGACGCAATGACTCCAATTGCACAAGGGATTATTCCAAAAGCCGATTAGCTCCGACTTCGGCACTTGCGACGTGCTAAGTGGAAATTTAAGGTTATCGATAATGCAGCGTCACTTTCTCCGCGTCTCTATGGCAGCCCGGAACGTGACTGCATCCACATATGCACCCTCGACTGGGGCATTTGAACCGGTTCACGCTCGCACTGGCCCCACTTTTGCGTTGTCTTCTTCTGTAGGAGCTTAGGCTAGCTCCCCAATCGACACGATACCACCAGCACAACAATGGACAACCTCACCCCATCGGACCTCTTCTCGCCATCCAAGGCGCGCCAGCAACGTGCGCAGGCTCAGGACTGGGCGCATATCGACTCATGGCTGTCGTACAAGTACGCTGGTCGTACAGTGCCGACGTTCGAGCGCAATGACGAAACGCTCAAAGTACTCCGTGAGCTGTCTATGGCGAACGAGAGGGCGGATGATGAGAGGACGGTAATGGAGCGCTTAGAGAGGGAGGCTTTAAAGGAGCTGGATGAGGTATGAGAATTATAGGTCCGCAATAGCAGTCGCGCTTCGAGCACACCGCTCACGACGGTAGGTCCAAAGGAATGAAGACGACGAACAGATACTATCGAGCCTCAAAGCAAGCCTGACTCCCGAAGGCGAGCAGGCGCTTGATGCGCTGGCATCTACAGCTGTAGCCCTCAATGCACCGGCCGCCAACCCTGAGACCATCGCGCACGCTCTCATACAGCATACGACCGCCTCACAGAGCCTCACGAATCAGCTGGCGCATATTCACACGCTACAGAACTACTTGGATAAGCAGCAAACCCTCCTCCGAACCCAACTGCACGAGCTGCAAACGAACCCCGCCTTCGCAACGCCGTCCAGTCTCCAGCGCCAGACGACGGAACAGACGCGTCAGGTTAAGCACCTACGTACAAAGATCCGCGAACACGAAGACAAATTGTCGTCCCTTCAATCATCGCAGTCGCGAAATATGACGCCAGGATCCAAGAACATTGGATCTGCCGAGGCCATCACCGACATGTTGGAGCAGCAGAAGGTTCTGGATGAGCTGCGAGAACGAGTCGAGGGCTTGGAGCGGCAGGTTGCCGAGTTTGGCGGCTTACCTGCAGACAAGGAAGCTGCCAGGAAAGAAGTGGGTAAGCTGGAGGTTAGGCTTGACGAGTTACGTAGGAGCAGAGACGAGTTGTTCGAGGGCATGATTGGATAGTAGTGGTACAAGACGGCTATAGACTACAAGACCCTTGGAATTCTACCTTGACCTACACTGGCGCATCCGTCAACGGCACATACTGTACACCATACAACTTTTGGCGCTCAAGACTACCGTCTTCCTTCTTGTCGATGACATAAATATACTGCGCCCAGCCTTCGGCGACTGGGACAAAGAGCCGGCCCGGAGCTTTCAATTGATCGGTCAAGGCCTGGTGGTGGACAGCAGCAGCAGCTCCGACATGAATGGCATCGTACGGCGCACCCTCTGCCCAACCTTTCCGCCCATCTCCGGTCACAAATTTGACATGCCCTGACTCCAACATGCTCTGTCCCTCTTCTGACTTCCGCATGTTGCTGTCTGCTAGATCGTTCAAGGGCTGAATATGATCGATGCCAATGACGGTTCCGTTAGGCGCAACTAGGTTGGCGAGAACAGCTGTAAGATAGCCTGAGCCGGAACCGACATCAAGGACTTTGGCACCGGGCTGCAGGTGGTCGAGAAGTGTTTCGCACGCTGAAGCATGCATGTGCGGTGCGGAGATGGTGGCCTTGTGGCCTATAGGCTGTGGAGAATCTTCGTAAGGTGATGCTGGGGCGTAGTGCGCGCGGTCAACCTATTGACTGTTATTATACCTGAACTAGTTGTTGTTTTCGACACGTCTAATCCTACCCGTAGCATGGCGTCTCTGACACGTTCAGACCCAATAAGCTTGTTATTTACGAGATTTGTGATCAGCGCCTCGTTAGTCTCTCCAGAACTTCGCCAAGCCATGCTGAAAGCTCTACTCTGTACCTCGATATGGCGGTGACTGGTGGAAAGAGAGGGCCCGCGTATGCGGTTGAGCTTAGTTAGGAACGGCACCGTGAGTAGAGATGTTTTAGGAAAGCAAGGGGAAAGGATACTATAGTCAAGTAGATATGTACTCATGTGTATTGTTGACCACCATGAAGCTCCAGGCTAACGCGATTATGACTGTCAATAGCTCATGGTGCATGCATAGAGTACATGTGGCAAGCGCGCCCAGGTGAGGAGCTCGTGGAGCTGTCAATGAGGGGTGTGATGTAAGGGACGCGACATGCTTGATCCCTGCTATCGATAAGACGACCCTTGTCGCGCCAAAAGTCCAGAGAAATTTCGCGTCGCATTCGACCAACCCTCAAGCACAACCGCCATGGCCCCACCCGCGACAAAACGAAGGAAGCTCGAGCACAGCGACTCGGAAGCTGAGAGCGAAGGGAGTTTTGCTGACTTTGGTGAGGCCGACACTGGAGCCGCGCTGGACGCAAGCAACGCCGAAGATGCAACCGCCCAGAGCGGAGACGACATGGACGGCGTGGAAGCCGCCGAAGATGGCGAGGATGACGAGAGCATAAGCGAGGATGAGGAAAATGACTTCGAGGAAGAGGCAGATGTTCATCCGAGCAGAAAGCAGACCACCGCCGGCAAAGCGACGAGCGCAGCGAAGCCACCTAAGAGACCTGCGCCGAGCCTCCAGGACGGCGTATACACCGCCGAGTCCTTCAAGTCAAACATGTTCAAGCTCCAGCTGGATGAGCTGTTGGATCAGGTCAAGCTGAAGTACGGCAAGAGAGAAGCTCCTGCAGAGAACGCAATGCGAACCCTCAAGACCATCATTGAGCAGATACCCAGCCGCGATCCACTACCGGTTCGTTACAGAAGAATTGAGTGGAAGAAACATAAGCTGACAATACGCAGATCGCTGAAGCCGAGAAAGCCCTCAAGTCAGCCGGTGTCGCAGTTCCCTTCCCCACTCCTCGCCCGCCGAAAGACGCCTTGTATAAGCTGCAGTATGAACGACCTGCGAGCATCAATGCGACCGGCAGTTACCCGCTCAAGACTGCGACTCGACACGAAGACGTCTTCTCCGTCGATCTGGTAGTCACAATGCCGAAGAGCATCTTCACCGACAAGGACTATTTGAACCACCGATACTTCTACAAGCGCTCGTACTATCTGGCTTGTTTGGCTGCTGGGATCAAGTCTTCGAAAGAGCACAAGTTCAAACTGTCTTTCGACACTCTGAATGGAAACCAGCTCCAGCCCATTTTGACTGTACGTCCGAGCGGAAATGGGGATGCTGATGACTTCTCGAGCTCCAAATGCCATATCAACATCTTGGTCGCATTGCCAGAAAACACCTTTGCGCCAGGTAAACTTTTGCCCAACTCGAACTGCGTGCGCCCCAAAGGCAGCGACGACGAAGCGTCTGGCAAGGCTCTTGCTGCAACGCCATTCTACAACAACACCCTACAGTCGGACACCAACGTCACAGCCTACCTCAAGCTTCTCCACGGTACCGCATCGAGAGCTGAAGCGTTCAAGGATGCTTGTATACTTGGTCGTATTTGGCTGAAGCAGCGTGGTTTTGCCAGTCAGCTTCGCAAGGGGGGATTTGGCAATTTCGAATGGGCTGCAATAATGGCTATACTCTTGCAGCCGAATGCCGGAACTGGCGCTCAAACCGTTTCTTCTGGTTTCAGTAGCTATCAACTCTTCAAGTCGACACTGCAGTTCTTGTCGAGAGGCGATCTTACCAAGAAACCATTCATCTTCCAGGCAACCAACATTACTATACCAAAGACAGAGACTTCGCCTGTCGTGTTTGACGGACCGCGAGGACAGAACGTCCTTTTCAAGATGACCCCATGGTCCTACTCGCGCTTGCGATCTGAAGCCAAAGCAACTGTAGACATGCTGAGCGACTCTGTGTTCGATCACTTCGACGCTGCCTTTATTCTGAAGACAGAGTTGTTGAAGTACCGTTACGACGCCACACTCGAAATCCCCTTCGCGTCGCTTGGATTTGATACAGCAGGCGAGGAATACGACCAACGTATTACCGAGACTTGCAGGAAAATCAACAGTACCCTGACCCGCGCTCTTGGTGACCGTATCACAGCTCTGTCTTTTACTATGCCTGGAGAGGAATCCTGGTCCATATCATCGCGACGCCCGCAAGAAAAGCAAAGCAAGAGCATACTTGTAAACTTTGCTACGGATCCTGCAAACGCCACTCGTACCGTTGATCATGGCCCTTCCGCAGAGAACAAGCAGGAAGCTGCTTCCTTCCGCAAATTCTGGGGCGAGAAGGCGGAGCTCAGGCGCTTCAAGGATGGTAGCATTCTCGAGAGTGTTGTTTGGTCCGTCAAAGACACATCAGCTTCGGTGATGGAACAGATTGTGCTTTACATCTTAGGTAAGCATGTGGGCGACAAAGTGGCAGAGTCAGCCAGGTTCTCAAGTGATGCGTTCGGCCGCCTTATACCGGCTGGTCAGATGCAGGGACAATCCGGAACGGCGCCATTCTTACCCATTATGAACGCTTTCAGTGCAATGGAGAAGGACATCCGGGACTTGGAAGAGCTCCCGCTTCGACTTCGTCATCTGAGAGCCGCGGACCCGCAATTACGTTATTCATCCATCGATGTTCCATCCCCAGGCCACACTCCTGCCTCAGTCGTACTACAATTTGAAGGTTCTGGACGCTGGCCGGATGACCTTTGTGCCATACAGCGGACCAAGATCGCTTTCCTGCTCAGGCTAGCTGAGCTTTTGTCAAAGCTCGAAGCCGGCTACGTCGCTCGTGTTGGCATGGAGAACCCGTCACAGCCAGCTCAGAACCAGGCGTTCCTTGATGTCACTGTGGTTGCGGGTTTCACGTTCCGAATCCGTATCTATCACGACCGTGAGCCTACTCTGTTCGATCGTCAAATCAAGGATAAGTCGCTGGATGGCGTATCGAGAGAGTCCGCGGCTACATCCCTGGCATTGTACAAGCGCGAGTTCGTACAGGCGCCTCTACATTCGCAAGTCCTACAAACCCTATGTACCCGATTCCTGGCCCTTTCACCAGCGATACGGTTGACGAAGAAGTGGTTCGCGTCGCACCTCCTCGCCCCACACTTTTCCCCTGAACTTATTGAGCTTCTCGTCATTCGCACGTTCCTACAACCATATCCTTGGCCCGTACCTTCAACCGCAACCACCGGTTTCCTACGAACATTGTCATGGATCAGTCGATGGGACTGGAGACATGTCCCGCTCATTGTAGACTTCTCAACAACATTTTCTGCAAACCCTGCAGATCTGGAGGACACCACATCCAAAGGCATGAAGTCTGAAGATCTCGACCGGTTGCGGACACGATTCGAAGCATGGCGTCGCATAGATCCCGCTATGAACCGCGTCGTGCTCTTCGCTGCGACCAATCTAGACGAAGAGGGTACAACTTGGACAAACAAAGCAAAGCCCGAGAAGGTCGTTGCTGCGCGCTTGACCGCATTGGCGAAGGCCGCTACACAGGCTGTTCGTGCGGACGAAGAACGTCTGCTGGGGCACATCAACAACATAGATGCTGCTAAGATGCAAGAGGCTCTGAACCCAGGATTGCTCTTCACACCTGGTGTCTCCGACTTCGATATAGTCATAACTGTATCATCAAAGTACACTCTCAGACCAACAAAATCTACCAAGAGCACACCCAAGTTCAAGAACCTCGACCTTCAAAAGGCAACATCAAGTTTATCGCCGGCCGTAACACCACTTCCACAGCTTTTTGCACAAGATCTGTTAGATGTCTATGGCGATGCTGTGTTATGGTTCTGGGACCCGGAGACACTGGACAAAATTGTCGGATTATGGAATCCGATAGCCACCGCACAGAGAGGTTGGAAGATCAAAGCTGGATGGAACAGCGTGCCAGTCACTGGAAAGAAGGATACCGTTGAGATCAAAGTAAATTCAGAGGTCATTGTGCATGAGATTAAGCGACTAGGTGGGGAATTGGTTAAGAGCATTGACGTCAAGAGCTAGTGTGTTGTAGGTAATCAGAGAATAGGAGCTTCTATCACAAGATTTTCAGAGAGACAATGAAACGGATTCAGTACCCAGTTCATTAACGTTCTCAAACATAGCATCAGCAGCGCGTTATGTATCTGGTGTACTCAACAATAATGTGGCTCAGTAGCCAAGACGCGCGTTTTGGCAGGATCGAAGGATGAGCATGCCAAATGCACAATACCGCACCTCTGCAATCCGTTCCCTAATTCGGCCTTGACTAGTTTGTTCCGAAAATAACGTAGAAACGGCAACGAAAGATAGAGATCTAGCATGAAAATGCTGGGATGCATGGAGCGTGTTCGCCCCTGACGCTTTTTCGTTACTGCCACAAGCGTACATACGAAGTATAACCATTCGGTCGACATGACAAGTCTACCAAACTCTTCTTAGCATAGCATGTCGCTATTCCCACTCTCAGGCCCGCAGTTCCACGCCACAATGCCCAAAGTAGTTAAAGTATAGTCCAGACTGCCAAGGGTTATCAACGCGGTACCCTCAACACTATCTCAAGTACACGTGACAAGGGTCATAGCGTAGACTCTTGTGATATAAAACCTATGGGTTTCGGCCGATGTCACGTGTCTACTTTGCTGCATTCAGCCTGGAGGACTTCGCTTAGCTTGGAGTACCCGCCTCCTTCGTCTCTGTTGGTCTGTGCGTGCTTACTCGGTATATGCTGCATCGACTATGCCTGGTAGAGGCACTAGTTGGCTCCTGGTTCAAGGTGAATAGAAGGGAATATAAGATGGAGGGTATGGTAGTGAAAGATACTCAACAATATGTCTCCTCATATTTTCTCAAGTGGCCTGCGGGCTTGTACTGAAGAGGAATGGATAAAGACTACACTTGTAACGCCTCTCATTTCTTGTGTTGGCAGAGAAGAGCAGGGCTTGAAAAGGTATCTGGGAATCAAGTATGGCAAGCTGGGGGATTGGCTTGCGGCGCCTAAGCTTGTTGCTGAGTATGGGGAGAAAATGGTTGATGCTACAGAGTTCGGGTAAGTCACTTCTGTTCCACTCATCTCATCCTTCAAGTAGCGTACTTACAACACTAGACCTCGTGCGCCAGCAATGGACGGTTGCGCATTCGAGCAGTCAACCCTGATCCAATGTACTATCGGCACTGGCCCTGAGATTCCCATGTCCAGCACTGAGTGCCTCAACCTCAACATTACTGCTCCATCCCTTCCCAGTGGTATGAGTATTGCCGTCCCGGTGATGGTCTTCGTACATGGCGGTGGATTCATCATGGGCGCAAACTCCTGGCCGCAGTACGATCCAGCGCGTCTAGTCAGAATGAGCGCAAAACTTGGCACCCCAGTTATCGTCGTCAACGTGAACTACCGTCTAGGTGCCCCAGGAAACCTGACGAGCGAGGAATTGAGGAAAGCTGGATACCCTGGGAACAACAGTTTGAGGGATCAAAGATGTGCGTTGCAGTGGGTTAGAAAGCACATCGGTGCATTCGGAGGTGACGCGGATAACGTTACCTTGTTTGGTGAGAGCGCTGGTGCTGGTACGTTGTTGTTCCGTGGCATTTCAGTGGGCTGTAACAGAGCTAACCAGGTAAACAGTCTCGGTGTTGCATCAATTGAGTTCCAAAGAGCCATTGTTCAGACGTGCGATAAGCATGTCGGGAACACCGATCATGCTCAAGCCACTATCACCGTCTGTTGCTGAGAGATCATATAACGCCATCGTGCAAAAACTAGGCCTCACGCACGTTTCGACCCAGGAACGTATCAATAGTCTTATTGCCATGAGTCCGGAGGAACTTGTTGAAAAGACTCCAATGGATATGCCACTTCTACCTTACATCGATGGCGATATTCTCTCAGAAGCAGCCACATTCACGCAACTTTCGACCGATACACTCCAGAGTCTGAACAACAGCTGGTGCGAAGAGTTGCTGATAGGATCATGTGCTCATGATGGCAATGTCTTCTTCTTCATGGGCCTTCCGAATGATGGGTCGGCGTCGGCGATCCATTCATCCTTCTCTCGCAATCTTCCTACGTCTGTCACCCAAGCCGTCTTATCAGCATATGGCGTTACACCTTCAACCCCTGACGATGAGGCCATGTCCTCCATCGTCAATTTAGCGACAGACATTGCGTACCGTCTCCCTGCAAAGTACTACGCTCGCGCATTCAAAGGGAAGGTTTCCTCCTACTTCTTCACCGAGCCAAATCCTTGGCAAGGCAGGTTCGAGGGCAAAAGTACGCATATGTTGGATGCGGCGTTCTTGTTCCAGAACTTCGAAGAAAACCTTCCTGTTGAGGCGAAGAAGACGGCTCGAAGATTAGCTGAGGACTTCATAACTTTTGTGCATGGACAGGCTGGTAGTGCATGGGCAGAAGGAAGGACCAAGGTTTATGGGCCAGAAATTGAGGAAGGAAATAAACTGGAAAATGTCGATCTAGATTGTCTGAGCGCGGCGTGGGACATGTTCGTTTCCGGTAAGTAGATTGGCAGGAATTTGCATAGCGATTTTGGCTCGACGCTTCCAAGACCATTCTGCGCTCTCGTACTAACCAAGCATATCCGTTGGAAAAAATATATAATCTAACTGTTGGTAAAGTCGTGTTTCTCGCCGAGGTATCTTCACGTGTAGATATCACCCAAGATGCACATCGGTCGGAAGTCCCCGAGCACCTTCACCCCCGCACGCTCCATGTAGTTTAGTGCGGGGTAACCTGTATCTGTCCACAACTCCCGGCGTGCTTCATGTGGGGTCTTCGCGACCCATCTCCACGCCCCATGGCCACAACCACGATGATGCCTGCCGCGCAGCTTAGCCGGAGGATGCGTCCGATCGGCAAAGACGCGAGCTTGGAGCAAGAGTCACCGGAACGACATATAGTACCTTTTACTTGCAAACCCTAGAGTTACCTTCGCAACTCGCATCATATCTGGAATAAACGGAGTAAAAGGATAATAACAAACATGTCAAAACCGGTGGCTATCGTAACAGGTGCAGGCTCCGGCATCGGCGAAGCAGTAGCAACCCACCTGTACAGCAAAGGCTATAAAGTCGTCATCGCAGACCTGAATCCATCATCAGGCGAACGTGTAGCCGCAAGCCTTGGCCCCGACGCGATTTTTCACCAAACCGATGTTTCCTCCTATAAATCGCAAGCACAGCTCTTCAAGCGCGCTTACGAATGGGGTGGCAACCGTCTGGACTTTTGCCATGCAAATGCTGGTATCGACGATAGACAGAACATCTTTGAGGATATGGACAAGGAAGAGGTGGATGAAGAAGGTCTGGTGAAGAAGTTGAATACGAAGACTATGGAGGTCAACCTCGAGGGCGTGATGCAGGGATTGTGGCTGTTCAAGTATTATGTTAGAAGAAGCAAGGAGGCAGGTGGTGGGAAGGGTAAATTCGTCGCCACGAGTAGTGCGGCCGGTTTATAGTAAGTACTTCTTTTCCTGGTGCTTGTGTTGAGACCGAGCACGAGACTAACGAGAGCCCAAGTTCCATGATACAATGCCCTCAGTACACAGCCAGCAAGTATGGCGTGGTGGGTCTGTGCCGCGCCTCTGGACCCGTATTCGTCAAGGAGGGCATCACAGTTAACGCAATCTGCCCAGCCTTTATTCCAACAAACCTCTGTCCTCCAGAAGTCGCAAAGCGCTGGCCTAAAGAGCACATTACGCCTTTGTCAACAGTGAACAAGGCTATTGATGCTTTTTTAGCAGATGACACATTGACCGGCCAGGCTGTAGAGTTGTCTCAAGAGAATATCTATTTTAGGCAGCCGGTCGATTACCCGAACGAAAGCCAGCGGTGGATTGGCGAGGAGAGTGATAAGATCTGGAATTTAGGCTACCAGGAACCACCAAAGAGGCAAGGATACTGAGAAAGATACAGCAAGTAGTACTTTTACAATGATCAAAACTCCTGTTCAATAATCCAATCCATCTCTTTCTGCTCTCTCGCTCTCCTCTCTCATAACCTTGGCATGCGCCTCACTCCTAGGCCGGATATCACAATGGAATGGCTCCGGCACACTAAAGAACCCAGGCTCCATCTTTGTGTTGACATGTGCTTCTTTGCCTTCTTTTCCAACCTTCTTAGTAAGGTTAAACCCCCAAAGTACCCGGGACACGTTGATAAAAAGTGAACGTTCGGCGACGTGCACGCCTGGACATGAGCGTCGTCCTGCGCCATAGGCGAAGTGGTCACGCTCTGAAGGATCGGCAGTATTCATGTAGTGTGCTGCAGATGCAGTATGGTTTAGGTAGCGAGAGGGATCGAAAGCTGAGGGATTGGGCCAGAGGTCTGGGTCGTTGTGAATTGCCCTGTGACGATCAGTAAAATCTTCATCTCAGGATGCCAACAAGTAAAGTGAAGAGACAGAGAGTCATACCACCAGTTCAGCACTACAATACTTCCCTTGGGAATGAACCAGCCCTCGTACCAGTCATCCTCGCTAGTCGCATGCGGCATTCCAAATTTGTTCACTGGTCTCCACCTCAATACTTCCTTAATCACACCTCTCACATAGGGCAAATTCTCCTCATCCTCCCACGTCGGCAATCTGTCCTTGCCAACCACACGATCCAACTCTTCCTGTGCCTTCTTTTGCGCCTCAGGGAATAAAACCATAGAAAGGACAAAGTTGTTCAGTGTCGTACCGGTAGTTTCAGACCCGGCTTCAATCAGCCCACCGCACGTGTACGCTGCAGCCAGCTCATCGATGCCCGACTTCTCGGGTCCGTTCAGGTAAAATGTCTTTGTGAAGCAATCTTTTGCTACTCCGGCATCCGTGTCCTTCTTGAGCTTGTTCCAGAGATCAAGGTACACTTTGCTATCCTGTTCATGGAGCTTCTGGCCGTGTGTTCTCCAATTCCCGAACAGCCATTGCGGTAAGGACGCTAGCGCAGGAAACGAATCAATGGCCCATGCTCCTGGTGCAGTATTTCTAGTGAAGCGCTCCAGCACGTCGTAGATGCGTTTTATGAGTGGATCGTCCCAACTGGGTATGCGATAGCCATATGTGACCAGCATTATGACGCTGGCGGAGTAGCGTCTGTTGATGGACATGAAATCGTTGGAATCTTGCATCAATTGTTTTAACAGAACTTTGCTCTCAAAGTCTTGAACAGGTTGGTAATTGATACTCGCGTTGAGATTGAGGAGCGCGTGGCTATGTTTTCGGATGCTGCGCCACCTGGGTCCATATTGCATGAACAATTGGCGTCGCCCTGCGGATAAGACATCTTGTGCCATGGGTGCAGGGGCTCGTGAGGAATAGATGTTCGATTTCTTATCCATCAAGTCTTTGACGGCCTTTGGTGAAGATAGCCATATGTAGTCTGTTCCGCCAATCTTGGTATGAAATACATGACCATATTGTTTGCGCCATGCGACGACTTTATCACGCACAGCTTCCGTATCTGCGAGCTCGAAGAGAGAACCGACGAATGGGTGCCCTTTTGGGCCTGGTGGTAGATGTCGACGCCGAGAATCCTACAGGTGAGGTCAGCAGTGATACGAGACGGGCTATCGGATGAACAACGTTACCTTAATAGCGTTCGGCACAACAATGAAGTATACCGTCAACAAGAGTAGTATTGGTGTTGTAGTGACTAACCCTAGTTTGAGGACGAAAGATGATCTCCAAGATGCCTGAACGATATCGAGGATGGACATGGCCGATGCTCGCTATGTGGAGATGAAAAGCTCAGTCACTACGAATTCTGACTGTTCAAAGATCAACTTCAAGTTTTTTCCCAAGTAGAGCTGGACTATCATAGGTTGAAGTCTTTCAATCTTTACGGTAGCTCTTGTTGGTGCCGCATCAGACCAAGCGTTGGGGTATAGTCGTGGGCGTTGCAGCTTCCCCGCAAATGCCCCACAAACCGATGTACCCCAGAATACACCAGTACGGTACTAGTGGAATGAAGTCGGCAATGAAGATATGAGGTCAGAGTTGAGTAAAAAATTCATGGACAGTAAAGAAAACCGAGCGACACGAAGACTTTACAGTCTCGACAATTGCCGACCATGCCGTTAGATCGCGACGCATCCGGTCTGACATTCGTTCACCACCCCTCCGGTCAGCGAACTCACTACATCCTCGACGACTTTACCGATCCTTGGCAACCCCGAGAGACAATCTTGATACAACATGGTTTTGGGCGGCATGCCGCGTTCTGGTACCATTGGGTCCCAATCTTATCTCGCCAATACCGTGTCATACGACGCGATTTGAGAGGCCACGGACACTCTAGTTATCCAAAGGACACAGCAAAGTATGACTATACCGTAGATTCAATCTTGGAGGAAATCCTCGACACGCTCGACCAACTCAGCGTGGAGAAAGTGCATTTCCTTGGCGAGTCAACTGGAGGTATGCTGGGCGAGATATTCGCAGCCAGGCATCCCGAGAGAGTTTTGAGCTTGACAGTATGCTCAACACCTACTCATTTGCCGCCACAAGCTCTACAACTCTTTGCGTTTGGTAAGAAGAATTGGCCGGCAGCATGCAGGGAGCTTGGATCGCGGGGTTGGGCGGAGGCCTTGTCGCGAGTTCCTGGCACAATTCCGGTTTCGGATCCGCACTATCTTCCGTGGTATCTGGAACAGATTGCTGTTAGTGATGGTGAGGGGTTGGCTCAGTATGCGGAGTTCTTGTCAACACTGGACGCGAGACCGTGGTTGAGGGAGATCAAAGTACCAACATTGATCTTATCGCCAACGCAGAGTGCTGCTGTGAAAGTACAAGACATGGAGGTTTTGGCTGAGACAATCCAAGGAAGTAAGTTGGTGCTCGTCGAGGGCCCGGGCCATGAGATATATGTCAGTCAGGCAGAGAGATGTCAGGAAGCATTCCTCGCTTTCTTGAGGGATGTGAGTAGACAAGGCACTGAAAAAACAAGTCAGCATGACTAATGGTTGTAACTTTTCATTATTGAGTGCTGCCTGTGCCATGTACAGACGTATTCGCTGGTATCGCTTCAATCCGGTTCCAAATACACAATAAAACAATGCCCGCCCATTGTCTGCACGAAACGCCGCCAATGCAACCATGAGTGGGTTTTAACCTGTACGCTCCCAATGCGCCGCTATGCAATTATCATATGATGTGTGAAGCCGATAACGCGAGTAATGGATGTGGTGTGCTACGCACCGGGGTTGGTGGTGTGGCGTATTGCAGTTCATGCTTCTAATCGTTCCCGTTCCCGTCGTCCATTCATATCTAAGGCCATCTTTTTACTGAACTCGTAGCAGCTAATCATGATAGCGCATGCAGGCGCGATCTTGAGACATCTGGCTGCCCAGCCCTTGAACAGACCCGGCATGCCTTGTTCGCGGTAAATATGCGCGAGGAAGCGTGGCATGGATTGGTCTTCTGGCCGTGTTGAGTTTGCGATGTCCTTTGCAGTGTCGCCCATGTGCCGCGCAACTTGTTGGCGTGTCTTTCCAACATCAAACGGTGTAGTGATGAAAGCAGCAACTGCTCCTGACGTAGCACCAGCGATGAAGCTGTCGACCAATGTATCTCTATGGTTTTCCTGGCTTCTTGACCTGCTTCTTCTCCGTACTCTCTCCTCGCCTCGGCCCATGCGGAATTCGAAACCATCGTTCCTAGCCTCCCTTCTTCCTCGTTGGTCTGTCAAAACGTTTCTTGTGGCTTCGTAGCCCCACCAGTACATGGCAGAGAAAGGTACATCGCGCCAGAGGGTTAATGTGAGGCCTCTCCACAAACTGGAGACACCCTGGCTGGCGACCATTTCTCTAAGCCCGTCCATTGTATCGCGGAAGTGCCCAGCGGCGGTGGCAGTAGAATTTGCTGCCTGCATTCGTGTTCGGAATATTTCGATGGGACCCACTGCTACGGCAGCAAGAACTCGTGCAGCGGCTCCTGCCACTAATGGTATGTACGCATCGGAAACAGTTTGTCGCAAAGGTGAGGCTTGTGCTGTTCGCAGCCAGTCGTATCCGGCGAAGTAGATGACGTTTGCAGGCACTGCCATGACTAGGGTCGGTGACAGTCCTCTCCAGAGTGTCCGCGGGCCCTCGTTCTGGGCAATCTTGCGCAGACCGTCCCATGTGCTATTTATGGTTTTGCGTTCGACCTCCTCCACGGCACAGCTCAAATCGGCGGGGTTTATGGGCGCCATAGTTGGCCCCGCTACGCAGAAGGGTGCCTTGTTGTTCATCCAAAAAACCTCTCTGCAGCACGAGGAGATGCCGAGATTGGGTGGTAGATCGCGGAATTGTGTGAGTGTTGGGCCATTGAATCCGCGTGGGCGTGGCGAGGTGGTCGGGACGGTTTCTTGCGATTGTAGTCGTACGCGGACGACGTCGAGAGGGGTGACTTGCTGGTGTCAGTTCTGGCATGGCAAACAACTGCGTAGATGCGACATACCCAGCAACGACGTGAGGACACTACCCGAGACGGCAGACATCATTTTTTGGCCGAGCGACACTTCTCCCACGCCGGTTGGATCCGCTGCCTCGGCTCGCTGCGTGGCCATCGCCATGTTGCCTACTTTGGGAGTGGCAGCAGGGAGGTGGGGGATAGCCTCGAAGCGGTGCGAGGGGTCTTGTCAGAGGGCTGGATGCGCAAAAAGGGCGTTGTGCGCATTGTCTTCTGGAGTGATGGGCGTGTATAAGTGGTGACGAAGGCGACGGGAAGCTTTGACGCAACGACTTAATTATCGGAGCTACACTTTTTGGCGCGTCATTCCCGCGCCGCCCACGTTGGATGATTGGCCCCTCATGCCGATTGTCAGAGACAAAAGGGCGTCGGCTTATCAGATGGCGCACTGCGCGAGGCTAGAACATGGATCGAGTGGCGCCCGTCATCGCCCTGCCGCAACTTCACAGGCCCCGTCATGCACGCCTAATCACTGCGAGCACCGGAACTTTCTCTAGAGTCACACGTCGATTGAATTCGTATCCTTACTAAAAGCCCGTTGCTAGCCTCTGCATTGGGCCCTGTTCTCGTCCACATCCTGCGACTTCGGACATACCGCGTCTAACCGATACCCAAGTACCACCGCTCTTGGCCAAGTTTGCCATGGACCCTCAAGACGTTCCCACCAACACCGAGGCCGAGCTCGAGTCTTTCCGCCAGAAATGGAGGGAAGAAGTGACTGCCAGATCAAAGGGCAAGGCGCCTGCCTCGTCTGCGTCGGTCAAGAACACCGCTACTTCATCCTCAACGAGCAAATCTCATGCAAACAAAAGCAATGCGCCTGATGTGCAGCATCACACTCGTGCTCGGAGCCTAAGCCTAGAAGGCGGTGACGAAGTCAACTCCTATACCTACCATAATCTGGGTGAGAAGCAGCATGGCCGGAGACTTGATGAAACGAGCGCTCAGACCGCTGCCGCCATTGCTGAGGAGACCGAACCGACGTCTGCTCTAGAACATTATGAGAAAGCCGTAGAAAAGGAAAGCCAAGGTAGTTTGGGTGACAGTGTAGATCTGTACAGAAAAGCATTCAAGGTGCGTTGACTTCAATGTCACCATAAACTATCGTCTGATGTTGGTAGCTCGATTCTGGCGTTCAAGAGACGTACAAAGCGAAGCACTTCCCGCCCTCATATTTCAAGAAACTCAAAGCTGCACAAGCAGCAAGCGCTTCAGTTTCATCATCAACACCAGCATCGTCCCACCCTGTACCCAAACCCCAGGACCCCAACCCATCCAATGCCTCAGCCACAGTGCCCAACACTGCCCACCACTCCCTACATGGTCTCTCTCCCACGTACCAAAGCCTGATCAACGAATACGCCAGCACTTCTATTCTCGGTGAGCTAGCACCAACCGATCTAAGCCCCGCGCCTCCATGTCCGATATCCAGTATCCCGGAAGAGATCATTGTCGAGGTATTGGAGCAACTCGCCATACAAGACATTGCGTCATTCGCTCGCCTGGCCCAAGTGTGTAAACGCCTGGCTTACCTAGTGACCACCGAAGACCGTGTTTGGAAACGTTTAGCTCTAGGGCCCGAATATGGCTTCGCGTCCATGCACTACACATGGTCGTGTCAAGTTGGTGGGAAACCGCTCAATGACGACGACATGGGCGGAATCACTCTAGGTGCCGCAAACCTTGACCTCTCTGATACCGAAGACATCGAAGCCGCAACCGAATCACTCTCTCCAGCAGCACTGACTCAGCTTCTCGTCCCAACACCATACCCCACTTACCGCACACTCTTTCGACAACGCCCTCGCATTCGGTTCAACGGCTGCTACATCAGTACGGTCAACTATACGCGTCCCGGACAAGCACTACCTACAACATCATCCTGGAACTCGCCTATCCATATTGTAACCTACTTCCGCTACCTGCGCTTTCTGCGCGACGGGACATGCATCTCTCTGCTCACCACTACCGAGCCCGCCGATGTGGTTCCCTACTTGTATGTCGAACATATTCACAAGAACCATCACAACCTGCCCACTGCACCAATGAAAGACGCCGTGTTAGGCCGCTGGCGCATGAGCGGTCCGGAGCCTGGCAGCGAGGAACAGGAGGGCACGCTGCATATTGAGAAACCAGGCGCCACGCCGAAGTACATGTACAAGATGGCATTGAGTTTTGGCAATGCAGGGCGAGGAGCTAAGAACAACAAACTTGTTTGGCAAGGGTACTGGAGTTATAACCGATTGACGGATGACTGGGCCGAGTTTGGATTGAAGAATGATCGTGCCTTCTACTTTAGTAGGGTAAAGAGTTATGGCATGAGCTGGGGCGAGAGACGTATCAAGGAGTCGTAACGAGCGTGAAGGAGCAATTCAAAGATCCTTACTAGAATTCACTGCATCGTTTCATGTTCATCGAAAATTCTTCGGTGCGCTTAAGACTTGTGAACAAGATGCTTGTTCGATTCATCATTTTTGCATTATTCATGGACATCTGCGTCTGCGACATGGCGTAGCATAGGTGTCTCTGTCTTGGTATACACTCTCTCTTCTGCTCTGGAGTCTTTACCGTCTGGGCATTCCACGGCCGCGTCCCCTTCCTCCTCCACCCAGCGCCCTCTGTGCAGCGCCAGGCGGTAGCGGCCTGTTGGGGGCTTGTGGTTGCTGTGACTCCTGGTTCTCTGCATATTGTTAGCATTGTTTTGCCCTGGAATGTCATCTCACATACTGATTGTCTCGTCAACGCTCAGGATCAAGCATGCCGCCTCCGTTGCTGCCTGCAGAGCGTTGACTTTGACCAGACTAGGCTCCCAGACGAACCTCTCCATGTTGTTCGCTATGCTCTCTGTTGTAAAGTCGACACCAGCCCAGATGTTGCCCTTCTTGTGTTCTACGCGGAGTCGGTTGAGAATGTCCGTCGCGTCGACACCGGCGTTATCGCAGAGCTGCCTGGGAATGACCTCGAGGGCCTTTGCAAACGCCTTGATAATAGGTTGTTGCTTATGCGGGATGTTCTTGTCGGCGTAGTTGTGTAGGTATGAGGAGATCTCCATCTCGACAGCACCACCTCCGGCAACAATGTTCCTGTTCTTGATCGCACGCTTGACAATCATGATTGCATCGTGCAAGCTTCGCTCGACCTCGGCGATGAACTGCTCTGCACCGCCACGAAGCACCAATGTGCAAGTCTTGGCCTCCGGGCAGCCCTCGAAGAAGTTGAAGCGCTCGCCACCAATTTGTCGCTCCTCAAACGATTCGCAGGTTCCGAGGTGCTTGCTCTGAATATCAGAGCAGGTGGATTGAAGGCTCGCGCCTGTTGCGCGGCATACGCGGTCGAGATCGTCTGCCGCTACGCGTCCAGCACAGAAGATGTCGCGGTCCGCGAAGTACTGTGTCGCCAAATCTCCAATAGGAAGCTTGCTCAGGACAACCTTGGCACCCGTCTTGTATAGCGCTTCCATCTTGTTGTAGATAATCTGCCACTCTGCGTCGACAATCGCCTGATATTCCGAGACCTGCTCTACCCGTACCTCAGCGTTGTCCTTCTCACTCTTCAGCTCAAGTTCGACGTTCAGGCACACGATCTTCGGCTGCTTGAAAGTCTTCGGTTGTTGCTCGAAACCGGCATATGAGAAGGTCTTCTTGAATGCGACACCATTGACAAAAAGCGAATCCTGGAGCGCACCACCAGTAATCTTCTTTACTCCGATGAGCTTCTCGTTCAGCTCGTCCTGGTCGAGCGAGAGTACAGCGTCTACGACCATCTTGGTGAAGAAGTCGGCATTCCTGTGAATCAGCTTGCTGCTCATGGCGGTCGCGGCAAGTTTCTGGAGAGTATCCCGCTGGTTGCCCTCGGCAGTGTCTACGGCGATCTCCATAATCTTGTTGACAGCAAGATGCGATGCTCTCCGGAGGCCTTTCATGATAGTCTGGCTACTGACCCCCTGCTCGACAAAGTCCTTGATCTCCTTCAGTATCTCTCCTGCAATAACCACGACGGAAGTGGTACCATCGCCCACTTCGGCATCTTGCGATCGTGCGATGTCGGTGAGAACGCGGGCGGCGGGGTGGACGATATCAAGGAGCTGTGTACAGTTAGACCCGCTAAGGAAGCTGAAATTTTGCAGCAGGCTCTACCTTCATGACTGTGGCACCATCGTTGGTGATTGTCTGCCTGCCATTCTCATCGACCATGAGTAGATCACCGCCATATGGTCCGAGTGTTCCCTTGATCGTGGCCTGTACAGCAAGGCAAGCGTTGATGTTTGATATTACCTGACCGCGGCCCTGTGACTGATCGGTACCTGAGACTGTTAGCGATGTATGTATCAAAAAGTGTCGAGGCACCTACCCTCCCGCAACACCACAATGGTCGGTGTTTGACCGCCGAACGACATGCTGTCTGATTAGAGAAATACAAAGACTCGGGCCCAGATTGTGGAAGCTTTGAATTCAAATAAAGCTGGTGGTGTGTTGTGAGGGGCACGGTGAGCTATGCGCAGCTGTATGCGGGGATCAAACAAACGCGTCCCATGAATTTTCCCAATCTCCAGAGCACGACCCTTTGCCAAGCCGGAGGACCGTGCGTAAGTTTCCCGACTTCTGTTGACAACCTTCGCTCGGCATTCTACAGTCCTTCCATGCATTGTACCACAGTTACGTCGTCGCATATCCCAGAAGCTCCCAGCCTAAACACTCGTCGTCGACGCATTCGAACGATCAATTCCGTGCTGCATAGTGACATTGACACGGCACATATGACCTCGTGACCGCTTCGTCTCCCAGGGTTGATTGCCAATACGATCTGAACCTATCGCAGAACTTTGCCATTATTCCCGACTGCATCTCGAGCTCTCTCGTAAGCGTTCATATTACGAGCATGCCGGCCAAGACATCTGCCAAGAAGGTCAGGCCATGTAGTGCCTATGATATTCGCGTAGTACTGACATCTGTATAGATAGCACCCACACCCAAGACAACGGAGGACATCTGCCTACGTCGCCTAGAACGCCGTTCAAAAGAGAGTGTAGAGAAACAAATTTCGCTTGCCGAAACCATATCACCCTTGGACACCTACCCACCTTTACTACGCATCCCGTCTGAGATTCGGAGGGAGATTTTCCGATATGTCTTACCATCATCAAACAAGCGATTTATTCTCTACACCGATTGCGACGCACGATCCATCAGCAGGAAATGGAACAAGAATTGCCGCCCTCACCCTGACAGACACTTAAGTCTGGATGTTTTACGGACGAATCGCCTGATCTATCACGAATGCCTGCAAATCATATACTCGGAGAACCAGTTCCATTTCTATGCATTCAACTATTTGCCTGTTCTGGATTTCATACGTCATTTAAGCCCTGAAGCCAAGAATCAAGTCCGCAATGTGCGGCTCACACCTTTGACGGATAAGCAGGATGATCCGCCAGCGTCGCACGATGTATTCTGTACCGTCATGCATGACTCTTTACCTGGACTCAGTCAACTACAGGCAGATCCAGTAGTCTTCTTCTAGGAGAAACGGCCGGTTTTCCTTGATTCTTTGTTACTACCACCAGCCAGCTGGGAGGCATTCGCAGTTAATTCTTCTAGTGGACTCTAGCTTCCTGCATTATTGTATACGCCTTGCAGACACATTACATGTCTATTCAAAGGTGCGATAGCCTTTGTAGAAGCCTTCTCCATTGTCGCATCCAAGTACATAGGCGAATTCACGAGGACATGCTCTCGCGTTCATAGCGCATCTATGAGCTACAGACCGACTTCATCGTTGTATGCCGGCCATTTCTGTTCCTAATGTGTGTCGCTTCCAGCAAGGCTTCATGACGCTGATCAAATCAGATTTCGTCTATCCCAGACCGTCTGTTCCGCAGGTTTCAGCGGCTTGTGTGAGCCGATGTACTCCAGGAGACCCAATTTAAAAGCGCATCAGCGATGTCAATGGAACTGACCGGGCAGTTCAACTGGCATCGCAGGTGTGCCTAAGAGCCTTTTCTGTCTGGAGTGGTCTTCGATGATCACCATGAGGTCCTGGTGTTCAGAGGCGGACGCAATATCATAAGGGGTCTTGCCTTCTGAGTTCGCCTGAAATGGATTTGCGCCTCTCTCGCATAGGAATGAAGTTACCGCAGCGCGAAGACTCAAATCCCATTTGTATGCCCCGGTCCAAAAACATACCGCTTGGTGCAAGACAGTCCTTCCAGATGCCGTTATTGGGGCATTGATATCCCATCCGCGGTGAAGTAGAATATCCATAATCTCAGTAATCCGTTTTGGGACCAGGTGCTTTTCAGCCTCCGACATCGTTTTCATCAGCCATGACCGGCTCATCAGCTGTCCTGCCAATGTCGACCATGTGTCTGGTGAAGCTGGTACCGCACCATTCATAGTGAGCAGGTCGACCATGATCACCTGCCGGGCGCCGATGGCAAAATTTAAGGGTGTCAGAGTCGTCGAATAGCCGAAAGGGACTTCGTTGACGCCGAAACCTGCCTGTATCAGGGCCCGCGCCATGTCAACTTCACCAAATAGAGCGGCAAAGTGCAGTGCTGTCACACGCTCTGTGCGGCCACGCTTACGCATATTTGACCGCCAGAAACCTTTCTTCTTATTCAGTGTAGTCATCAGAGCTCCGTAATCTCCATCGCAAACAGCCTCCTCAGCTCGGTCTCGGGGTTGACAGCCAACTTTGTTGAGTATCTCTTTACGGGAGAGCGGCTTCGCCTTGTTTTCCCCTTTGTACTCGGGTTCAGATGAGCTCGCAACCGTTACGTCTGCTTTCCTCATGCTAGGAGAGTAATCTCGTACTTGGCTTTCATCTTTTGAGAACCCCCGCTCTGTTTTACTCGATACAGAAGGGTGCGATTTCTTTATAAGAGGACTCGAATCCGACAAGGTAACGTTCTCGGATGCAATACTTCGAGGTGTATGCCAAGGGTCAGCTACGTGTGACTTCGTCATCACGGACGCCGAGTCGCTGCCATTGTGATCCAAGGATGACTCTAAGGTTGTTGTAGAGAGTCTGCTGCTATGGGCTCGCTCCGCAATCGTATCGGCATCGACAGGTCTCACTCGTGAGAGCAGTGAGGCGAAATCTAGGTGCTCTACATTCTTCCCAAGTGATTCTTCGACCACTCTCAACACGGTCTCCCGGTTGGCCTCTGGTATCATAGCAAGACACGATTTTGCAAGCGCACGGTTGTCAAGCAAAACATAGATGTGGGCCATGAGCGCCATCGATTCTAAAGAGGCGGCACTTTGTTTTCCTTGTAGCCGTCGCCGTGCTTGCAAGGTCTTCTCGCATTCGATCCGTGCGCGGTCAAGAAAATTCATGCGGACGTACAGCTGAGCTAACAGGTGAGTTGCATTGTGAATCCATTCACGTTCTGTATCAGAGTTCGCTGATTGTTCAACGAATCCAGTCAAAGCCTTTTCGGCATCTGCCGGTCCCTGAACGTGGTACGCACAAACTGCAAGCTTATAGTGCAGACTGAAGACGTCGCAGAAAGCTCGCCTTCGCTTTTGCAGCAATAGCAATATCCTTAGCGCTTCTTGAAGCAGAGAGTCTGCCTCTTCCTGAGAGGTTCATGTCAGAAGTCAGTGTATGTCTCACACGCAATTAGTATAGGGACATTTCTCACATATATACCGGCGTCGAACGCTTGGGAGCCAGTGCTCAATGCCGCTTTGGCGAAGTCGGTATCCAGATCATCATCCGAGTCGGACGCTTCATGTTGTTGCATGTTTTGGATCGGCGACAGACTTCTCAGGACACTATACGTCCTTCCAGGGCTCTTTGGAGAGATTGCAGGAACTACAGAAGAGACCCTTGATTCTTGCTGATCTTCTCGTATCGCTTGTATGGCTTTCGCCCATTGTGGGACACGGTCATCGTTACTTTCGATATGTAAAGCCTGAACGGTCCGGTTTACAGTTGGATTTCGCTCGCAAATTTTCATCTCTTTGACGATAACTTCTTGCGCGTACTGCATCAATGTAGCTTCTGTATGGGAATATCGCCAAGTTGGACCGATCCGAGATGAGCGTTGCAGCTTGGTCACCATGTGTTGCAGCTCCACAACGTCGGATGCAGGTGGTCGCCCGGGACGGACAGATACAAGATGGGCAAGTACACTGTAAAGTGATTCAGCATCCCATGATTACTTGTTGGCAAACAAGCAACTTACGTGTGAACCAGGAGCAGCGTAGTCCTCAGGTTGTCACTATGTCTGCGTACATTCGCTACCATCTCCTCAATTTGATCCTTGCTCTTATTTAGCTGCACCAGGCGCTGCGGCCGGAACACGAGACTGGCCTCCTCAGCCTCCTCCAACCTGATGCTCTTGACGAATGACTCCAGGCCATGTATTGTCTGGCTCGCGTCTTCCACCTGAGTTGTAAGACAAGTCCACATCCTGTCGTCGCCATCGTAGGGTGGGGGTGACCCTATCTTTGTCTTGCTTGCGACTTCTACCAACTTGAGGTGTATTTGGTAACATTCATTACCGAGAGATTTGACTTCACCTGTGAGGTTTTCGAGGGATGCATTGCCGAGCTTTGCGTCCTTGTCGAGTTCGGAAAGGGATACTGATAATGTCCAAGCCGCTTTGTTCAGAGCGATGACAGCAGAGGCTGCGTTTACAGGTGTGGATGCAACTATCTCCATCGCTAGTAATCGACGTGGACACTGCGATGGGTGTGACTCGCAGGGTGAAGCTCACTGTCGTCTGCGGAAAGTCGTACTAGGCAGTGCGATGAATGTGACACTAAGCGCCGATAGCCATGCAGGTAATGGCTTGCGCCACAAGATTATGTGTCATGCGGTGAGTATGACCGAGAAGACCACTTTGAAATTTGAATACAATTACGCCGATGTGGAACCCCTTTATCCAGTAGAAACACAAAAAGGTATATCGAATGCCCATAATCGGGTTCAGAGGAATCATTGGTGTCACAACATCCTTGCATGTTCACGTCGATGGTCAAACATGCAAACCCTTTAGCAAGGGGCGGAAATGGCTGAACGTCCTGGTCGAGGTGCGCCATGAGACGCAGGCCCATCACAAATATCATATGGGAGGCCTCTTTCACATGGAAAGAAGGATATGTTGATAGGTCAGCAAGACAATGGGACCAAATGTTATCACGTCCTGGTCATCTAAGCCTCTGCGTCTGACCGTAAATGAATCAGTCTTCTAGCTCACTGCGCAAATGGCGTCCCATAGCCCCCAGTGAACATTTACACATTTCGACATTATCTTTTTGGCGCGCCAAAGCCACGTCTACGGCGGCGAGTTGTGCCCATTTACCAAGGATAGCTGGCGCCACAAGCTTATGCGAGGGGTTATTCCCCGCCGGAACAGGGCAAGCTTACCGATACGTAACGATCGAGCTGTTCAGGATGAACTTCACATTCAGCCTTGGTCGTGTGACTGGCTTGAGCGCAGGAACTAGCAATTAACTGATCCAAAACATGGGGTGATGAGACAAGTAAACCTCAACGATTCTAACGATACCGATCTCGATAAGGTATTCCCCACCAAGTTTGTGCCCACTGCATGAGGCAGAGCCTAGTAACACAGCTGGTGGGACTAAACATAGCACGTCCACGCTACCACAATTGTGCATTGCGCCAATCATTTCATTCACCGAAGGACACGAAAGCGTGGATATACGTTGACCGATTAGCCTGGCCCCCAACGTACGTGAGCAAACGAAACTCGGTTGCAGAATGGTTCACAAGTCACTCTACGCAGCATCTGAAACCCATTCTTTGTTTGACCATCCCATGCCTTCTTCCTAGAACCTGATCATCGTGTTCCTTTGTCGACAGCGTTCATAATACCATTCCATCAATCGCCTGTGTCAACGCAAGATTCTAGTCTCTTAAGGCACATCATCAATTACATCAGTCTCGATGGCTGGACCCAATCAAAGCACATGGGCGAACACGAGATTGCCAGTCCGTGACGATGATCAAGGAAGTTTTGAGAGACGACGAGGATGGAAGTACAGAAGCCTAAGAATCGGACCCGTCAAGCTTCCATACTATGCATCGCCAGAGTCACAGTTGATACTGGTCTCATTTGTCTGCTTCTTGTGCCCTGGTAAGCTTCAGCGCATCATCCGAGTGATAAACAAGTTACTGATACTGCGCAGGCATGTTCAATGCCGTCAATGGGATAGGCGCAGCAGGTCTTGACGATGACGCCCATGCCAGCAACGCTGCCAACACTACGCTTTATGCTACCTTCGCCGTCGTTGGATTTTTCGCCGGTACCATCACGAACGTCCTTGGCATTCGAATTGCACTCTCCTTCGGTGGTCTGGGATATTGCATCTACGTCAGTGCACTGCTTTGTTTCAACAAGACCCAAAACTTAGGTTACGTGGTTTTCTCTGGTTTCCTGCTGGGATGTTGTGCTGGTATTCTGTGGGCTTCCCAAGGAGCGATCATGATGTCGTACCCAGTAAGTTTTTGTTCTTTCCATGCTCTGAAAATCCGCTTACCAGACTGCCTATAACAGCCCGAGAAAATGAAAGGACGGTATATCTCCTGGTTCTGGATAATTTTCAATATGGGGGTAAGTTGTGGTTGTGCAGAATGCATCTGAGACATACACTGACTTCGTACCATCACTTCTCAGGCTGTTATAGGCGGTTTGGTAAGCGGATTCCCAGAAGGCATAGAAAGAACAAACACTGACTTCAATATCAGGTGCAACTAGCGCTCAACTTTAACACCCGCGACGGAACTAAAGCAGCAGTTACGAATGGTACATATATCGGTTTCATGATTCTCACGTTCTTCGGCGCATGCCTCTCCTGGACACTCATTGATGCCAAACATGTCGTACGCCGCGATGGCAGTCGGGTAATCATGATGCAGCACCCAACTTGGCAATCCGAGATCTTCGGTCTTTGGGAGACTCTCCGTACGGACCCATATATCATTCTCCTCTTCCCGATGTTCTTCGCTTCGAATTGGTTTTATACATACCAGTTCAATGACGTCAACTATGCGCGGTTTAACGTGCGGACCCGCGCTTTGAACAACACACTGTGTTAGTACTATCCTTGTTAGAATTGTATATGAGACATATACTGACCCGTATACCGACCGTTAGATTGGTTAGCGCAGATTTTTGGAGCTGTTGTATTCGGGTTTGCGCTAGACTTCCCGAACGTTAGAAGAACTACCCGAGCAAAGATAGCCTGGGTAACTATGCTGGTGTTGACCTTTGCTGTCTGGGGCGGAGGATATGTCTTTCAACGACAATACAGTCGCGATGATAATAGCCTCCACTACGACTGGACCCATGATGGATATGGCGGCCCAATGGTTTTATACATGAGCTACGGCTTCTACGATGCAGCGTGGCAAACTTGCGTTTACTGGTAACTAGCTCACCTGACGGTTTCGTTCTCTGTTAACTTTTCCCAGGTTTATGGGTGCCATCTCCAACAACAGCCGCAAGCTTGCGAACTTTGCAGGCTTCTACAAAGGTATACAATCAGCAGGTGCGGCTATAGTGTTCCGTATAGACGGCTACAAGAGGCCTTACATGGATATCTTCCTGTCTAGCTGGGTGATGTTGGCTGCAAGCTTGGTTATCGCCCTACCTGTTATGCTTCTAAAGATCAAAGACACAGTGCCACTCGAGGAGGACTTGAAATTTACAGATGAGACTATCGAAGATGTACTGGGTAGAAGAGAGGGCTATCTACTAGACGAGCCCGAGAAGGCGTAGGATGCTGCGTCCGAGTTGAGAATATCTGGAAGCCGATGTTCTCGCCTACATGCGAAGCTACCCTGCCTCCAGCGGGAGCTACAACCAAAAGATGGTTAGCGCGCAACTAACAGATTAGTACAGGAAGGCCAGTTTCCTCGTGCGAAAAGTATCTATATATCGTTCGTCAAACTTTCTACCGTCGAATCTCTTACCATCTCAGTGATGCTTTCTCAAGTGGTGTTGGGCGCACGTCCGCCGCGATATCGGCAGACTATTTCAGTCCGGTATACATTGTTCCGACGCATTTCGGAATACTCACATTCCCAGGCTCACTCCGAAAGGTAGCGGCGTCTAGCTAGCACCACACGTTCATTCTTCATCATGACATATCTGCCAATAAGCCGTGCCCCGCTCTTGATGATGGATCGAGTTTCTCTTCCTGGATTAGAGCCCAACAACCCAGCTTTCTTGTGTGGTGGGGGAGAACTTCATTCGGCGAAACTCTTATCGAATACTTGCCATGTGTTTTTGTTGAGATCATATGACAGACACGTTACTTATTATATATGGTTCAGGTCATCTGCACTCAGTCTCTTCAGAGGTAAAGAACTCCGCAGAGGCTCTATCCAATACACAACATGGCGACTAGGTCTCAATCAGCCCTTGTGAGCACGAGCACCACACCCGACAACCAATCGCGGTTTGAGCTGGAAACAAGCTCAAGATGGAACGACGAGCCTGAGAACGAGACATTGCTACCTCCAATCGATGGCGGAAAAGATGCTTGGTTGTTTCTTGCGGCTGCATTTGTGATAGAGATGATGGTGTGGGGTAAGCATTACACTTCATAGGCCACGGTTATCCACTTGCAGCGCTACTAGACGTACTTGGGTACTCGACTAACATTTGATCAGGTTTTCCATGGTCATACGGTATCTTCCAGGAGTACTATAGCTCATCGCTACCCTTCTCGGGCGCATCCGGCATCCCAGCTATCGGAACATCCGCGATGGGCATACTCTATATGGTCGCACCTTTCACATTCGGATCACTTATACGTTGGCCACATCACAAGAGGAAGGCAATGGTTGCAGGCTTGCTTATCATGTGTCTTTCGCTTGGACTGAGCTCACTCTGCACGACCGTCCCACAACTTATCGTCACCCAAGGCATCCTTTATGGTATCGGTGGCGCTGTCACATATAGTCCTGTCGTCACTTTCCTGGACGAGTGGTTTGTAAAACGCAAGGGTCTTGCATTCGGCATCATGTGGGCTGGTACAGGGTTAGGCGGTATCCTCATTCCGCTCTTACTCCAGTTTCTGCTCAATAACTACGGCTTCCGCACCGCGCTGCGCATATGGACGATCGTGCTTTTCGTCGTTGGCTTGCCTCTCACCTTCTTTCTGAAGCCGCGACTTCCCGTCCCAGCAACGACTAGGTCTCGCATTACCTTCACTTTCCTGACAAACAGGTCTTTTTGGATCCTGCAATTTGGAAATATCATGCAGGGACTAGGTTTTTTTGTGCCTTCCATCTATCTTCCTACATATACGAAGGCCCTCGGTTTCAGCAGTGCGGTTTCCGCTCTGCCCATCATCCTCATAAATATGGCTGCCGTCATCGGATCCATTAGCATGGGGAGTATTGTGGATCGGACGCACGTCACCACTGCCATTCTCATCTCCACCATCGGTGCTATGCTCTCCGTCTTCTTGATCTGGGGCTTCAGCACCTCTCTACCGCCGCTGCTCATATTCTGCTTCATGTATGGCCTCTTCGCGGGCAGCTTCACCAATACCTGGCCTGGCATCCTGAGGACAGTGCAAATGAGTACGGGTCAGACGGAAAGCTCCATGGTCTTCTCTTTCTTGTCAATGGGTAGGGGTATAGGTAATGTTGTGAGTGGGCCGGTCAGTGAAGCACTGTTGAAGATGGGCAATGTTGGTGATCATGGCTTGTATGGTACGCCATATGGTAGTTTGGTAGTTTGGACGGGAATCAGTGCTGCGCTTGGAGGCGTGAGCATCATTGGAAGGAGGGTGGGGTGGCTGTAAGCCCTACGTCGAGACTAGGCCAGCTTATCAAAAGTCCAGTCACCCATATCTGCTTTAGTCGCTCACCAAAAGGGGGTGGATGTACCAGGTGCCTTTGAGGCGTACGAACTGCTATTTCTCTTAGCGTCATGTGGTCCTCAAATGGATAAGCTGGTTCATGTATTGGTGCAAGGGCATGTTGCGCTCATGGAAGATTACAGGTGGAGTCGACAGGTTATTTTTTCATATATGATATTATGGCCATCATGGTTCGAGGCCTTCACGAAAGCTCATGCCTTCTACCCGGACATGCTACACGAGCAGCTTTGAAGCAGATAACGGTCACTTAATGCTGCCGGGATTTAGTTTAAATACAAAAGAGGGGTTCTTGAGAGTTATTGGTGATCTCTTGTTAATCTCTTGAATAAAAAAGTAACAAGTGATATTTGTAAGAGGGATGGAAGAGAGTAGCACGATCGAACGAGAGAAGTCCAAAAGAGTCGTGTCAGCGGCTTGAGTGCACACCCGCCTCGTCCTTCTTCTGCTGGCTCATTTCCTGTCCGCGCCAGTGTAGTGGTTCATACCGATTTGGTTTCCAGATATCGCCATCAGTTTCAACCTGTTCTTCTCGTCCCCTGCCCTGACTACTCTTTTGAGAATAAGCTGTCGAAAGCCCATCAATGTAGTCATTGGCACCCATCATGCAGACTTCTTCACATTCACCATATCAAATTGTGTGGAGGAGAACAGTACTCTCGTAGTGGTCGTATGCCTCTTATTCTCTCCACCCCCTCTTTCACTCTGATCATCCTTGCTCCTTCTACTCTTCCCTTTTCCAGCGCGGTTCCTCTTGTCTAATGGCGAGTGACATACAATTTGACTTGTTGGTCGATGAAGCGCCGCTTCGGAATGTGAATGGAGCTGTGCATTGTATCGGGGTAACGGTAATTGCATGGAAACTAGGTCTTCTTCAGATTGTGTGTGTTTTGACAATCTATCTGGCTGAGTAGACAGCTTTGCAGGGCTAAAAGTGGACTTCCATTTCTTCAGTGTTGTGCCAAACCCCATCTTGCTTGTGTTGTCTGAGGCGATCGCAATCGTGGTTTGTCTCGTAGGCTTTCTTCTTCTTCGATGTTAGGAATGATTGACGAGGCTATGAATGTAGGTTGGGAAATTGAAGAAAGCGATCGAAGAGCGCGTGGGAAGATATCGCATGCGTTGATATCACAAGGGATTTCCCCATGATTTCGGATGAGTTGCATCTCTAGCCAAAAGTGGTAATCCCTTGCGTAACGGTCGATGAACGATGCGGCCTGCGCCGCAGAATAGCGTTCTTGACCCAGCCGGTAGTTCCTCGGCAATGCCTGATGACTGAACCAGGTCTTTGGAACCTGATGGAAAGTCTATTCAGACTCGAGACAGCTTCTTTCACAAACGCTTGGACTGGGAGCAGTTATAGTTCGGCGCGGCTATTGGTCCAAGTGACACACCCACATGTTCGCAGCGGCGCAGCGGCATCTGCAGTACTACTCCCGGGGACCCCGGCCGTACCGATATGAGATGGCTATGCAATTTCAAGAGTGATCCGTCAACTCTGTGCTCATTTTGTGTGGCTTGCAGTTGTGGCATGAGCTTTGGGGGGAAGCGGCACGGTAACGTAGCGACAAGGGTATGTCGGTACCCGACGTAATGCATAAGAAGCAGCGAAATTGCATCCGAGAGTGTGCCGCGTCTAGACCATTAGGTTCTTCCACAGGTGGTCAGCATGGTATTGGAAAGCGCTACGAGGCAGGGCACACGATGAGGGCCAGGAAAGTGTCTTGAGGCTGGCTCAGTGACAAAACAAGATAGCCTTTGGGCTTGCTGGGTGCGATGCCATACAACATGTTATGGAGCAAGAACGATAGACACAATCGCGATCGTATTCACGCCGTGTAACTAGCCATTGTTGGAACGGTACGAAGTCAATTGCGTCGCATATGCATATCGGCCGCTCTCTCCACGGTAGATGCTACAGACCCTCTTCGGATCGTGCTCTCTGTGGGCATGTGCGATAGATCGCCCAAGGCATACTTCAGAACCGCCGTGTTCCTTGGTCGTATTTGCAGGGCTTATCGTACAGAGCTCCAGCATCGCCGATTCACCGAACTCGGTGCAGATTCTTGTTCTTCCTTAGCTAATGAGTCGCATCGTTACCTCGACCGTGGCGAATGTACCCGCAGATACAGGCATAGCTCTCAACAGAGTCGGTCCAATACCCCTCCAGAAGCCACCCAGACCCTCTCCCCTATATGTCTTGGCGAAGCAGTCTCTCATACTCTTGTACTTCTGTTCCTTGCCAAACGCATCACTCTGCATCTTGCTCTTGATCACATCGAACGGATAACTGCTTATCCAAAGCACTTCACCAGCGAGTCCACCATAAGCCGCAACTTTTAGAGTGGAAATTTCCGAACGGTCAATGTTGTTGCGCGCAGCATCTGCATTCATCATGTACTCGAATGCAGTAAACCAACAGCCGTAAGCTTGGGCTTCGCGCATGAATGTCACAGCTGTGCCGCGGTAAACGCCGCCGAGGATGCCTTGGTGTGCAGTGAGCTTACGCACACAGTCGATTGGGCCGGCATAGAGGCGGTTCGCGCCGTGCGGCTGTGTCTGCAGTCTTATGCGGATGTGCTCGATAGGACTAGACAGAGCGGTGTTGGCGATACCGGCGAAAGCACCAGCGGCATAATACTGTGAGTACGAGAGTTGGCCTTTTCCGGTTTTTGCCTCATTGCTAGCTTCAAAGGCGCGTCGCGCGTAATGGAAGCCACCGAATTGAACAGATACACAAGCTCCGATTCCGATGAGTGGTGTCAGCGTACCCTTGTAGAAAGCAAGTGCTCCTTCATTTTGGTAGATTTTGGTCGCAGCATCCAAGGCACCAGAGTATTGTGATGTTGTTTGTAACCTAACCTACAGGTATGGAGATACGAAGTCAGTGTATGTCTCACATGCATTTCGTACAAACACAACTTACCTTGACGATGTCGAAAGGTTGTCCAATGAGTACCTAGAAAATGAGGTTCAGTTTGGGTGGAGAACTGGCGCAATAGTGAAAGTACCTGTGCGACTCCTCCTACTGCACCTGCGAAGAGATCCTTGAGTGTCCGGGAGAGACCGTCCTGAACAGGCTCCTCGTGCTCAATATGAGGCTTTGACATTCTGCTCTCCGCGCTTTCCGTGTCTCTAATGGCTCTTTTTGCTTGTTGCTCTCTTATCGGAGTAGACACGGACCTGATAGAGGGGTAATTACGACGTCACCAACTTTCAAGGCACCGTATGCGCTCCTTGCGTGAGCACCAAGAGATGGAAAATTTCCTTGTAAAGTCGTTGTTCAAAATCGCGACTCACAGCTACTGCGAGGTCGCTCAAAGCCATACAAAGGCTCCAAAAGCCAATGGCGTGCTTGCGCACAGACGCGCTAGCAATGTCCTTGGATAGCCGATGGTTAGCTGCATCCCATGCCTCAAAGTGGTCATCTTTTGCACTATTTTGCCATACTACAGCGGTTCCATTAGCGATAATATTCTTGTCACAATCATTGAATTCTAACAGTATCATTCCAGTTTTGACATGAACATAGATAGCGCTTTAAGGAAAGATGCAGACGCAAGACTAGAAACGCTGTGAAAATGACCAAAAACTCAGATAGCCACCCAGTATATCCCATGATCCCCGATTTGCGCTAATCAGTGTTTCCATGCAATGCGTATACGAATGCTTTACGCCTATCCCATCGACACATATATACAGACAAGGAGATAAAGAGAAGGGTCGAGCAAGCTTCTCCGGGTTCAACAGGAGAACAACAGACTACCAACGAGTCTAGAGGAACCTCTCGCGACATTTTTGATGTGATCCAGACAAAACGTTCAGAGAAGACGCAGGATCATTTTGCATGCCCCATGCAGCATCTCAGGCCATTCGTAATGCGTAGAAACATTCAACGTGACTACCAGCACTTGAGCTTCCTCCAAAAGCTCTGTTTCGGCTCATCCTCGCTATCCTTTTCATTCTGTGTATGGGCCGCATAGTCATTTGGGTCTCGGTTCGGGTTCGAGTGAAGAGGCAGAGCGGCAGTTCGATTCGCAGGACCGTCTCCAGCAGTGAGCCGGCGTGCTTCTACTACACGACGTACGAGTACTTTGATGAACGTTAGCAAGCCTTATTCCAATTCCTCTCCCTCTCACATTGTCTTTTGCGCAATGTAATTGCGACAGAGGTGTCTTACAGGCAAAAGTCTCTTCGATGTTGACCATCTCCCTCGCACTCGTTTCCATGAAGCCACACTTTCTTCGTCTCGCCCACTCGAGGCCTGTTTTTGCCTCTACGACTCTTTGCCCTTGTAAATCGCACTTGTTGCCTACTACGCACTTGATCGGTGGTATCTTGCCATTGTCTAATCGATTTTCTGTCTCCATTTCTATCATCTCCATGAAGTAATCTAGCGCGTCGAGCGAGTTGGCAGATGTTATGTCGTAAACGAGGAGAAACGCGTCGGACTGTAGGTTCGAAGCTGCCCAGAGACCCCGGTATTCTTCTTGGCCCGCGGTGTCGGTGAGCATGAGGTAGTAAGGGACTCCATCGACGGTTCGAGTTACGGAGTAGGAGTCTTCTAGGGGAATGTTAGTTATGTGAGGCCAGATGCGACGAGCATAGGCGCAAGGCAACATACCTATCGTAGGATCGTACTCAGATGTCCATTGACTCCTCACAAGCCGTAGTGTAATCGAACTTTTTCCTGTAACCAAGTCAGCGTCTCAATGCTTCAAGTCCGACTTTGAATCGCGCATACCACAGCCTCCATCTCCACACACCGTGATTGTTATCCTGTTGTTCTCGTCCATTGTGTCCTCCTCTTGCGTTGCCCTGATGCGAACTGCTTTGGTTCCCGAGACGTATGCGATTTCCACGCAACGGATAATTGGGTCGTAACCGCGTCCGTTTCGAGTTGTCTATGCTCGTGAATGCGCTTGACGCAAACCGCCTTCCTAAACCAAACACTCCTTTTCCTGCTACCCAGACGGGATCCTATCAATTCGGCCCAGAAATATGATCGCAAGGTCCTTGTAATTCGCGGTCGGAATCGCAGTCGGAATGGGTAACGTTTCTCGCTCAGGTCCGACGAAAAGTAAACCACGGCACAGAAACAAGAAAAGATGTCGCGCGAAGGATTGACGACTCGTGTCAAGGCAGCGTTGTCGTCGGCAGTCCAGAATACCAAGAACCAGAAAATGAAGAGGCAGCGCAGCGCAGGCTTCACCTCGTAATAGTAATACCCAAGAGAGAGAAAGCCCCAACAACAAATTAATGAACGAACAGTGCCCCCAAAACGGTCCCTAGTATCCAAAGCGCAACGTTAGAAATGAATCAGGCATGAAGCTGGCCAACTTTGGACGAAAAAAAGAAATGAAGGATGAAGATCGCTTGATGCCCCCGTTACCTCTTTCGCGGTGGTATCCGAGCCTTACCCATCCCATCTTTGACTTTCGGTGCGAACGTAAAACCCTTGTACCCTTGTCGCGCGCTCATGTCATGGCACAGAAACCATCGACAGAGCCCAGATAAGGCGCAGACGCTTAGGCCGCAGGGGATCGAAGGATGCAAAGGATCATGGCCGGAAGACGGCCCCACTTGTTTGATTGGGAGGCTGCTGCAGGCTTGATGAGGGGGGAACGAGGGAGAGAGCCCAAGCCATGTGGGTAACAACGTGCGACGGAGGAAGTTTATTTGCCTGACGAACTTTCGTCATTGGAGCCTACTTCCGCGATGCAAAGCGATACCGAGGCACGACACTCCAGCCTTTGCACAACAACCTCTGCATCTCAGGACAGAGAGAGGCCTGCGTAGTTGGCATTGGCTTTCCCTAGGCCCCCCAATCTAGTTGTAATCTGCCTTTCCAAGAACCTTGGAACTAACGAGTGCTGCCGGGGCTAACTGCCCGGGAACCTGCATGCAGCTCTCATGCCCCCCCTGTACGTTCCTCATTCTGCTTCCGTGGAACATGCAGCATTCTAGCGCCACATCACGTATTCTAGAGCTGCCTCCAGCACACGCCGCGCCCATGCCACATTCCCACGCGTGGGTTGTCTGATTAGAAGCGAAGCAAGGCAAGACAAGGCCGACGGCGAGTCCATGACACAACCTTGATCATGACTACTGATCCTTTCTTATCGCATCTCACCTTCAACGCCAAGTTGCGCAACAGCTGTGCGCTTCAGACAATACCTGTGCAAGTATATTACCAAGCGTAACAAAAGGGCCGGATATTGGGTTTGATTGTTGATGTCGTGATATGACTGCCGCATGATTTTGGTCTCGATAATGAGGCCACTTTACGCCACAATTAAGGCTTTCCTGGACATCGTCGCGTCGAAGACAAGCGAATGAGCGGGAAGAGAGCGGGGAAGAGTTACAAATGGATCGATGGGTCAAGGAAATTGTTGGGGTTTACTGCAGTTCGTCCAGATCATCTTAGTTTGGGTCCACTATTCATTTGATATGATCTGATCTGATGTGATATATAGATGATCGAGTCAGTCATGCGATCCACGCATCCTGGCAAACCAACACATACACTTGACCGATTGTCGCTGATATATACAACAGAATAACAACAGCGCATTACCGCCAAACGAGTATGCCCGAGACATTTACGTGCATGTTGCGCCTCATCTCTTAACCTCCAATTTATGAACCCGGCAGCCGAGAAAAATCGACCACACGCGCCAAACTCACCTCAATTTCTTGTCGCCCCAAATCATAAAGCATCAGACAGTGATAGAAGAAAAAAAGAGGATATGAGTCTAAAAACTCCCCCATAAGACGATTCGCTCTCGGCAAGCGAATGTGAAGTTCGTTAAAGGGAATATAAGTAATGGGGTATCGTTGGACCAAAGCGGAGAATGACACGAAACAGAAGAGGAAAACCGTGAAGTAGTAGTAGAGAAGAGGATGCTCCGACCAATCATGCTCATGATTCCGGCTCCGTTACTTCATCGATCGCTGGTGGCGGGATGAAGCCTTGCGAAGCCGCAACTTCCGTGCGCGCTGCTTTAGTAGCATGAGACTCGCTGATACTGCCTTGCTGCGGCGATCGTTTAGTTGATGGAGCCATTGCCGAAGGGATGGAGGATTGTTGTCCGGTCTCGGGTATCGAATGAGGCAGGATAGTCTGATGGTTCTGGTGGCTTGTTGAGAAGTGGCGCGGTGAAGCGCTTTTCTTGCTCTTGTCGCTTGCGGCGGAGGATGTTCTAGGTGATACTCGCCCTTGCTGTGAAGAGAGTTCGCGTTAGTTCTAACGATGTTGTCAGGAGTGAGAGTTGTAACTTACCTGCTTGGCCCACCGCAGTCCGCACGAATTACAAAGGTCCCGGTTCCCTGAAGGACCCCTGCGCCACTCGGGCGTTGTTCTCGTGTGGCAGTTTGCACAGTCTTTCTGCATTTGGCCAGCACCCTTTCTGCGCTTCCTCTTCTTTTTGGCTGCCAACAGGCTCTGGACTTCTTCTGCTAGGTATCTATTCCGCTTCTCCATTTGTCGTAGCTCGTATTGCCAGCTTGTGCTTCGCGTCGTCTTCAGTTCGTCAAATACGTTGTCGTCTGAGGCTAGACTTTGATCTTGATGGCCGAGCTGGAGGCCATTGTGTCCAGCGAATGTAGCAGGAGATTCCTCGGTAGTGACGAAGAGTGGATTCGTGTTGGACGTCATTGGCGTGTTTGAACCAGCAGGTCCAGTCAAAGACCCCGCAGCAGGTGATGCTGCTCCTGACATCTGGGTATGAATAGAGTTGTGGGATTCGCGCTCATGCTTGGTATTTGTATACATGGATGGGCGGCCGGCATTGCTATTCCGCGAATACTTGAGGAGTCGCGTTTGCCCAACGACGAAGGTAGGTTTCTGGCCCTCCGTTGCATCTCCAGGATATATTGTCGTAAAAGCCTGCAGAACCTGGCCACGCTTGTTAATCATTTCATGCTTGACCTCGCCTTTCCTGCCCCCTCTGGCAAGCTCTAAAATCCGGCCGAAGTTGATCTTTGACTCCTGGCGCATGAGAGATTGTATGCTAGTGCCAACAAGGTCTTCAGGCTGCTTATCGAGCAACTGGCGCACGTTTGACGAAACGTACAAGAACATGCCTGATGTAGACATCTTCGTCCACAGCTCGTTATCACCGACGCCGCCAGACTCGCGTACGATAGCCTTGCTCAGAGTATAGACTGGGCGTTCACGGCCGACGAGGATGATACACTTTCGACCCTTCCCTTGCTCAGTATGGAGGGAGCCATGGCCTTCGAACCACATGTATCCGCTCTTCTTCCGTCGTATCCTGAACACAACGTTGACTGATGCGCCATTGGTAGTCTCCTTCAGTTCTCTTGTGACCGGAACGATGTCGCTAGGATGGCAGACAGACGACAGCGCTGTTCCGACGAGCTCGCTAGGGTCGTATTCTAATATCCTGTTACTGGCTGGTGACAGATACAAGAAGAGTCCCTTGAGTGACAAGACGTGGACGACGTCGTCGCTGTTCTCAAGCAGGACCTTATCCCAGATACGTCTTGTCATCTCAGAATCGCCGCTTCCGCTATACGCAGCGAGTACGTTCGACACCTCATCCTTGGAGATGGTCTGGCCTTGTTCGGCTTGTTGTGGCTTGTGGTGGTCGCTGAAAACGTAACTCGGTATGGACATCCCGCGCTGGTAGTTGACCCGGTAAGAACCATCTATAACATGATCAGTTCACACACGGGTATATTTATTAGATACGAGGGCCTACCTGAGTTCTTGTTAGTCATGGCTCCGGGCTGCTCCACAAGGTCAACCTGGAAACCGACAAAAAACTTCATTTTGCCGCCTGGTTCCCAAGCGATGGGAATCATGGTCAGAAGGTTCATGAACGGTTGACCGCCTCTTCGGTAATTGATCAAGCTGATCTGCGCTTCTGCACGACTCTCAATCATGTTCTTGAGATAGTAGACCGAATCGTCGTCAACGTAGTTTCGCTTGATTCCAGATTCGACCTTTCCGTCAGGTGCCTGCAAGAAGCGGCAATTCCGTCCAAGAATCATATGTCTTGTGTAGCCGGTGAGTCGCTCGAAGTTTTCTGAGCAGTAAACAATAGGAATGTCGTCTAGCTCGGCATCGCAAACGACAAAAGCGCACGAAAGATCGACAGAGCCGATGTCGATCTGGGGGTCAGGTCTGGTAGCTACGCGCATCTATCCGCATGTTAGCAATTGGAATTCAGACAAAGTGATCCAGGAACGTACTAGTACTCCGAGCATGTCGAATCCTGTCGACGAGTAAGCATTCTTGAACTGCGTCTTCATGTGAGGATTTTGATGCATCGTAGACGGAAATCCGCCTGCAGGTTGCTGCCATGGGATTTTAAAATCTTGCAGTTGTTTGTTCATGACCTCTTTGGGTAGGTCTTGTGCAGGATCTTGTCCGATAGGTTGCTGATTTTGTAGTGAGGCCAAAGTCATGCGTGTCGGGACACTGTTGGAGGAGCGATGTTCACTCTGGGGCCGGGAAGTAGAACGCATGCTGGACTGGTCCTGGCTAGTGGTACGGCTGAGGAAGCTGGATCTCCCTGATTTGACTTCGGGCGTGTTGTTCAGTGAAGGCCGTTTGAACTGGTCCTGGGCTTGTCCTGATGGCGTGTTATTCCCTTGGGGGGCAGCAGGCATGGGCCCAACAAAGTCCTGGTTGAGGGGAGAATCTAACATGGGGGTGTTGAACTGGTTACCGGGAAATATGTTCATATCAGTTGGCATCATATTGAGCGAGTCGTCCATGTCCAGAGGCATGGTCATGCCGTTCTGATACGATCCCATGTCCAGGTCGATAGAATTCTTCTGGTGCATGGGCGAAGCGTATGCAGAGCCAGGAGTGGCCATGTTTGGAAACGGAGAAGCCTGGCTTTGGAACTGGGTGTTGATGTTGAGGTCCGCAGCAGGCAGCTGGTCGTTTTGTATGTCGGCAGTTGTTCGCGGGAAGGTGTTGCTGCGCATCATGTTGTCCATGGCCGCGGTAGACATATCGAATTGGAAATCGTCCATGTCGCCCCCATTGGGATCTCCGAAATTCATCATGCTCAACCTGCGCGTGTCGGGGCTGCCAAGATTCATCTGCTGCTGCTGTTGTTGTTGTTGTTGTTGTTGCTGCTGCTGCGGCCCTCTGGCGTAGACGGGCATACTCCGCCGGCGGTTGTCCTTGTCGTTCTGCGCGACTATTGAGTCCAGCGACTGGCCCTCGACCATGTTGAAGCCGTTCATGGCATCCCCGTTCATGTTCATCATCACGTTCCCATTGTTGGCCTGGTTGAAGGGCCGGGTGGGATATGGATAGCCATTCATGGTGGCGGGCGGGGATGCTCAGATGTCAAGAGCAGCGAGGTCGGTCGTCCGGCACGGGGTTGTAGGCATCAAAGGGAGTGGGCAGCGCCCGTGGGCACGGCGGTGGTGCGCTATCGCTTCTTTCGCTGGGTGGACGGGTCGCGGCGGCGGGGAGTGCAGCGTCTCACAAGCGACATTCGAGGGCGGCGGCAGCGGATGGGCTCAGAGGCGGCGGCTCAGGTGCAGCAACACGTTGGTCAATATGGGGCAGGGCAGGGCCGGGCGTGTAAGGTTGGGATGCGAAGAGCGAGGATGTGTAGCGTCAGTGGAATGCGCTAGGTGCCAAGCCAAAAGGCCGCGTGCGGGATAGCTGCAGAAGATGACGGAAGCATGTCAGTGGCTTCACGCGAGCAATTATTGGGGGCGGCACAAGCACCTTGAGCACAGGCGGCGCGGGATGGGATAAGCAAGAGGCGAGCGACAGCAGCAGGGACCAACATATGGCATTTTGCACAATGCCATGCTCTGCCCTACCGGTGGGACCGATGCACCCAGAGCCCCTCGCAGCGCCTCATCACTGGCACACATGATCTGATGCTGACGGCTATCGGCTGAGGGCGCCTCTATCGGTCCTGACCTGACTGAAGGGAAGCCCGCGGGCGCCCATGTCTGGAGCCCCATCAGATGCACGCCGGCCCAAAGCGGCCTAGCGCGATCCGACGCTTGGCGCCATCGCTCGAGACTTTTTGGACCATCACGACGGGACTGCACGCGACGCAAAATGATATTGAGGAGTGTAGCAGCGCGCAGTGGTGGGTCGTGATCAATCCGAGATGGACGCAACTGCTGACATGCTGCACAGCGCCCCGGGCACTCGCACGACACGCCCGACAGTCGTCCCGCCCGCTGCAGCGATTTCTCTCCACCGAGACCGACTCGATTGAAGCCTCGACCGAAAACAGCCTGAAGCAGCTGCAGTCGATAGAGGCCCAGCTCAACACCCACCTCCAGCAGCCGGTGCCCTCTGTCGACCCCGAGACCCATGCAACCTCGGAATCTGCCTCCGACAATGTCGCCCAGCAGTACCACCTGTACAAGCAGCAGTGTATGACATCTGTCTCCCCATCCCCGACTGCAGCCCGTTGACATGTCCCAGCCAAGCAGATGGGGAAGCTAGGAACCCATATTGAGCCTCACTACCAACCGCACACCCTCCTGAACCATCCACCTTCCCCCGCCGACGTTACCTTGGAGTTGCTCCTCGCCTCCGAGGCCCACCAAGGCCATGTCACTTCTCTCTGGAACCCCGCAAATGCACGCTACATTCACGGTATACGACAAGGTGTCCACATCATATCCCTTGAAGTCACCGCAGCCCACCTGCGCCGAGCCGCCAAAGTGGTACAGGAAGTTGCGCGGCGCGGAGGTATGATCCTATTCGTTGGTACACGCGACGGGCAAGATAGGGCAGTCGCCCGCGCAGCCGAGCTAGCCAAGGGATATCATCTATTCGAGCGCTGGATCCCCGGAAGCATCACCAACGGCCAGCAGATCTTGGGCAGATGCAAAACAAAGGTAGTCAACGAGCTAGACGAGGAAGTCCCAGGCTTCGAAGAACAGCTCTACGACCGACCCGTCCTCCGACCAGATCTCGTAGTCTGTATGAACCCGCTTGAGAACTATGTCTTGCTGCACGAGTGTGCGCTGAACAACATCCCCACAATTGGTGTCATTGATACCAACGCAGATCCTACCTGGGTCACCTATCCTATTCCCGCAAACGATGACAGGTAAGCCAGCTTTGCATAATAACTAGTGCTTCATACTAATGCACTTCAGTCTCCGCTGCATACAGGTCATCGCTGGCGTCTTAGGTCGCGCCGGAGAAACAGGCCAAAAGCAACGTCTCGCTGCCGCCGCTCAAGGCAACATCACTTACCAGCCAGCACAGGGCCTCATCATGGCTGATGGCGACAAAGACGGAGACAAGACAGACGCCGGGAAGATACTATCCGGATCCACATCGCGAATGGGCGAAGGGGTCCCTAGAGAGCGAGTTGATGAAACTACCGAGACGATAGACACCGGTCTTGGAAACGCGGAAGAAATGGCTAACAAGAGGGATGAAGTGAGCAATCACGAGAGTCATCGAACGAAAGGAGGCAGGGATATCAAAGCCATTTCATAGAGCGTTTTCATAGCATGTAAATCACAGCACGAAAGTCATGTATAACAACAACATCTCGTTCGACTCAAAGCGTATGGTAGTTTTGTCCTGTTGATGTTCTGTGCTTACCTCCGATGGAACACCATACATCCCAGCACCGAATCTAGGACATAAAAAAGGACGCTGCATCCGAGATTGTCGCACCACACCTTTGCAAACGAACATGTCATCCAATCGACCATCAGCAACCCTCACAACCCAGACAACACACCAAGATGCAGGAGACACGTTAGGTTGCCAAAACGCCGATCGTCGTTAGAGCCATGCACAAGTTAGAGAAACAGCACAAGCAGATTCATAAATCTGCGAGGTTGGCGGACGTTGTGTTAAGATGCCATTAGTCCAAGGGGGACCAAATACCCGGAGCACTAACCACCGAGCTAAAGCACTTAAAGGCCGAAGAAGAAGCAATGGAGGTCAAAGGGCAAAACAAAAAAGGCGTTCCGAAGCAGGAACATGACGTCATTTCCGCTAGTGCATCGTTGCGATCGGAATTTTGGGCCGTCATCGAATGAAATGTCTTGGATCGATCTCTGCAGTGGCGCCCGACTATAGGACTATTCCGTCGGAGGTGAAACGTGTCAAGGCGGTAAAGGAAAGAAAGGAGAAAAGCAGACCATGTGGGTTTTAGTACCTAGGCAGTTGTAGGAGCGGATGCTACCAAGCGGAAAAGGAGATATTATTAGGGCCAAGTACGTTTTTCAAGGCGAACAATCAAAAGGGATGCGAGGCTATACAGAGTTTTTGTGGTTTTGATAGACTACTACACATTAGAGCGATGGATGCTAGAGCGGTCGTGCCACCAACACAGCGATATGAGGAAAAGGGGCTATGATTGTTTTCAAGCGCCCGCCAATGTGTTGAAAGTGCTGTACCGCCGGAGTAGCTGAGCTTTCGAGTCCTAGTCAAGGTCATCGGCGCTCGTTTCTGTTGCTTTTGCGGGTGCAACTGCAGGCTCAGGTGCTTTGCCGTAGAATTCCAGCTTGCCTCCGTCTAGGAGGACGCCCGCGCGGTCGTACAGCGAGCGTGCTCGAACGTACGGGTCCAGCTTCCAGTAATTCTGCCTCAACTGCTCTGCAACGGCGTCCCTCTCTTTCCTCTTCTCCTCCGCTGGCACGCTGTCACCCGCGTGTACCCACTCTAGCACCGTAGTCTCGTACTTGTCGACGATCTGTTGCCTCTCGCTTTGCAGCTCCTGCTTGGGCTTTTCGTCGGCCATCTTGTCGTTCTCGCCGGGTACAGGCTCAGGGTACTTGTATTCCCACTTTTCGTCTCCGCCCAACTCAGTTGGGATCTGTGACCTTGGTACATAGTTGCTTAGTTCGTCAATCGTCTTTGCGAAGTGTACTTTGCCGGCGACGACGGGGTCGAGCCAGCCCTTGACGATGCTCCATACAGCGTTGAAAACCCAGGGTGCTCTGTAGACGAGGACGGTACCAAGTGATTCCGGATAGTTTGCCTCGAAGCACTTGATCATGAATTTTACCGGTGTGTAGTCCATGTTGGCCATGGAAAAGTCGGTCATATCAAAGACGATAGTCTGCGTTTGGTCAATAACCCTGATCTTATGACCTGGACGGAATTCAGATAAACTTACGGCTGTATCAATCGGAGGCCTCAACAGCATGCGCGCTGTCTCAATGGTGTATACTGTGAATCTTTCTAGACTCTCTTCCGTCTGCTCACCGGCCTTGTGTAACCTCGCACGAACAAAACACATTGGTCTCCCCTCAATATCCAAGCCGTGCAGATAACTCTTGCCCATGCGCAGCTGTGTCAAAAAGTCATCGGCGTTCTTCTTAGCTTTGGCATCCGTGCTTGCGGTCTGCAACGCAGCGAGCTCTCCCGTCTTCATTATGTCGTCGTCGACGTGCATCTCGTTCAATCTCCACTGCATTGTAGAAATCATCATGACAAGTGCCTTCTCAACATCCCATTTCCGGGCGCGCAGGAAGCGAAGAAGAAGAGCATCAGGATGGTCATGCTTCACCATGCTCCAGAAGGTCCTTCGCAGCTCTTCCGGGGGAATGTTGGCTATCGCCGCCTTGAACTCTGCGGTTTGGCCAAACTTATCATCATCAGCCGATATGGACAATCTGCTGATGTCCGAGGGAGTAGAGCCTCCAGAAGCAGTCGATGCCTTGTCGTCTGCACCCTTCTCGCCTCTGTTCCTCTTGAACACATTCAGCCTGCTCTTCTTCTTGTCCTTCTTGCCGTCTGCTGCTGCCTCGCTTGTGGTGGGCGATGCGACCTCGTCGGCGCCGTTCGTAGCTTCCGGCCCCACTTCCACACCGAAGACTTTCATAACAATCGCCCAGAGCTCACGTAGCTTCTTATCCTCTTCTGCTGTGAGAGTGCCTGGCCTCCCTGCGGGAGTGTTCGGCGCCATGACGAGGTACGAGTCTGTCAGATGTGTGATTTCAAATTGATCGGGGGTGGATTGCTTTGCTGCCTGCGGTTTGGGGGAGTTGTGCACAAAGGGAACGAGCAGTGCGCCGCCAATTGCGATTCCAGCGACTATTCCTACAGTCCAGAAGTTGGTTCCGCTCTCCTTGTGAGGTGCCCTCGCCGTGCTCTGCCGACTGTGATGTAGTATGTATGCGCGTGTGACCCGGTTGGTAGAGCTAGAGACGGCAGGTGGGGCGATGCGGTGCTCCGGAGGATACGCAGATAGTCGAGCGCGGGGTGTAGAGGTGTAAAGTAGTCTTCGTAGGGGCTGTGCGCGAGGCAACATGGAAAAGTGTCAGATGGCTGAGCCTCGAGGTGACAAGTGCTCGCGTCTGCTTAGTGTGACGTCGGCAGAGCTTTTCGGATGCGTCGGACGAAAGTTGCAGCCACGACTCTACGTATTGGATACGGCAGCGGGACGCCTTCAAGTAAGCCGCTCCAAGTCGCGTCCGGTGGTAATTTGCTGAATGCGATATCTCAAGACAGGGAGGCACAGGCGCAGTTTTGGGAGCAAGAGCCATGGCATCATCAACCAATCCGTCTTAGCGTAATTGCCCTGCGTTGTGGGGTACTGTTTACTTCGTATCGTGCCCGAACTAAGACCGCGCTCTAAGACAGCAATAGCACTCGAGGCACATCTCGTCGACACTGCAATTGGTCGCCTGTCGCGCTGAACTTCCCTAGTAAAGACATCTCCCACCGAGCACAAATGGCTTCCACAACGCCCACGACTACGCCCTCGTACCGACGCACACGCAGCAAATCACCTCGATCACGTCCGACTACACCCCTCCGCGCTTCTTCGCGCTCTTCTTTGCGCGACTCATCCCAGCGCGGTCGCGCTGCTTCTGTGTCCGGCAACGCACTAGAGGGGCTGCAAGATGGGTTTGCTGAGTTGAGCGACGCAATGGCGGATCTTGAACAAAACTTCCTGCAATTGCAACTGATGCACGAAAGTCTGGCACGCTTCTCAGAGAGTTTTGCAGGCTTTCTATACGGGATGAACATGAACGCTTTCTGCGTAGACTTTCCTGAGGTGTGTGACAAGAAAGTTAAGAGGAGAAGACGTGGGGCAAGGTATAATGCAGCATGTTTACTAATGTGGGAATTGTAGGCTCCTGTTCAAGAATCATTCAAGCGACCACAGAACCAGCCTGATCAGGGTGCTGCAAACCTAAATCGCTCCCAAGGCCCTGAAGACATGGAAGCCACATTTTTGACGACCGACACTTCCTTCGTCGACAACCCACCGAGCAGCAAAATTGCTTCCAAATTCCAGAATCCGCAAACGCCGGCACCAGCTGCAAAAACATCAGGTGTGCCTAGAGGAAGAGGGGGAATACCGCGAGCAGGGGGGCGCGGCGGTATACCCACGCGCGGGGGTGCTCCCAGAGCAGCCAGGGGCGGCACAGGCATAGCAAGAGGGATTGCTGGACGGGGTCGCGGAGCACGTTGAGCACACCATGCATATGTGGTGATATCCGGAGAAATGCATAGATCAGGTGAATGAAGAAGCTTGTGCTTTAAAGTTTCGATTCTCCTACTTGACCATAGACTCGCATTACTACATTTCTAGTTGCAGTCGATGCGAACTAGTATTAACTTCCAGAGTCATCGTCCTTCTATCATTACCAAGCCTCCTGGTCTTGTTATGTCCGACTCTCAAGACGGACTTCATTACTATTGTCGACCCAAAACAAAAGAGGCAGCAAATGCAGTTATCTAGGCTGCCTTCCTGGAGAAAGGGGTATACTGCAATAAACTCATGAACCAAGACTGCGTTAAGGTCGTAAGAAAAGATGAAGAATAGGGTATCAGGTTGGAAGTTCAACTTCCTGTGGTTCAAACATCTAATGCCAACCGATCGATGAAGGGTATCCCGTGAAGATGACGTTCACGTCAACACTCCAGCATAGCGCTTTGCATGCTGGCTGCTGCTCTCTTTTCGTAAAGCCCACCCCTTGATAGCAATGACCACTGTGGTCCAAGCCATGAGGAGTGCGGTAAGGCCCATGACAACCGTAAAGATGAACATGGCATCGAGGTTATACGATTCAAGAGCTGCAACGGTATCCTTGTTGCTGACCATAAAGGTGATACCACCCGAAATCAGACAAAAGGCGGTGATAATTTCCGTAGGTGGTCGGGATGGAAGGAAGGAAGTCGGTGGTGAGATGTACAGAGTAATGTAGGTCAGACCGCGGGCCAAAGCGAACGCCATGAACATGCTGCCCCATTGGGTATGGATCATGGTCGAGACCATTGAGCTTTGATGGTGAGAGCTCATCATCTTGCCGAGCAGCATAATGATAAGGGCTGGAAGTGGGTTCATGGAGAAGCGGTATTGGCTTGGCTGTTGCCAGGATTCATTCTGCAGCGAGGTTGCTTGTGACGCGACCACTCCGCTGTTGAGAAGGTCTCGCACTCTTGTCGACTCGATGCACATGCCCAACTAGGAAGGTTAGCGATGATGCGCGAGAAGGAAGTAAGGCTCTACTTACCAAACCACCACCAAAGAACATAACTGAGATTGACACATGTTCCAGGTCCTGAGCGGTCCATGCATCGCCCCACGCAGCCAGGTGCTCCAGGAATACGTTCGTACAGCCGTAAAGCCAGATGACGAAGGATTCGGTAAACTCTGCCGACGGCAGCGCCGCCTTCCGATGACCGACAACTTCTTTTGTTGGCTTAACGTTCCATGCCCAACCGAAATCTGCAAATGCACCCATCCAACGGCCGAGTGTGAGGAAGCCGTACAGAAAGAAGATTCCTCCCTTCACTGTGTGGGCCAAAACGTTGAAAACCGCGCCTCCTCTCCCAATACCGCCATAGACGACAGCGCCACTGACTATTCCCACAAAACCCTGCACTAGTATTGTGCGCTCGACCATCACGTAGAGGAGGCGGACTGCCTGGAGTGTTCGTCCGACTGCAAAGCGAGCCACATTGCGGGAGAAGAAATGATCTATGGAAGTATTGTGAAGAAAGCCGCGCTTCTCTTCGTCCTCGTCGCCATCGCCGAAAGAGTCATCATCGTGTGTAGGCTTTCGTACAGGGCCAGGGAATTGCTGGTTTTCCGATTCTACGCTAGGAGACTGGGAATGGTCGTACAGAGATGCCGAGTTGCGTTCTGTACCTTGGCCCGAATCGCCGGACCATCGTGATGGAGCAGGGAGCTCTTCGTCGTGTACGCGCTGATATCTAAGCATATTTGCGGTCGTCAACTCGTCCTCCTTGGAATGCGATTCAGGCCTCCTAGCGTAGGCCTGAATGAGAGCCAAAAACACCCATGCTGATGCGATCCAGGTAATGGCCCATCCTGTCTTACTGTGTGCGTTCCCTGCATACATCTCTGGGGTCCTGTGGTCGTATACAAGGCCGAGCACAAGTGCTAGCGCATTGGTAGCGAGGAATGCCAGTTGTGAAGGTAGAGTATATCTTGAACAAGCGATGCTGAACATCACTGCGACTGGCAAAATGAAAACCCAGGCTAGAATCTCGAGCCCTATGTGCCAATACATGAGCGATGCATGTTCAGAAAGACTCCAATAGCCTCCAAAGCCGGTATTCTGTGGTTGCGATTCCGGCGCATCATGTACGCTCATGTCCATGCCAGCTCCGTCTCCATGCGCAGTCACGAGCGGCAATAGCTCGAGCAGCAGCGCTGCAGCGGCTATTGTCAAACTTCCGCGATTCGGCATATATGTTGCTCTCAACGAAAAGTTAAAGCCTTTGGTATAGACAGTGCTGCGCAAAGCTGGTAGTGTCGCAATGGAAATACGCAAGCCAGTCGTATGAAAGTCTGCTGTAATTCGGTACGTGCAGTTGGAGATATAAGAAGATGCAAGACTGTAGGGAAACAGCGGACGCAATAGTGAGAGGTGTTTCAATGCATGTGGCTGCCAGCGCCATGGGCGTGGCTCGCATCTATATTGTTTCCGGAAGATTCGGAACGACGAGTTTGATCAAGTCATAGCGACAGAAGTTTTGTCAGCTGCGAAGCTACTCCGATAGCATCGCATTCTTCGCAGGCTGTGACGTCCTATGCGAATGTCAGGCGCAAGGTGGGTCCGGGCAAGCACGGACTCGAGGACCATTCCGTCAGCCACCGCTAATGGCATCTTACACTCCACCGGCAAACCTCGCCATGCTAGTCGCAATAAATTCATCATGACAGCAAAACTTGTCTATTACGGAGTCCTACAAAGTGTAATCCCAACGCCATCGCGCAGTTGTAACAGACTCACTGTGTCACGTCATGCTTGTAACAAGGACAGGTCTGAGTTGCGTCGGATTCCGGTGACAGCGACTATCCGTCTCGGCCTTCCGTTGGCGAAGGGTGTTCGAATCGAAGATTCACATGCGATCTTCACCACCTTGGTCTAGGGTACGCCGGAAACTAAGACCACGCGCCTGTCAGATCATATTTTTCCCTAGCAAAGTTGCGCAAATTCCATCACCGCTATCTCCAGGCTTCGCCCGAGCCACACCCTTGCGGAAGACATCATTGGCTTTCACATTGTCATAGTCACCTGCGCCATACCTCTAATCCACTTAAGCTTTGTTTCTTCTTGGCAACGCGCACTAAAGGCGGGTATAATCCTGTGCGCAGACCGCTAAATGATCAGGTTCCGATTTCCATGTGTTCTGATGTTATCCGGCCACTTCCGAGCTCGCAGATGCTCACATTGACAGTGACTTGACTGCAACTCGTCATGTCATGCTTGATCGCTCTTGTCGATGTACTTTCGCAGCCGACTGGATTCTAGAACCGCAGTCTCTTGTTTCGGCGTCTTTGTCCGCATACCAACCTTACATCAGATGCCAACACTGAGCACCTTCCAGCCTTGCAGCCCCGGGCTTGACTCATCGCTTCGGAGTGATTATTCATTAGGCCTCCAAGTTTCTGCCTAGCCTTTGCAGCATCCGGATAACGTTGTTAATGCAAAGGTCTACCGATCCTGCAAGGTGCGAATCGCTAATACACGAAGTGGGTGGGCCGCGCGGACAATCATTCGCTTGAGCAAACATCGACTTTACCTTCTCCGAAAATACTTCTCCATCATCTGATCCTGAAGCCAAGCCATGGAGTTCTTGACTGTCCCTAAGTCCATGCAATCGGCTTTCGGAAACTGTCGACCCGACTCTCCGCTCTTTGTTGTTGCCGAGGAGTCTCAGTTGCCATGCATGTCGCAGTCAGGCCATGCGATCGCTGATTGTGCCTTTCATAAACCCCGATCAGTCGAGTCTTGTGATGCAACGTATATGGCTTGGGTTGATGTGCGATGGTGCCGTGGATTATGTACCCTAGGCCTTGCGTGCTCGCTCATACGATCAATAATATTTGGTACGGTATCGTTTTACTGCGACTCCATATTTCTTGAAATTGATCTGCCATCTGCTACTCCACCACCAGTACTGGAACAAGTTGAAACACTGCATGGATTCGGAGGACCAAGGTTGTATATGATTGTGTGAGGGGTGTGTGGCTACGCCAAGCTCACAGTCTACAAGCATATTGGTTGGACATAATAGTTCAACTGTTAGGAATTGAGTACCTGTGGTCTCAAGCTGATGCGAGATGACAAAAAAGCAAGACACGGCGTGTAGACTTAAGTGAAGAGTGGAGAAAGTTTCAAGTAGATTTTTGAGGTTAAGAACTCTGGACAGCGCGGAACATGTCTTGCAATGGTATATGAATGCATCCAAAGCGGTAGTTGTGAGTTTGGCACTAAGGCTATCGAGAGCATCACGTGACTGCGCGAGGGCCGGCAACATCAAACTACTGGCGTGCGCGAATCAAAACAGGTCCATCAACATCTGGAGCGCGACACACCCCCACCTAAACAAGCTCCACTCGATCAACACCATGCTTGACGTCGAAGACTTTAACGCTGTTTATCACGGCCTGTACTATAATGATGGCCTTGTTCAGGAAATTCAATCATACAGGACTGCGCTCGGTGGACGAACCTTCTTCGAGCGGCTGTTGACACTGTTGAACATCAAGGGCAAGTCGTCATCTCTTTTGGTATTAACGATGGACTAACCGGAATGTAGGAAGCAAGATGTACCCTCCCAAAACCCCGCAACAACTCCAAGACCTCCACCAGCGTATAATCTCTTCCAATACCACACTACACAACAAACACTGCCTAGTGTTTTACTTGCTCAAAGACTTGTCAGCACAACACCACGAAGCGACTGAACTATCGGAAGCATTTGCGAAAGACGTACACCTTGAGAAGCGGTTTTGGACATTCGTCGAAGGACTCTGGTTCCTAGACCATCTCCAGTTCTCGACAGCTGTCGGCCACTTGACGTACCCGGGCATAATACCGACTTTCCCTGATGAGATCATGTACACACTTCTGACTGGAAACGATAAGCTGAGCAGTTTAGGCATGGCAAGGGATCCCAAGGACGATATATTGGCTTTAGCGTACTATAACTGCGTACGGCCGCCGCTGGATGACCAGAAGACTAGGGACGAGTTTGCCAAGTATCTTGCAGGTCGTAATGTCACGGAGATGTACCAGTGGATTCACAGCAGACCAGACTATGAGCAGAAGCCGCTGCTGGAACTCCTTGTCGAGCAAACCCTGGACCACAACGCTTGGTCTCAGGACCCCGAACACGAGGTGTACACGCGAGATGCCAAGGCTTTCGAGCTGGTCAGTCTGCCGTTTACCAAAGAAGAGGAGGAACACATCGAGAAGTTTCTCACTGAGGGCAGGGGGAGGACATTCCAGAGCGCGCAAGATCTGATCATGATGCGTAGGATTGCGACCGGCAAGCTAACCGATGTTGCCGCTGATATTGGTACTCGTGGCCGCAGGATAGACGGTGTTAATTGGGAGAGCTTGAAAGACGGTGTAAAGCGAGGACTGGGGCCTAGAAAGGATGAACAGAGCTTCGCTATCTAATACGAACAGCCTGCATGAACGAGCACGTCAACTTGACTTGACTCTATATGCGGAGCGGAGGCGTCTCGGCGTATAGTACTAAACTCGGACCACCACCTACTTCCACGTATCTCCGCCTGCTTCTCACCGGTTGCTTACCAGAACGTTAGAGCATGGTCAGTTGTGAGTCTGTGAAGGCAAAGAAAGAGAGCAGTGGTGGAGTGGTGGGAACGAAGAGGGCAAGTGTTGGGCCTAGGGAATAAGGACAAATGACAAAGAGGGCGAAAGTCGGGGCATGATTTGCCTCGATGCGATTATGTGACAACGACAAAGCATCCTATGGAATTGTTTTGCTGTATTCGGGTATGGGGTAGGCATCTGGGTGTGCAAAAGGTGTTCTTAACATCAATTGAGATTATGGAATATATGTACCAGCGCTACTTCGCTATTGTGATCGCCTTCTGTGCCAACATGCTGTATTCGCTAGGCGCACACGTGCTCATGCGACGGCGCGCCTGACGCGTTGCTGCGCCCCTGACTCCAGAACGTATCATGGAAACATGTACGACGCGGCTCCGCGAATACTCCTCACTCATAGTCACTGCTAATGCTTTTGCGCATACCATTAGCCTTGACAGTTACTAGTTTTCCTCTTCGTATACATCTTGTCCGTAAGCTACGGCGGCCCGCACCGTGTACTCCTCGACTTCTCCACAACCCCACACCCACCATGCCGCCCAAGGCAACACCGTCTGAGTTTCCTACACAAACATTTGCAACGCCTGCAGACTTCGAGGCTTTCCTCGAGCGCGAACATGCCACTGCGCCGGGCGTCTACGTTAAGCTTGCCAAGAAGAGCTCCGGTATACCGTCGATAACTGCCGCTGAAGCTGTCGAAGTCGCGCTGTGCTATGGCTGGATCGACGGTCGCGCCAACGCTTGCGATGACGCGTTTTGGACAGTGCGTTATACGCCGAGACGAGCGAAGAGTATATGGTCTCAAAAGAATGTTGGGACGGTATCGCGTCTCATCGAGGACGGCCGAATGCGTCCTGCCGGCCTGGCAGCCATTGATGCTGCGAAGGCAGACGGAAGATGGGATCGTGCATACGCGGGCTCTGCTACAATCGTAACGCCTGATGACCTCAAGGATGCGCTTGCTCGGGTGCCCGCAGCGAAAGCTCATTGGGAAAGCATGAACAAGAGCGATAGATATGCTGCATTGTTAAGGGTAGAGACAGGCACGAAGAACGCAAGGTCGAAAAGAATACAAGGCATAGTCCAAGGACTTGCGACTGGAAGACGGCAAGGTAATAATGCTGGTTCAAACCGGGCAGCTCGAAAGATCCCTCTGAGAGTTCAAAGAGCCAGTCCAAATGCTGAGCCAAAGGTGCACAGGACTTCGCCACTTCGAGCCGGACTTCGACAGCGCAGGACCTGAGGGGTGCAGACATATCATTAACATGCCGGCTAATATCCCTTCGCACACCAGTTCAAGGGAAGCAAAAAGGCTCGACTCATTTGATAAAGATGGAAAAATAAAAACATACAACAGCGGGGATTCGCTAGTGGTCACCCACCTAACTACTAATCCGCCGGTACACTGCTTGTATATGGCTGAGCGGACGGGAAGCCTAATTTTCAGTGTCCTATGGTCGTATGTATGAGAAAAGGCTTTTATGGTATCTATAAAGTCGATTCATTTGTTTCCCTAAACTAGCAAGCAGTGCGATAGTCAAGTAGACAGGACTGCCTTCGTAAACAACATCGCCTAATGGCTGCCCAATCTCCTACGACCGCGTTTCAAGCGCCACTGTCATCGCCGCTTCCTCTATCATCACCAAATCAATCCGGAAGGCCAAAAACCCCAGCACGGCTGCTCAGGAGAAGATATTCGAAAGCCAACACTTTTAGGCAATCTTATAGGCTCGACTCTTCAAGAATACCACGAACTAAGATCAGTATCTGGTACACGCATCGCGAACGCATACATGCAGGCTTGACATGATCATTAATTCTACTAAAGACAACGAAGTCTAAGGTATGGAAGTCTATATATAGGTGTAACAAAACGGTGCACCACCCATCGTGCTTGAGGCATCTTCAATGGTGATGGACCCAGGGTACGCCGATCCCATGTCTAGAGTGTCTTGGAGAGTCGCAGCGGGCGAGGTAAGATTGGACATGGCGGTAGGACCATATAAAGCCTTCGTGCGCTCACTCGGCTTCAGGTTTTGCCAAGTCCAATAAAGCCTGTCAATCGACGCGTGGTGAAAGAAGAAGTATGGATCAGCAGGAGAGGCTGTGAAATCTCCTGCAGGATCGCCACCAAGGATGAAGTGACCAGCTGTTCATCATAGTCAGCAAGAAGACGCTCTAGTTTGTGGGAGTCACTCATACCAGTATGCACGCCCATAAAGTTGTTCTCGAAGTTGTTCGGAGGGGCGCCGCCTTGCAAGTTTTCCCAGAAGGATTGGTAACTGTCGCTCTTGAGCAGAGAAACCACGTCATCATCTTTCAGCCATCCCTCGCCGGTAAAGCTGGTAATGTCGCGCATAAGGCAACGTGGGTTGTAGCCGAGGCCATAACTAGGGCCAAAATCCTGGTTGGGATTCAGTGCAACGCATTCCGATGCGGGAAACAACGGGCCAAGATTGACAGTCCAATCCTTGAAGGGTCCCGAGGTTACGCAGCCACCACCTGGGCCATGCGGAATCTTTATCTTGGGATCGCTGTTTAGCGGGATGCCACTGAATGTCTGCAGAGTTCAAGATACGAAATTAGTGTATGCATCGCATGTATTCCACATTGTCATAACTCACCTGGTTGCTGCAACCCTTGGCACCCTGTCCGGAAAGTGACGTGTCTGAGCCGTCAAGTAATGGGGACTTTGCGGGATCTTTATACCACCTGGAGTAGCTGTAGTAGGGATGGGAGCCCTTATAGCCGCACTCATTACGCAAGGTTTGTTCATACGCCCAAGTAAAATACCGGTGCCAGGTAAGGAAATTACCCGTAACGCTATACGAAGTCAGTACGTATCTAATGTACCATCAATGTAGGGGCATCTACTGGATATTGAAGGACTGCTGGATATGTGTTGCCACAAAGTCGTCTACAGATGTGGAGATGCGAAGTCAGTGTATGTCTCACATGCATTTTGTACAGTCAGAACTTACCGTATCTGTTCTTGCAGCCCGGGCACGTTTCCTTTGATGTCTTGGACGGTAGCTTCCCTAGGCACTGAACGGCGCTGATGTATGCCTTCTTTTCGGTCTTGGAGAAGGTAGACCTTCAGTACTGTCAGCGTGGGGATCGAGAAGCGTTACGACCTTGGAGACATACCATTCCTGCCTGACTTGAATGTTGGTGGGGCTGCACTTCTTGTACTGCGCTGGCTGTTGAACAGCTTGGTAGAGTTGCTGATTGAGTGCAGCACCACCAGCCATCAGGTCCTGCTTAATGCTACCTAGGCCAGCGAGGATGTCATCAACGCGATCGAAACTCCTCTTCTCGAAGTGCTTATCCTCGTATGGGAGCGCATTCCCTAGAGCCAAAGGCAATAGCAACGCAGCTTGAAAGGAGCCTCGCATGTCGTGTGGTTTGAGAGCGATATGGTATACCGAACCAGATGTCTAAAGGCAAGCCGATTTGAAGGACGAAACGACAGGATTGACAGTCACTGTAACAGACAGATGAGAAACGAGCGTCGTGCCGGCTATGCTAGAGGTGCGTCTTGAATCCCTTCTTATACGTTGTCAGACGAGATAAAACGGGAATATCAGTCTGATAATGCCTAGAAACTTGCCCAGGTAAGCTTCGGAACACTGCCCCTTGGGGTCACCAATGCCGACGCACAAAGGGGTCCTACCTGTCATTGCCCAATAGACATGGCATGAGAATCCAGAAGGGCATAGTGTAGCGTTTACCCTAAAAAATCCTCATGTTCTCGAGCTTGTGTGGCACGGATAGGACCACAGTATGTTGCCGCGTACATGCAGGTTAAATCCTTCCAAGCCTGCGCGATAATTCGATACTCCATATTCTACGAACCCCGAAATACTGTGTAGTCCGAGCGACCGGGCGCATGGATCACACGGTACCCTTAATAGCCGATTAGCTTCGCCGGTATCACAGCCAACTTCCGCGCAGCTAGGATGATGTATGCTTCACTACCATACGAGGGATTCTATGGTTCCTCGGGCCGGCCGTCAAGAGCCGTTCCCACGCCACTCCCGCTGAATGAGCTTCATCCACCTCTATCTTTTTTTTCAAAAACTGAAATGACGATGTATCTATACACTATGCCTTCGCATACTACAGCGAGAGACTTCTATGGAGAAAGGGTTCGAGTGTTGCAAGTCTGCTGCGCTATGGAAATATCAATGCCGAAGAAATATCTGTGCTTGGCTTGCAGACTGCGCCGCATACCAGCAGGAAGACACTATCGCGTACTCAGGTGGCGTCTCGTAAGGATGCAATATGCATAAGCGAGATTGGTTTAGCCTATCCTGCACCCTACCAGCCGATGCAAGTCCCACCATTTTGTAATTAGTACCAAGTAAATTGAACGCAGCGCAAGAACTGATGCGATCAAGAACTGGTACAGTCAACAACTGGTACGGTCAAGAAGAGAGTTGTTAATAATAACCAGGTCAAAATTGCTAGCAACTCTGATCGAGGTCAGGGCCCATGCATGACCTCGGGAGCTACAATCGAAGGATTCAAGCTATGCGTTCCGGACTTTCCATATTCTCTTCGCGCGGCTGAACCTCCACCGTGGGTTCATCTCGCCTTCAACCCCATTTTTCCTCCCGCTCTTACTTTCCAACATGTTTCCAAAGCTCGACGTGCGAACAAATGCACAGACAGTATGAACCTGACATGGGACAATTTGCTGCTTGGAAGCACAAGTGGCATAACAACCACTTAATCTGGCTAGGTACCAACAGGCTACTTCATCCTGAGTAGGTTTGTGTTGTGAATCATTCTGCATGATGTGATCCTGACCATCAAACCGGTACTACGTTCATAGCAGTATATCTTCGCTAGTTGGAACGGGCCACCCTCAACATACAGGAGACTCATCATTTTTTCCGTTGGTCTCTTTGTTGGATATACTTTGCGTCTTTCAGCAATCTGATTAAGATGACTATCAATTTGTTTGCCAAACAAGTATCCGGACTGCTCTCGCCCGCCCCTTCGCAGGCGTACCTTGAGGAGAGCTATGCACCAGAGATGCTGGCTGCGATTGGGACGTTATTTGGATTGGCGATGATATGCGTGCTGCTACGAGTTTACGTAAGGGTCGTTATGCTAAAGGTGTTCGGCGTCGATGGTATGTGTTTGTTTAGTATTAGGCAAGTTATTCACTGACTTGGTTCTGACAGATTGGTTGATGATGCTTTCAGCGGTATGCGTTCCGAATGAACGAGCTACTCGCAAAAAACGCTCTACACTTTGACGATTGCTGACAACACCATCCACAGGTTTTAAGTGTAGCATGCTTCTCCTCTTTCGCCGCACTCACGCATGTTGGAGTAGGCCATCACGTTGAGTACTTCACCTATGTACGGCCTGATCACCGGAAGAGATTCTTCGAGATATCATGGTGGTATGCCTGGATACTTGTTGCCGCCTATTCTAGTATCAAGATATCCATTGCTTGCTTCCTACTTCGATTCGCGGATCATCGCCGCCATTGGCAATGGTCGCTATATGCCATGATAGGTGCGTCCATAAATCAACAATGAAGGTGTGAGCTAATCTCCCTTTCTCGTAGTCATTTTAATCCTGTTCACCATTGGATCCGTTCTCTCATTGGTATTGCAATGTTTACCCATTCAAGCAGCATGGGACTTCAATTTGCGGCCGCCTACAGGGTACGGTCATGGCATCGAATCGAAAAGAAACACGCTCACTATGACAGAAATGCAAACTGCTACTCGACCACGACGTTTCGAAATACTGGCGTCTTCAACTCCGGTACGTTCGCCATGAATCATTGCATAGCCGCAACTGACATGGAATGCCAGTGTTTAACTTGGCTACTGATCTCATCCTCGCTCTATCACCCATGCCCATTATATGGAAGATACAGACAGATCTACGAACTAAAATCTCACTATGCATCGTCATGGGACTCGGTCTATTGTACGTATCTAAAGACCTCAGGTGATGCATCTATGGTATCCTAGGCTAACGATATTAGTACCTGCGGTGTGGCTGCCTACAAGATACCCCTCCAGTTCCACTTCTTCGATGAGAAAGATTTCTTAGGCCGGGGAGCATGGTATTACGTCTGGCAACAGTATGTCTCCGATACTATCGCTTCTTTCAAAGGTCTCCCATCCTGACTACCTACCATCTAGAACGGAAATGAACGTTGGAATTATCGCAGCTTGTCTACCTACTCTGAAACCCATAGCTGCCAGCTTTCTCGGCACGGTCAGCGCTCTGACGTCAAGCAATCGATATGCATCACGACACCCGACTACCGGGCCGTCCCGACCTAACGCCTCAAACGGATACATAAGGCAAGCGGAGCGCAGTGGTACACGTTCGTATGCGATGAAAGACTTGAATTGCAGCAACGAGGGTTCACTCAATGGTAGTGCGATCGACAAGGAATACCTCGAGAGTGGAGTAGCACATACGACGCACATAGGACGGGTGAGTTGTGCGGCAGGAAGTGAGGATAGCATATTACCCGCCCAGAAAGGGATTATGAGGACTGTTGAGGTCGAGGTTTCGTGATTTTGATGCGTTATGGTCACATCTCACTTCCGGCTGCGATTGTGGAGACCTAGGTACTGGACGTTGATGAAAAAATTCGAAGAAACACCCAATCAATTGTAAACAAAGGTTCGGTCGAGATACTTGGTCGTATGTGAAAACCACGGGGTGTTCGGAGACCCATCTACTTGTTGCATTGTATTGCCATGTCCTAGGTACCATACTTTGGCACCACTACATCAAAGAGAGAAACTCAACACTTCTTAGGGCAGAGTACTTATTCTTACTACAATAAAGCGTATTAAATTCATATAGATATATATAAAGACCCTAGAAGACTACAATACTATTAATTTTTATAAGTTTTCTTATTAGGAGACAATGAAGGCTGTAAGATATACCTTATTATTCCTGTATCTGTCCAGTTTCTTTCTTGTATGAGGTGGCACTGTAAACCAAGCTAAGAGGATATGCACAGGCTGCAAGACTCATTGCGGTAACCGCAATGATCGTTGATTCAGTCCATTTTATACGTATTCTACTCCAACTGGGACACCAACATCTTCGGTATCGCCATTTAACACTTCAGATACTGGCCCCCTCCCATCTCCGCTTCCTCGCCACACAACCTCGATCAATTTCCCAAATACTGTTCTGCCGGCGCTATTAACCACAAACCATACTTTCTGCTCCACTCCATTGCGATAAACAACAAAGCTTGTGATAGCAAGAGTCTGTTTCTCGCCTGTGGAATCATTCTCAAAGAATAGGGGCGACTGGCTTGATGAGATAAGAGTACCTGTCGGAATCGGAGTATTCGGAGAACCAGATGAGGGCAGCTGGGACAGATAACGGTCGAGGAACTTAATGGCAGTTGGAGAGTTACTCTGTCGCCCTCCTTCAATCCAGAATAATGAGTCTTTTACGACACGGATTTGGCCTGGTGTCTTGATTCCACTAACTAAGACTTGCTCTTCCCCAAGTCCACTTATAGGCACGCGCCGTATGCTTCCGTCATCGACACCACGAACGGAGCTCCAGTACAGCCAGCCTCTCTCCTCGTCTACTGCGATTCCTCCTGCGTAGGAGATGGCTGAGGCGTAAGAAAGAATAGAATAGTCTAGACCTTCAGACACATTCCGCACCAAAGAGTCGTATGATCCATCGAGATTCGCCTTCTTGATTAACCCCGTAAACGAGTTGCCGTAGTAAATCTTTTGTTCTTTCTCTGCAACCGTCATGCTCATAGTTTGCCCATAGTGATCCTTGTCGGCGTTCAGGACAGTCTCCGCATCACCACCGTCTGTACTTGTGCGGACTATATCTTGGCCTGTCGCTGAGAAGAGAGTCGGAATCGAAAAAGAGTATGCGAGTGCATATGCACCAATGGGCTCACTGGCCTGGGTCGTATTCGAGTTGGCGCCAAACTGTGTAAGAATAGTCGCGTTGATACCGCGCGTGGTCAGACTCCGAAGTGAGGTGGGCCATCGAGGAATGGGTGTGCTGCGATGACCTACACCTGTGTCGAGGACGATGAGGCGTTCTGGTTCCAGACCAGCAACTGCAGTGTAAGCCTGGAAAAGGGTAAGCAGTGAAAGTAAAGAGATCATGATCTCTGGTCAGCTAGCTGGTAAAAACGTTGGAATCATGTGGTGCGGATTGAACCATTTCATACCCATTCTCTCCTTCACCGGAGCTCGTATCTGCATTGTGATAGATGCTATGAGTATTTCTCTTGCAGTCTTGTTCATCAAATTAGATTGACAAATGTACAATGTGCATTAGCTTGCATTTCGCATGAATGTTTCCAGGAACAAGACTGTAATGTGACTGTCAATCGCAAGCGCTTCGGGGTAGCGTATGCGGAGACGTGGTCTCATGCGTCGGTTTACGAATATATATATTGCTCGCTTGCGTTCTCCAATGCAGGGCAGATGGTTGCCGAAGCCATGTATAATAAGACTGAGAAAAATCAACCCCGCTTATGATGACTGCTGTAAACGTAGATGATAATGCGTGTCTATTCAAACGCTTGAACGCGGGTATCGTAAGCATATAAAACCAAATACTCCAATGCTCATGCAACGCCACTCCTTGCACACCTTGTCATCGCTCATGGGATAGCTGCGGGATCCTTGGGCCAATTGGCCGCGAACGCTGTCCATGGTGTGCCTCTCATAACCAGATTGCCGTCCTTGTCAGGTACGTACAACTGTGGCTCATATCCTTGTACACTTGCCCATGACCAGAACAACCGCCTCCAGTAGCAAGTTACTGCCGCTGGTGTCAGATATCTTCTGGTAAATGTCTCGTAGCTGTTCTTTGCAATCTCTTCTGCTTCGTTGTCATGCGCACGGTAGTATTCCATGGCCGATTCGAGGTTTCCGAAGTTCTCGGATGCTTCGATATAATTTACTTCGGGGCCAGCCAGTCTCATGAGATGGGTATGGAATTCTTGCCATTCGAGAGGGTGTGTGATCAGGGCTGAGCGACATAGTTGGAGGTACTTTAGGCGGCCGGAGTAGGATGTGCCTTCAGTTTGGACGGTGAACTTGTACCTGAGAGGTGGTTAGCATCGTTCTGTAGGTCTTGCGTAGTCTTGTATCATACCCGCAGAATTGCCTTAGATTCATAACGTCCTTGGTATGCGGGTCGCTGGCGTTGTTGATAACCACAGGCTTGATGTCACTCCACTCTTTGCCTTCGCTGACCCGGACCAGCTCCTTCCTAAGCTTGGCCATCTTGACCTTGCCCCTCCATACGACTCTAGGGTCCTTCTTCGCCCACGGAAGTTCTGTCTCCTTCTGCTCGATCTCCTTCCTGATGCTGTTCCAGCTCGGAGCGTGCGTATAGTTCCAAGCCCAGTACGCGTAGTTTGGCATCATCCAAATGTCCTTGTACTCTGGCCCTTCCTTCCGTGTATAACCGAAGAATGTTCCATGTTTCCTGGATCGCCGTGGCAGGTCGTCAAGCGAAAGCGAGAATTCAACGTTGGGGATGGCGGGGTCGGATGTCGAGGCAGTCGTGACGGCTCGATCAATCTGTGCCAGAGTTCCTAGAATGCGTTCTCTCTCGTTTCCGTTTGTCACGTAGCATTCTTCTGGTTTTCCGGCGTCGACAACGAATAACTGCGAGTACGGTGTCAGATACGATGTGGAAAATTGTCAAACGGATGTGTGTACCTCGCCCTGATAGATCATAATTCGAAGCATGCATCTTCCTGCCTCAATCTCGATATCCTGGACGTGTACCTTCCTGCCTTGCCGAAAGCTGACCGCCTGATCCAGACTGTGATACAGCTTTGGAAATGCAGAGTCGCATTGCTCATGACTAAGTGTATGCACATTGGCATGCACATCGGCATTGAAATCCCAATCTCGCTGAAGATTTCTATGATGGGAGAAAGGTAGGTAGTTGTGCTTCGATTGCCCCCATATGGACCATAATTGCGTCGCGATTACGAAGGTAGAGATATAGAAAACGAGGTGCGAGAAAGAAAGACGGTACGCCTTTGGCATCATGATTGCATAACGAGTGAACAACGCGCGACTGTATTAACGAATGACTGAGGGTAAGCAATATGTCGGAGGACGAAGTTGACGAGAGGCAAGAACCCCAAGAGATGGACAAGACTCAAGAGAAAAGAGCCCGTCAGATAGTGCCCCATTTGATACGAGCGTCCATTCCAAAAAGCCTCGTCTGAGCAAAGCTAACCATTCGTAGCGGATGCGCGTCCATGCGAGCCCCTGGGCTATCCCCACGCCATCACAGACCGGGCAAGTGAGAGCTGACAGTTCGATTGGTGCCCTATCAGAGAGCCGCTGGAGCCGGACACGATAAGCGCATGGCTTGGAATACGATCAAAAGGATCTGGAGGTGTCAGGAAAGAGTGGATAGGAGTGGCTCGCCCGGAGCGTTCAGGGGTTGAAGCTTCAGTCAGACCCTTGCGCTAAGATCCTTTAGGCTCGGCTAGCTTTCTCTGTAGCTAGCTCACAGGAGCACGCGTACGCGAGCGACTCTTACCACGAACGCTAACGCGCATCACTAGGGACACCGCGTGCAAACCGCCATATTGCATTCAGCCGGGAACCATACAATCACACGCGAGCGAAGTAGAGGTGTTGGAGAAGTCTCCGATGCAACAACGACAAGCAATGCCATGCAATTGGGGAACTCTTAACCAGCACGCGCGTCTTAGCGCGGGAGCTTAGGTGGGCTTGTTGTCCCCTGACATCTGCAGCTCTATCTCTTCTGCTAACTGTACAGGGACGTGATGAGGTGCTGCGAGGCGATCATCACAATCCGGAAGGTAGGATCAGCAACATGCCATGAAGACCCAAGCGCCTCAACCTAGACACAGCAGCCGTTAGACCCTGCGCCGCATTAGGGGTCTATATACCCCTCTATCTTATCGTCGGCGACCACTTGTTTGAGATACCTGATTGTCCAAAAAAGATTGCGCACTCCTCAGCACTCTCATCAAAAGCCGTGAGCTACGTGCACGAGGTACTGAGCTCTATCTAAATTGAGAATGCGTTCTTTCATTTACCGATACGACATGGTTCGATAGAGGGGCGGGCGGAGTGCGGCACAGAAGATTGGTAGAATGCCTGACCACGAAGAGAGCATGACCTGAAGCTGGCGCTTGACCACCCTTCTGTCCCGACGCATTTAGCTGCCTTGAAACAACACCAAGACACGACCATACACGATACATTGCACACCGATGCCATTGAAGATCAGATCATGGCGCTTCGATGCTTGAGAAGCAAAACAGCGCAAGAAGCTATTCGTCGATACGCCACTTCTGTTGGTCCAACATTAGCGTTCTCATGCATACCGTTGAGCCGCTTAGGACTAAAAACAACAGGAAACTAGCCTATATAAGCGACAACGCGAGAATGCTCCTACACAACAGTTGCGCTCACCAGAGAACAACATCGGACCATTGCTCGACAACTGACCGTTACATGCGGTCATACATGTAGACCAGCTTGCTATCCATAGCTTGACTGATATAGCGGAGCGTGGAGATGCATATGCACTAGTTTCATAGAAGAACTTTCTAGTTCACGGGACTTGACCTTGTATCATGTCACGGTTCATGGAGCGTCCCGGTGTAATCTACTAAAACCTCACACACGGCCGCCTCAACATTCGCGGCATTTTGACCGTCTTTTGAGTAACGAAAACAACTTTCATTAGCAGCACGTCGTTCAGTAAATGTATCAAAATGCTCGCCAATCTTAGCTTACATTCTCTTGTCTCTCATAGATCATGTTTTCCTTATGGCGTTTGCCAAGAGTGAAGAAGGCTTCGTGCAGTCATGTCCGTACTCATTTGCGACCACTTAGGACCAGTCCCCATGTCTAAACGTGTTGCTGGTGAGGTTATATGCTGCGACGGATGTGATGTTCTTTTGTTTATTCAACAACTGTACTCCTGCCACATAAGTCTTTCATCAAGTTTTATCATCTGATCCATCCCCAGTCAGCTGTATTAGACTGCTTGCCATTACTTAAACAAAGACTGTACAAGTGTTGTTTTCTAATCGAAACGAACCTTCCTGGAAGCGTTGCAATGGTGTTACTGCCGAGGATTCCAGCTCCACCATGCGCTAAAGGCCTGTAATGGACGACCATTCAGTACCGGCAGGAGCATGACGGAACATGTCTGTCAGGCTGTATGTAGTGTGCTGCTCTAGGTGTGCAAGATAAGGAGACAGACACAATGCTGGGCCACTTCATGAGGGTCTGGACTAAACATCGTATCAGTGCGCATGTCGATTGAGGCTCGTCAAGTTGCATTGGTTAGGCGAGAACTGGTACATCATGTCTGCTCTGGGTCTGAATATGTTTCGAGGTCGAACTACCATGCATGATATCATGGTACCTGGATTGAGTCTAAAACGTAGGTCTGCTCGCAAATGAGCGGGTTTGGTATCTTGTACGAAAGAGGCATATTGTAAATGCCTGTGGAAATTGTCTTCATTTGACCAGGATTTGTAGTCGATATTCATGTCCGTCCGTTGGAAAGTCCAGCGGCATCCCAACGTGGCGACTTGACTCGGTCTTGCAATTAGCATGCCTAATCCCAACAAGACGTCACCAGAGCTTTCGAACGGAAAGTAACTTGAAAGGATGTTTCGGAGTGTCTTTTCTTTTGTTCGATCATTCTACACACCTTTTCAAAGTACTGTAGGAATTCGTGCATATTTGAAAAGACACGAGTGATAGATTCCCCGTCAATAACAGTGAGCCTCATGGCTTCGTTGTTGATTGACTACGTACAAGTCTATGAGACTTATAGTATTTTGGAGAGGGTATGCAGAAGCCTGAGTATTCCACTATCAATAGTAGAAGCCCCTGACCAAGAGGGACTATGTCTACTACCGCTTGTTGTTCTTCTTTCCACCATTCGCAACCGATTTAAGCGCCGCATGTTTAGGATGCTCCTTCAAATGTTGATGTAATTGTGTCTTGGACGAAAAGCCGGCACTACAGCCAGCGCACTTATTCTTTACATCTGGCTCTTCACCCTCAGCCTGTTTTGCAGCTTTCTTTAGGCGTTTCAGCGCAGCTTTGCCAAGCTTGGGTTCTGGAGGGGCAGCGACTTCTGGTTCTGTGTGATCGCCAAGCTTCAACTCGAGGTCCTCGGTCGTTGCTGTTGAAGGATCCGTGCTGGCACCAACAAGTCGAGCCTCGATTTCGGAGCGTGAGGCATATTCATCGTCTACGTCTGAGCTGGTTTCTGAGCCAGTAGCTGATGCAGATACTGTGTTACTAGGTGCGACTTTTGTTGAGGGCGCCTCTTCCTCGTCCACACTATAGTCGTCTAAATCAAGCTCAGTCGTTTTCTTTGCAAGGTTTTGGACAGATACGTCAGAGCCTTCGTCGCCTGAGACATCAACATGCTTCGCAAGCTCGTCCTCAGCTGGTAAGATCTCATCACTCTTGAGAGCATCCTCGTCCAAGTCTAGATGGGCATTATCCTTTTGCATCTTTTTCTTGAGAGCCTGGATTGCTTTCTGATGCTTCTTGCTCTTCTCGTGGGCGTCATATTGTCGCTCGCTCTTGAATGTCTTGTTGCATGCCACGCATTCGTACAGATCCTCTTCGACTTCTTCTTCACTCTCCTCCTCAACCTCGTCGGCCGGCCGTGCCGTAGCCCAATGCGGCACTGCTTGCTCCTCTTGTTCCATCTTCGCCATCTGCGCAGCCCTTGCGCGTGCAGCCTGCGCTTTTCTGGCGTCACGCTGTGCCTTGGCCTTGTCTTCGGCCGTCTGCGTGTTTGGAGTGTACCGCGGATCTCGCTTCCGTACGAACGCAACCAGCGTCCTGACGGCATCGTTAAAAGCCCGTCTACCCTCATCGCGAATCTTTTGGTTTTCCTTCTCAGCCGCCCGACGGTAACGACGATCAGGTTGCAAAGAAGGGTTGTATTCGTCCAGCCATGCAAAGCTCTTCACTGTAGCGAAGCCGTTCCAAGCTGAGTAGAAGTCACGTACAACGCCTTCATAGTCATCATCCTTGTGACCAAAGGTAGGGTAATCTGGTACGTCGAGATCGTCGTAGTCTGCCGCGTACTCCTCTTCGCGGGCAAGCTGTTCGAATGTCTCCCGCACGAAGCCAAAGAAGCCATTCGGCGAGTCTGAAAAGTCGACGTTCCCCCTGAACTTGCCCATCATCTGCGTTATGTCGTCGGCTGTCGTAACCTTCATGTCACCCTGGTAGTGTTCGCCAGAATCCTCGCCCGTGCTACCCCGCAGTATATCCCTCTCGTGTGCATCGTACCATGCGCGTTCCTGGTCATCAGAAAGTACTTCGTATGCGGATCGGACTTCGGCGAAGAGGGCAGTGGTACGTTCAACATCACCATAGTTTCGGTCGGGGTGTAGTTCGAGTGCTTTCTTTCGATATGCTTTCTTGAGCCTGGGACGTGTTACTACTGTCGTGGCTATCAGGTCGCTGTAACATACTCGTCTGGTGTGGCATTGCGTTCTACACCCAGCAGTTCGTAGTAACTCGTCTTCACTTCGCCCGCACCACTGGCCGCATCCCCGCCACCAGTGGATTGTGATGCACCCATGTTGATTGCCGGCTCCGATGCAGCTAGTCACTATGGCCTGAACTTAGTCTACAGCTCTTCGGGTCTCGAACTACTTGCAGTGGCTGTATGCTGCAGTTGAATTGTGTGGGCGTATGTGAGTCTTGGCGTGGAACTTTGTAGATGAGCTTTCACAGCATTCCCGGTGCGCGTGCGGACAGCCCTGCAATACACCGAGACTATCCCGGGGTTCACATGGTGGTGTTCTGGTGAGTCGCGAAGAGCTATGTTGCGTCACGACAAGCAAATCGCCTATGACTGTGCGCTTGGCGTTGATTGGTCGCGGACGGTAGAGGCGAAAAGTTTGAGCAGACAGTGATTGAGGAAGAGCGCTATTGGAGCCACCATAGTCTAGACAACGCCGAAAGCCGGCACAAGCCATGCATTTGTTTTGATTCATAAAAGAGGCGTTTCCCCATGTCTTCGTAATGGCGCAAGGCTATCTCCATTGAATTCTGGGGGTCTTCATTTAGCGGCATCCTTCACAGGCAGACAGGCGCATGACCCGCGGAACAAGTCGCCGTTGTTGACAAGTCGTTATTCCCTCATTCATTACCACTTCCCCTCCACCCACACGTCCAATACAGGTCGAAACACAAACTTCAAGTTCCATCGTCTCCCTACTCAGTCGCATTTGCATATCCCAAGCGTGGGTGATCGCTGGAAGGCTCCGTTAGCTTGGTCCACGGAACTGCGGCGGAACAAGCGTGGAAGGTACCCCGCTAAGCGTTGCAACCACTCAGCTCCCCACGTGCATCCTCTGCGCCTCCTGATCGGCCAGCCTTACCACGGTTCCTCGTCAACCTTTCCCCAAATATGAAGTTCGGCCATCTGTTCAAGCAAACACTCCGGGATGAGGGCTTCCCGCCAGAGTGGGTCGATTCCGCCATCTCTTACTCGCAGCTCAAGAAGTGCATCAAGAGGCTTACCGACGAGCTGCAGCAAGTGGGCCTTGATCCTGCGACCCTGTCCAAATTGTTGAAGCATGTCGAAGACTACAACGCCTCTACACAAGAAGATGATGAACAAGAAAGACCATTCGAGTATATCCTCAACCCCGACAGTTCTAGGGATAATGCCTCGCCGTCACGGAAGGCTTTCCATCCAAAGTTACTCTTCTACGTAAACGAGACAAGTGGAGAGGTCCTGAGCGCCCAGCTGGATGATGAGACCAGGCGCAAACTCCAGATGCTGGCCGTTGAAACTGGCATGTCTGATTTGCGCGTCTTGGACGATTCAGGCTCGCCAATGCAATCTGCCAATTCTGTAGATCCAGCCAGTACCATGACGACCACCCCAACAAATAGCTCTCGCAGCCGACCCGGTTACCGTACAGTCGAGGTTCCCATTACCTCGGACACCGAATTTTTCACCAGGCTTACCAGTGAAGTCACAGGGTTGGAGAAACTGCAAGAGCGCGAACAAAAACGAATGAACGTTCAGATTGAAGCGTTAGGGAAACAAGTTGCCAAGTTGACCAACCCCGACCGAAGAGCCAATAGAAAGATGCTCACTACTTGGCGTCAGATCTTCCAGATATACGTCGAGGAGGGCATTTTCTTTGGAACAACGGAGATTGATCATAAATCGCATGATTCGGAAAAGGCAATGGCAAGATTGGCTGGCTTCTCAAACAAGATTGCTAAGGCCGGTCTGGTGGAACAGTTGAAGAAGAAGGAGAACCTGCAAGCGCTGAACACTTTTATGCACATCAACCGAGAGCTTCTCCAAGGCCTACGATTCGGCGAGATCAATCACAATGCCATGATGAAGATTCTCAAGAGTATGTTTTCGATTCTTTCAAACGTAGACCCGGTAGGCTAACCTTGCACTAGAATTCGACAAACGCACAGCTTTGGGCGTAAAGTCCACGTTCCCTCGTCAAGTAGAGTACCCAGAGTTCTCAGAACATCTCGCCAAGGCCGTCTGCGCCGAAGTCAACACACAGATCCTCTCCCACGTCCCGCAAATAGATGACTACTCGTGCCCCATGTGCATGGAAATTCAATGGCGGCCCGTAAAACTCAGCTGCAACCATACCTTTTGCATCAGGTGCTTGATCGTCATGCAGAACAACAAGCAGTACAACTGTCCCTTCTGCCGAGAGAAGACAGTTTTCGATGCAAATTCAGGTAAGCATTCCTCCATTCTCTACCCGTAAGAAATCTTCTAATGGCCCGTCACAGACAACCTGGATACCGAACAAGCTGCCTTTCTCAAAAAGTGGTTCCCAGAAGAAGTCAAGAACAAGCAGCGATACAATGAGCTGATGGCGGGTGTGGATCAGTATGGAGAGGTGTATGCGACTGAAAAGTGCGTTGTCATGTAACCAATCGCTACTCTTTTGGATCGCATGCTAAATTTGCCGTGTTTGAAGGTTCATGCGCGCCGGCTCTCTGTGGTAAGTCACATCCATGATCCCTATCGAGAGGGTAGGCTAACATCTCACTAGGCATATGATTTGATCGTATCGACGGGTGCAGTGCAATTTGGCAATAGCCGTTTTTGAGATTCGAGATACCCAGCACAATTTGTGCATGTACAATAACCAATAGACTAATTCAACATGTCTCTATCATGGCTGATCTATCATGAGCCTTATAGTAGTATCATCGTCAGCAGTGAAGTGAAAGCATCAACATGGGACGTGAGGATTCGAGGTGATTGACTTCGTATAGAAGAGACCCGGGGACCGGGATATAGATAGTAATGTGGTAGACAAGCAAGGAAAATCGTACAGTGATGTGCTGCTACAACAGCGAAACTATATCTTTCGATCTGTTTTTAACCAAGGAAGAACTCCGTGCCTAGATGCAACCAAATAATACGCTATAAAGAGAGAGAAGAGAATGCCAGTCTGAGGCTTGTTGAAGAAATTATACACTGCGCTCTGGGCTTTCACCCTCGGCAACAACAGCTACGCCCAATCCCCGGTCTGGAGACTGGAGAACGAGTTGTTCATGCCGCCTTGCTCTGATGAAGTCGGACACACTCTTGATCAGGATGAACCAGCCGACAATCATCAGTCCGTATGCTATCCAGTCACTGCCTGTAATGGCACTCGCGGCGGGTGTCATGTCACTGCCACCCGTGCTTCCACTGCCAACCTTGTTGGGGTCAAAGTCGTGGGCGTTTGGGTCGTTCGGAACGCCACCGTCGAATCCCTGCCCAGGGTTGTCATTGCTGCCGTTGTTCGGACTAAGTACGGCGGAGCGGAAACCGAAACCGAATTGTACGAGTGTGATACCGAGACCAGCGCGGGATCCATTCTTTGCAGCGTGGGTAGTGTGGAGCAGATAGGTGAGGAGGAAGCCGACGAGTTGGAAGGACATGGAGATCATAGCGTTCCAGAGGAAACTGAAGAGGGAGCCGACGGGAAGACCTTCGACGAAGACTTCATCGCCGAAAGTGCCGGGAGCGAGGATGGTGGTTTCCCAGTAGGGTGGCGTGGCATCTGCGGCAGCTTGTTCGTAGGTCTGGTGGTTGTTAGTAATGCTTGATATGGTGCACGTGTATTCGAATACGCACCGGAGGCTTCTCCTCAGCGTCCTCCCCTCTGGTCGGCTTTGCGCTCAGATTTGCCCATACACCACCGTTGCCTCCGCCATAGACGCGTCCGCTGCTCGGCGCCTGTGTGTTGAAGACTGGCAGTTCCGTTACTCTCCTTTGGATGCCCGGAGCCACGGGCTCGTCTTCTGTCCTAGGTGTTCCCCGCATCAGCCGCTGCCGATCATCGCGCCCATCGTTATCGTCGTCGTCGTCGGAATCCGAGTCGAACGTGTCGGCGAGTGTGCGGTCTTCCTCGTTTGGTGCGGGATCCTCGGATAACAGCCGTCGTGATGTGCCGTTTGGTGATGATGCGCGCGAGTGGAATGACGGTGGCGGCGATGCAGGCGGCCACTGCTGACCAGCCTGCAGCCTCTGGGGAGATTCATCCTCGTCCTGGGCGGCTACCTGTGTTGATGCGTTAGTTTGGGCGTCGTGGAGGCAATACAAGGAGGTTGCGCGGGCGCAGGATGCCCGGGACCAACTGGGACAGCGTACCCTCTCGTAGCCCTGGCTAGGCATGTTGCGCGGATAACCGGATGTGTGACGTGAAGGGTGCAATGCTGTGTTTGTTATCGAGTGTCGACAGGCGAGATGGTGGTAGGAATAGGCCGGGCAGCAGGCGTGGACGAGGGAAAGGCGGCGGTTGTGATAGGGAAGTGCAGGTGGTGGAGCGTGTCAGGCGGCAGATGCAGCGGAGGAGGCGTTTCAAATGCAGTTGCCTGACTTTGTCGCTTTAGGCCATGCGACACGGGCGCTGCGCCACGATCCAATAATGCACGGACCACGCACCTGGACCCTGGTTACCGAAGCATCATCGACTTTTGGATCGTCGAAGAAAGTGAACGAGATCCGTCTTGGACTATTCGCACACAGCAGTCATGGCAAATACCGTGAGTCTACAGCCATGCATCACAGCATAGTCAGCTGACACGCAACTTCAGATCACAAAACAATACACCCGTCTCCTTGCCCTCTGGCCCAAGGACGCTTTGCGCCCCAATCTTCCCTTCACACGGGCAATCGAACATCATGGCAAACCATTCGGCCTGCAACCCATAACGCCCGCTCCTGAAGAAGGCGCAAAGCCTCAGTCCCCTGCATCTACAACACCAGCTGCATCGTCACCGCCTGCGAACCCCAAGCTCGAGCAAGCCCAAGTGAACGCACTATTTTCCTTGCTGGAGAACCGATACAGTACCACATATGCACTGTCGCCAGGTGTACTAAAGCCCACATCTGCACCAGAGCACTACACAAGGTTAATGGACGAGATTGAGCGGGCGCCTAAAAAGACGTGGTGGGAGGCCAAGCTGGATCAATGGAAGATGAAGATTCGATGGTCATGAGGAACCAAATTATGACTCTGTATCATATCATGATGTAAAATTAAGAGAAAAAATCAGAGAGACCCTAATATGTCCTCACTCGTTCACTTCAATTCATTACGACATCCCTGGTTTCAGAGGGGTTACTTAAGAAAAGAACGAACACAGAAGAAGGTTCGCAGAACCTTGTTATTAGGTTTTTGTGCAGATACATGCAACGAGATTCATCGACAAGCACGTCTCATGTGAGACGTTGCGTCCGGGACTCGATAATTACTACGCCCAACAACTGCATCCAAACATCTAACCTGATCAGTGCTAGCTTTTCTAGCGCCTAAATTGAGTATGCCTTAAATCGACGTACCTACCTCCAGGCAGTCTTCCCCAACTGACGCTCTTTCTCTCCAAGCTGCACCCATCACATTATGGACGACACTAGCCAACAGCATGACGAAACTCCCACTAAAACTTACATCTTGCCTGCTTTGCCGACCGAACTGTGGCTCAATATACTCGACCATGTGGTCACGTACGATACTCACATTTTTGGTCGCTCCCCTTGTTATATCAGAGGAAAAACGCGTGACCTTCAGAGACTACAATGCGTATGCAGATCGTGGAGGGTATTACTTTCGCCAAACTAATCTCATAGTTCATATGCCTGACATTGTACAGGACATGATAAAGCCAGCAGTGTATCGCCATGTAGCACTTGACCGCAACGGCAGCCTTCCGGGACCCCAAGACAGTCATGGTATGGAAGCAGACCACATCACAGCCCTGGCCCGGCTCTTAGATCAAACGACCGATTCTGGTCTTCCTAAAGCTTCCTGGGTTCGCTCATTCAGTATTCAAGAACATACTGCGAAATACTGGAAATCCAAGAAATTACGGAAGAAGGCATTGTCCGACCTAGTCTTCCATATGACAAACCTTCACGAATTCTGTTGCCGCTTCGTCCTCAACTATCCCACTATGGCATCTATTGCACGGTCGCACGGATCACAGCTTACAAGAATGGTTATGCATTTCGGTGGGGACATCCATACATCAGAACGCCTTCTACTCTTGAATCACTTTACGGCTCTGACAGAACTTCGTCTTAGCGTTTCCGACTCGTATACGATTGAGATCGAACCACTTGACCTACCGAATCTACGTTCACTCGAATTGGTCACGGAACCGGCTACTGGCAAATTATTGGCTTGGCTCACCCACTGGAATATGCCCGTTCTTTCAGCTTTTGCTTACTTGAGGCCACCTAATCTCTATGCGTACGGAATGCGCCACAAGCGTCTTCTGGCAGCTTTCATGGCAAGACATGGCGCTGGTTTGAAAACAGTAACCGTTGACTGCACTGCTCCAAAACTCACAGTTTTTCCCTATACACCAGCGTTGGACATATATAAGCAAATTGATATACCGGAAGTCATTGAAGGCCTTCCCATATCAGTGACGCAAATTTTTACCTGCGAGTTTGGTCAGAACCTAGGTTATCAGGTGCTAAGACTGGAGTGCCTATTCCAGACAGTGCAATCGCTGCCACCAGAACGCAGTCTGCATACAATCCGCGTGGTTTCGAGAGATAAGTATCTCGGTGGATCGCCGTTTCTCTGGCGGGACAAAATGAAGTGGGCAGACACGAGAAGAATAAATACTTGGAAAGATTTCAACAAGTATGCAGAAGGGCTACTGGAGCTGGGTGTTTCAATGTTAGATGAGCAGAATATCGTTCTTACGGACGTCCTCGAGGAGATGAAGCCATCGCAAGAGTCAATCAGTACGGAGCTCCTAGAGAGCGCGACTGATGCATTGCTGGAGTCAGAAGAATAGTGTACGTTGAGTACTAGAAGAGAGAGAGAGAGAGCCTATTGTACCATTTTATAACATACATGTACTCACATACCTCTCGTGAAACCCTCACACTCAACATCCCAGTGTGACGGCCAAACCGGTCCCTCATACCCATCCCAACCACCACACATCATACCAACAGCGAGCAATAGGCCTGCCGCACTCGGAAAGTACGGCGTAGGTACCCTCGTTCCACCCTCCGGCATGCCCACCTCATCGAAAGCATTGTTCACATCAAGCAACTGACTAACCGCTCGTTCTGCATCACCCCTCCTCGCCTCCGTGATGGCCAACAGTGAGAAGTCCCAGCCGTACGAGAAGGGAAAGTTCCAGGTCTCGTGTACCTTGGCAACAGTGTTGTTGAATACTGTCGTGTTAACGCGGGAGTCTGGAGGTAACCAGCCTAAAGTTTGTGTGTACGAAGTCAGTCTATGTTTCACACGCAGTTCGTGTATGGGAGTCTTTACCGTAAATACCTAGTATACCAGGATGGTCTTCTGTATACTCTGGTGTAGTCCACATATCTGGTATTCCCTCGTATGTTACATATGCATCTTCTTCAGTGGGAAAAGGTGCGAGGTTATCATGTACGTGTATCCACGACTCTGGAACAGACTTGTTTTGTCGTACTTGCCATTTTGATGCCACGTCGAGACCGAAGCGCCAGTATGCCAGCTCGAAAGTGGGGTTGATGGTGTCGTTGGGTTTAGTATTCTCAGAGACTGGGTACATTGGAGGCCCAAGATCATAACGGTTCGTCGTGGAGTTCCAGAAGGCATAGCTGGCCATGAAGTCTGCCACGCCTATCAAGATATCGTCCCATTTTTCAAGAGTCTTCGCGTTTGGGAAAGATCGATATTCCATTTCGGCAAAGTACATCGGATGCGGTTGTTGCCAGATGAGCAGGCTGTTGATTTCACCTGGCGCAGACCGACCGCTTGGATCGCTCATCTTGCCGATGCGCGCGCCTTCGTATCCTTGCTTCTCTGCCCTGTGGAAACTGCTGGGTAGGAAGCGTTTGTAAACGCCGATGCTACGGTCATAGAGGTCCCATTTATCCCAAAACATCCAATGAGCCAGATGCCAAAACACCATTTCCATATGAAACTTGCCGTACCAGCCATTGTTCACCAGGCCGGATTCTTGCGCCGGATCTTTGCCAGCCCCGTTGACAGCCAAGAGGTACTGTGAGAGGACTGTGCGGCGCTGCAACTCATCAGCTGAAGAGTTGCTAGCGGAAGGAAGTGACAAGAATGCGCCGGTCGACCAGTAGGCTGCCCACCATGTCTGAGCCTTTTGCTTAACCGTCTCGGGTGTACAAGACATATTGACCGCGCGAGGAGCGTATGTAACAGTGAAAGAAAGCTGCTCGGAATTCTGGCTGGCAGCTAGGATATACTTGTGCTCATCGCTGTGTAGGCGTGAAAGCCGAGCGTACCCTTCCCAGGCAATGTCCGCTACATATGTTGTTGCATCCAAAGTGTGAGTGATTGTCGCACCTCTGTTCCTGTACTCGTCTGTGGTGGTGTGGTTTGAAGTAGCGTTGAAAAGACCAACAAATGGCGCGTCGAACTTGTTCTTCCCGGTCGCATAAGGAAAGTCAAAGAAGACACCCAATCCCGCTGTCCTTACTAGACTAGACGATATCTCCACGGCCACAGTATCTGTCTCTGGACTGGCAACAGTTGTCACCCGAACCTCTGATCCATGAATGAAGAAAGTTGAGCTGATGATACCTTCCCAGAGGTCCAGTACCTGCTCTCTGCCATTGAGTAGTTCTTCGGTGACATTGCCTCCGGCAATACCGCCGAACCACAGTCCGACTCTTCCCAGATTGATTCGATGTGGGTTCGCAATCATCCATTGACTGATATCTTTTTCTTCGGGATTGGGTTGCGCGTAGTTGACGAGACGACCGTGAGTCCACCAGTCAACGCCGGTATAGTCCGCCGGAGTCTGATTTGTCGTCGAGTTGTGCCATCCCCATGATGACAGGGTATTATGTGGAAGGAAGGTCTGCAGTCCCGTAATGTCAACACCAAACGCAAAGTTTCCGTTGCCAACTTGGACAGGACTGTATGGGTTCGATTGATTAAGTTTGAGGTTATACTGCTGGACAATAGATTTACGATTAATCTTGCTCTCCACGCCCAACGACGCAAAAGAGAGCAAACACAAGGCCCTGGCCCACATCTTCAGCTGTATTGTAACACGTTGGCTTCGTGATTCGTTCATACCAGGTGCTGTCCGCTCATCTTTATAGAGCTTATGACGGCATCCTCCGTGATGCAGGCTAATTTCCCGGTTGATCATCTTTAGTTGATCATTGCCATCGGCGGGGTCAACCATAGAGTGTATGGCATCGGGCTATCTCAGCCCGATGCCACGGGATCGTACATTGTACACGACTGGGCCCTCTTCGGCGTCATGAAAAGACAAAGGATGCGGCGGACGAGCAACTAAGAATGTGGGGTGGAGGCGGAGGTGGAGATGAATCCCAGTTCGCACTAACTTTATTCGGACACGCGCTCTTATCGATAAGGGTTTCTAGAAGTTCGAAAAAATTGGCGACACGCAACGCGTATCCCGTCGCAAGCATACATACTCGAGATTTTCACACGGTCTGTTCAGTTGCAGGAATAAAGATGTCTAAGGAAAAGAGCGATGAATTGAAGGTAGAGCAGAAGGAAGATCAAGCAGTAGAATTGAAGAAAGGAAAGAAGAGAAAGAGAGCTCAGCCGGCGAAAGATGGCTGGAGCGGCAAGAAGGGAGCTGGGCAGATATTAAAGTTCGACGACTCTGAGGATGAGATTCTCAAACCTACGCCAGAACGCATTGCGCAAGCCGGCGAAATCACGAAAGCAGAATCGAAAGCGACGCAATCCAGCAAAGCCCAGCAAAAGCCTGATCAACAAACACGGCCGAAGAACAAGCAACACGATAATGCCCGAAAACTTCAACAGGACCTTAGAGTACCATCTCACGTGATTCAAAAGCGTGATGAGCTACGGCAAGTCCGTAAGTCGCTTCCGATCTGGCCACAAGCGGACGCCATCAGGGCAGCTCTTCAGAGAAAAAACGTCATGGTATTAACTGGAGAAACTGGCTCTGGTAAATCAACACAAGTGCCTCAGTTTTTGGCCAATGAGTCCTGGTGTACCGGATGCATAGCAATCACGCAACCTCGAAGAGTAGCCGCGATCTCGCTGGCACGTCGTGTGGCCGATGAGATGGGTAGCTTACTTGGTGACAAAGGCCCTACGGCAAAGGTGGGATACAGCGTCCGCTTCGACACAGCTGCGGGAAAGCACACCAAAGTCAAGTTTTTGACAGAGGGTATGCTACTTCAAGAAATGCTCAGAGATCCAAACATGTTGCAATACAGCGCGGTAGTCGTAGACGAGGTTCATGAGCGAAGTGTTAACGTCGACTTGATACTTGGGTTTCTCAGGAATCTGGTGGCCGCTAAAGAGGGTAGTACAGCAAGAAAGCATCCTCTCAAGGTCGTAGTAATGAGTGCTACAGCAGACGTAGAGGGCCTTGTTAAGTTCTTTGGAGACAGCCAGCCTGTCTCGAACACCGAGAAGACGGTCGCGAAGACTGCGAAAGAAAACAAAAGCAACGTCTCGACCTGTTACGTGGAAGGTCGCCAATATCCAGTCAAGACAGTGTATCTCCCACAGCCAACGCAGGATTGGGTCGAAGCAGCCCTAAAGCTTGTCTTCCAGATACATTACAAGGAACCTTTGCCAGGTGACATTCTTGTGTTTCTGACAGGTCAAGACACCATCGAGGGGCTCGAGAAGCTTATAAACGACTACGCTGAAGGTATGGACGACGAGGTTCCTAAGCTTCTTGCGCTGCCTCTTTTCGCCGCCCTTCCACAACACGCCCAGCAACGCATCTTCCAGCCAACACCCTATCGCACGCGGCGCGTTATCCTTGCGACTAATATCGCCGAAACATCAGTTACTGTCCCTGGTGTTCGTTTTGTGATAGACTGTGGCAAGTCAAAGATAAAGCAATTCCGGAATCGCTTGGGTCTCGAATCGCTACTTGTAAAACCAATCTCCAAGTCTGCAGCTATCCAACGCAAAGGTCGAGCTGGTCGTGAAGCACCTGGTCAATGTTATCGGCTGTACACTGAAAGCGGATACAATACTATGGAAGAACGCACAACGCCCGAGATCCTGCGTTGCGACCTTAGTCAGGCAATCCTGACAATGAAGGCGCGAGGTGTCGACGATGTACTCAGTTTCCCATTCCTCGATCGGCCACCGCGAGAAGCCCTGGAGAAAGCTCTCTTACAGCTCTTAAACCTACAAGCACTCACCGAGACCGGTGGGATCAGCGACACTGGTCTCAAAATTGCTAAGTTCCCACTCACACCTACACTCGGACGAGTACTAGTTGAGGCAGCGAAACCAGAGCGAGACTGCCTACTCGACGTGGTCGACGTTATATCCGCACTCAGCGTCGAGAACGTCTTCCTGAACCTTGTGACTGAGGAGCGCAAAGAAGAAGCAGAAGAAGCTAGACGTGAGCTGTATCGTCGAGAAGGTGATCACCTAACACTTCTCATGGCTGTGCAACGATACGCTGCTGAACAAAAGTCACAACGCAAAGCCTGGTGCGACAAGCACTATGTATCTCACCGTGCCATGGAGAATGTGATGAACATCAGGAAACAATTAAGACAGCAGTGCACACAACAGAAGCTACTTTCGGCCGACGACGAGGAGTCCGAAAGTGCGCCCTCGGAAGCTAGAAGTCAGGCCATACTCGCATGTATGCTACGAGGATTCATCTCCAATACAGCGAGATTGATGCCGGATGGCAGCTACAAGACGTTGATAGGCAACCAAACTGTAGCTATTCACCCCAGTTCGGTGCTCTTTGGAAAGAAAGTGGAGGCTATTGTCTTTAATGAGTTTGTGTTCACAGGCAAGGCCTGGGCTAGGGGCGTCAGTGCAGTTCAGTTAGATTGGGTGTCAGAAGTGGTTGAAGCCATTATGTAGATTGAGCAGTAACATGGTCGTTTGCTGAGTTCTTGATCTCATCTTTTGTTGTTGTTTACCAAACTTTTGTTCTCACGTAATATGTGTACATGTACAGCTTATATGCCTCTAAGTCTGGGTAAGCTCAAAGCACACCTATCACCTTCTCCTTCCCACTCCAGCACCTTCTTTGTCTGCCAGACTGACAACCTCACCAATACCTGCTGCTTCCTGCTCATCTTCCAGCGCACGAATCTCCTCCCTACAATCCCACCATTTCTCCTCTGACCTATCGAAACCTAGTTTCTTGATTTCCTTCGGGCTCTTCTCCGCGATCTTGCCCTTCTTCTCCAATTCCTCCAGAATAATATTTTGCCACTGTTCTGACGTACGGGCGTAGAAATCCCGTAAAGATTCGAATGGACGTGGGTGCGGAAGAGTATCGGTAAGTGCAGAAATCTCTTCTTGAGGTCCAAGATCTTCGGAGTGAATAGGAGCAACGGCAGGGGACTCTGAAACGCTCGTTGGAGCTGTCGATTCAGACTTGTCATCCTCGTCGCCTTCCTCGTCTTCAGAATCCTCCTCGTCTTCGTCTTCTGAGTCTGCCTCATCTTCGCTGCCTTGCCAGTCTTCAAGCTCACGCTTGAAAATCTCAGTCACGCCGTCCAGATGATTGAGGTTGACAGACCAGAGTTCGTCAAAGGTGAACTCGCGATCGCCTTTCTCAAAGGTACCCCCGTAGATGTAGAGTGTATCGGCCTGTACCGTAAGCGCGGCATTGAATCTTGGGTGTGGGTACTCGAAAATCTTTGGCTTTTCTGGTCTCGCTTCTTCCTCCTCTTCCTCTTCTTTGGGTTTCTTAGCTTCGTCATCCGAGTCTGCATCTGTAGAAACACCGGCCTTCATCTCGAGAGCTTTAAGATTGGCTAGTAGCTCCTCCTCTGCGGCCTTGCCACGATCTCGGCGATTGATATTTGCCTGTTGGGCAGCCTTCTTGTTCGCGTTCAATTTTGGTCGACGCAGACTAAGTGGCATGTAACGATTACGCTCAACGTTCCAAATAAACAGCTGGTTGAAAAACTCGGAATCAATGCCCTCTTCGCTTTCCTCCACATCGTGCACGCCACCGAAGAGAACACCTCGACCCTTGTGGTAAGCCATTGTTGCACCCGCGCGCGGCGGGTTCGGTGCATTCGCTGGTTTCTTTCGCTTCTCCCACGATACAGTTGGAAGCGTTGTCGATGGCTGATCGGCAGGTGGAGGTGTGATGCGTATGAACCAGGTATCATCGTGAACCTTCGGCTTCAGTACCATGCGCGACGCTGGGCCACCACTGCTAGTCTTCTTACCCTTTCCTTGCTGCTGTTGCTTGCCACCAGCCTGAGTCTTGACGCGAGAGTATCCACCATAGATGACTGCACCTTGCTCATGTGGCAGCAGACTAAAGCTCGATCGCGCGTCAGGTACTGCGCGGGCTGCTTGGAGCTTTGGTGTATGCCACGAAAAGTTGACGCAGTCGTAAATCCAAAGATCGTTAAGATATTTTGTGGTAGCAGATGTATCTTGGAAACCTCCAAATAGGATGATATATTGTTTGAAACCAACCATGCGATGTCCGCTTCGCGCTGGCGGAGCGGCTGTCTTGCTCTTTCCCTCCATGCGCGTCCATTCTCTAGTGACCGGATCGAGCTTCCAAAAGTCATTGTAGTGATAGAACGTCCCTTGCTTCGGAGAACTAAACTCTCCGCCGAATAGATAGATCTCTTTCGTGTTTGCCGCCCGGCACCAGGCATGCCCAGATCGAGGCAGTGGCGAGTTCGGACTTGTGACTTGTTTCCAGGAATCTTGCTTGACGTTGTAGATCATGAGATCGTTGAAGAACTTCGCGGTCGCTCCGTTGAAATACTCGCCTCCGAACAAGAAGATCTCATTTTCGTTTGCTGGATTGGCAATGAGGGTGCTTGAAGTCCGGGCAGAGGGCGGCTCAGCGGGTATCTCCGTTATCGCATGATGTTGTTCCTGCTCTTTCGCGTACTGTGCTAAGATGGCATCTAGGTCGACATCTTCCGCGTCGGAGTCGATCTCCTGTGTCTTCGAGGCGACCTTCTTGTCTTTCTTGCCTGCTTTCTTCTCTTGCTTGGCTGCCTTTGCTGCTTTAGCTGCAGCTTTGCCTCCCGCTGCCGCCTTCTTCTTGTCCTTAGCCATTTCTCAACCTGGGGCCTGAATCAATGCAGTCGCAAAACGCTGTATGTGTGGCAGCTGTTCGGTCTGCCGATAGAAAGTTCTCCGCGTTTTGCCCCTCAATTGGAAATTTTCCCAACGTTGGCGTTGATTCTACAGCACCTTGCTTCTGACTTTGCAAACACCCGAAGTGATTGCAATCAAGTATTCAATTCCGAATAATCCTAATCAATAAGCACGTTCTTGCAAGTGCAAGTGCGAATTGTCGCGTGCAGCCTGTTCAGTATCGTGAATCCTTCGGAGCAGGCGCTACGGGGTGGGCTTCCTTATCGATAGCAACCATACATTCACTCCCCGCCTTACATCTAACACTACAAACGATGACGAAAATGATACAAGCGGCAGAGATCCTAGGACAGAAGAGTCACGTAGTTCCTGGTATTACACTAACCTCGCACACTCGGCCAGATCTCCGAACTAATCATAGTCAGGCAAGCTACGAATTACGGAGCACTTCTTCGAAGTACCTCGTGACTATGGTACGTTGCAAAACCCATTTTCAAATCGTCGTTTGCTATCTGAAAGTCGTAACACAGAGCAGGACTGCGAGCTCAATAGCTATATATGATGATACTATCGTGCTGACACTTCCTTCCTCTCTAGGCAATCCTTCGGCAGGAACAATCCAGCTCTTCGCACGCTCTGCTCTGAAAGCCGAGAAGCCCGCAGACTACACTTCAAAGTCACATCTCGAGCTCTCCAAGACCCAGCTTCCATGGCTCGTATATCTGCAAGGCGGCCCAGGCTTCGAGTGCCGAAGCCCCGAAAAAGTCTCATGGACTCAAACAATTCTCGATAAAGGTTACCGAGTGCTCATGCTAGACCAACGTGGAACTGGTCTTTCAACTGCAATAAGCCAGTCGAGTTTACAGTTGAGGGGTGACGAGAAGGTGCAGGCAGATTATATGAAGAGCTTCAGGGCTGATAGTATTGTCAAGGACTGCGAGGCCATAAGAAAAGCATTGACCGAGGATTACCCCGAAGAGAAAAAGAAATGGAGCATCATGGGACAGAGCTTTGGAGGATTCTGTTGCTTGACTTACTTGTCTCACCACCCCGAAGGAGTCAAAGAAGCGTTTCTTTTCGGCGGCTTGCCACCACTAAGAGATGACCCAGATGAAGTTTACGAGCGCCTATACGCACGTGTCAAGAACAGGAACGAAGGGTATTACGCAAAGTATCCTGAAGACATTGATCGCGTTAAACGCATTGTCAAACTCCTCTCTCGTTTCGGCGACACGACTGTGCGCGTCCAAGGCGGCGAAGGCTTCCTTTCTGCACGTCGCTTCCTGCAGCTTGGAATTTACTTCGGTAAACATGGAGGTTTTGATGATGTCCACGAATTTGTTCTCCGCGCCGATACTGATCTGACCCAATTCGGACATTTGACACGACCCACCGTTCTCGCGCTAGAGGCAGCACAGAGCTGGGACACGAACGTCATTTATGCACTTCTCCATGAGCCAATCTATTGTCAAGGAAAGGCGTCGAATTGGTCTGCGGAGCGTCTCATTTCCAAACACCCCGAGTTCTCGCTTTCCCGTGTGGATGGCGACGAGCCTGTCTACTTTACAGGCGAGATGATCTATCCCTTCATGTTCGATGTTTACCCAGAGCTCGCCAAGCTCAAGACTGTTGGCAACCTTCTGGCCGAAGAGAAAGACTGGCCGCAACTGTACGACAAAGAGCAGCTGAAGAAGAACGAGGTGCCTACTTATGCTGCAGTCTACGTTGACGACATGTATGTTGACCTTGATCTGAGCATGGAGACAGCAAATTCTATCAGGGGATGCAAGACTTTCATTACGAACACGATGTACCACAATGGAATCGGTGCGAAAACGGATGAAGTGCTGAGGCAAATCTTCTCTCTGAGAGATGATGTTATGGATTAGGCAAGAAGCTTCGTTGATGGCCGACGTGTATGTCATCCAAAGTACGAGTTTAGAACCATCCATCACGTCTACTGCTTCATAATCTTCTGCGCCTGCTCCAATTGTGCTTTCAGATCAACATCCCAAATCCATCTCATCCTGTGCATATAGTTTTCCTCGATTTTATCAAGGTCGTCTCCGAACAGCTCGAAATCGTACAACTTGCCAGCTTCGTAACTTGTTTTCACGATCTTCTGTGTCCTCTCCCGTCTGACCTGGTCGAACGCGCCAAAGGCTCGCTGCAACTCGTCAACGTTATTCGCGTCCTTGACTAGATTAGCGAGGATGTAAGAGTCCTCTATACACTGGCCAGCGCCAGCGCCTTGATGGGGTGTGGTCGCATGCGCTGCGTCTCCAAGTAGACAGACACGGCCTTTGGTATAGGTGTCGCAGGGTGGATGCTGGAAGAGCGCCCAAATATCTGGCTTCTGCATTGCCCTGACAATCTTTTGAACATGTGGACCCCACTCTTTAAAATCTGCCTCCATCTCCTCCTTCGATGTAGTCACAACCCATTTCTCATCGTCCCAGGTATCGCGAGAGTTAAATGCGACCACTACAACAGTTAGCAAATGTCCTCTCTAGACGATGACTGACCTTACCATTCATCGTCTTCCCATGCTCAATTGGAAACGTGAGCAAATGGCCATGATAGCCAAGATACATCTGGCTGTTCCGTGCTACATCATCGCCCAACAGCTCGACGGCCTTGTCCATGGGTATCAGCCCTCTATAGGCATACTTTCCAGAAAAGACAGCCTTGGACGCGGGATTGTCTCTTCCAACTAACCACTTCCTCGTCAAGGACTTTATGCCGTCACAACCAATCACGGCGCTGTGCTGTGCTGTCGAGCCATCAGCGAACTTGAGCACGATATCCCCAGAGCCATCTTGAGCTTCATTCATCTCCACAAGCCTCTTGTCGAACTTGGCAACACCATCGGGTACGTCTTTGACAAGTTCGTCCAAGAAGTGTGCTCTGTATACACCGCCGCGCCCTCCGCTCGAATGCATGGGCACCTCAAAAAGTGCATCGCCGACTTTCTTGCCCTCTCTCACATATCCCTCCTTGTCCTCTCTCCTAGCGTCTCCCACCCGAATTGTGAACCAGGAATCCATCTTGGAGTTGTCTGCGTTCCCTGTCTTGCATTTCAAAAAAGCCTGGTATATCTTTGGGGACAGGAACTCCATCGCACGTCCAGCATTGGGACCGAATGCTACCCCAGCGCCGATTTCACCAAAGTGCGGTGCGGCTTCATAGATGGTGACAGGGACATCGAATTGGACGAGGGCTATTGCAAGGCAGAGGCCGGATATTCCACCGCCTACTATAGCGAGGGAGTAGGGTTTCGAAGACGAGCTTGTTGGAGCCATCTGGTTGAGCTTGAGACCGAGGGAGATGTCTTCAATGGTTGGTGTTAGCTACTGCGTCTGCAATGGAAGAGCAAAACCATTGCCAGTCGCGGCTTTGCGTACTCACTTTGATCTTTACCGATATGCACTCCGGTGGCGCGTGGGACGACAGCTCGCTAGACGTCATCTACTGCGTACTTATGCAGTGGTCCTGCAGTACCCAGAATAACACGACACCCACATATTAGTACGCAACGGCGTGTGCATCATTTGGACGAGTGCACTACCCGATACTGAGCATGCTGGACAAGAGCTCATCCGAGAAGAAAAGCGCCAGGCGGTATTGGACAACTCGCCGCGAAGTGGGGCATTTGTGTAAATGTGTGGGGTAGACGACTGTTCGGGAATGAAGTCGGCGGTTGAGGCATTGCGCATATGTCACCAGGGACCTCCTCTATCAGGCGCTAAACCTAGCCGAGTGCCGAATTACATCCACGACCTGACCGCAATCCTTTTGGTAACGCAGGCAGTGATCATCGTGTATCCTCGACTCATTTGACATATTTCTGTAGCTGTAAGTATTGCTGTTCCCATGGATGTGAGGTAGTTCAAAGACGTGTATTGTTGTTGAGCTCTATCATGTATACGTGACCTTTTCCCAGCCTCGTCATGCCGTCATCAGCTCGCTCTTTCGCAGCTGCATATCATCGTTACACGCAATACCGTTCTCAAAACCTTCACACGGGAATTTCCGCTGCATGTGCTAACACTACGGTAGTCTCTTCTGTCGGGTTCATCTCGTTTCTTAAGTCTATCATCCGTTAAGTCCGATCATCAATGCCGCCATCAAGCTATGCTGCTCTGCAGCCCCCAAACGAAGAGGGAGAGAAACCAGTAACCGTACTGGTCACTGGATTTGGTGTATGTCAATATTTCCCTCCAATCCCCTGTGTTTTCTCCAATGCTCTGTAATCCGGCCCACATCTCCTATTGTGCTTCTAACCAGGCACATTGGATGCGATCATTTGACAGACTAACATGTATCCAGCCATTTTTAGCGAAAGTACCCAAGAACTCTTCCTGGGATATCGCTTCTACACTTCCAGCTCTGATACCAAAGTCACCCAAAAACCAAACTCCGATCAACATACACGTTCACCATGAGCCCATCCGCGTAGCATATAACACTGTCGTCAATCTCGTTCCCCAGCTTCTTCCACCAGCCAATCCTCTCTATCCCTCCCCAGATATTGTGCTGCACATCGGTCTAGCAGCCGGACGAAACTACTTCGCCATCGAGCAAGGATCCCACAGTCATGGGTACGGGAAGATTCCGGACGTAGACGGCCAACGATTCGAAGACTCTGCAGCAGAAGAGCATTTCCCATCTTCAAAATACCCACACAAACTAAAGACTAGCTTCGATACATCTGACGTCCTTGCGCTCTGGAAAGTGAACTTGGGAAACACATCTGCCAACGGCACTAAAAACAATGAAGGATGCACTGATGTGCGCATCAGCACCGATGCCGGAAACTTCTTGTGCGGCTTCATCTACTACAACAGCTTGGCGCATTATTTTAATATCAAGGAGGATGAGAGACCCGTCATTTTCCTACATGTCCCTGATTTGAGCAGTAGTGAGGATAAGCTAAAGGAAGGATGGGAAACTACAGTCGCTTTGATCAAAGCGCTAGTCGAGAGTAGACAGAAATCAGGCGGCAAGGTCGTCGATGGGGACAAGAAGGATGGAGAACTGGAGAATGGCAAAAAGGAAGAGCGGACGGACAATAATTTTGTATAAACGGATCAGGCTCCAGCACAAAGATCAGAAAGGGGGGGGACAAACCAATCCTTCATCCTAGATTGGTTAGAACAGGACGCCCTTTTTGAGCCCCGCATCATCCTTAGACGTAAGCATAGGGGCTCTCTAATTGGTTGAATATCATATATACATAGCCGTTGAGCAAGTTGACACTCGCGACAGATACTCTACATAGACGGCCACTGTGAGTCACAGGAAAATGGGCGTCAATACTGATAAGCCAAGTCTTGGCCAACACAAGGGTCAGTAGTATATGATAATGATGCAGAATTCATATATATGCTCATGCATCGATTGTGCTCTCCACGCTTCATCCCCTGTATACCAAACTAGATCATCACCCTCTGATTGCCCTCAATGTCTCCATCACCACATTCCCAGACAGCTACCCACATCCTTAGTCTCGCCAACTACACATCCCATCACCTCGTTCCACTCACCCCGAAGCCCTCCACTCCACTCCTACCCTCCTCTCTCCGCCTCCGTACCGTCATTATCAGTCTGACAACGAACAACCTCTCCTACGCACGCCTCGGCCATCTAATGGGCTGGTACTCTACGTATCCGCTCCCCACTACGACACCCGCTCCGTATGACGATTCTGCAAGGTACGGCCGCGTTGCAGCATGGGGATATGCCGAGATTCTAGAAAGCACTGTCGAAGGCATTGAGAAAGGAATGAGCGTATATGGCTATCTTCCCAGTAGCACAGAGTGGGAGGACATAACTGTAGAAAGGGCTAAAGATGTACGGGATGGTAGTGTGATCGACGACCAAGTTATTGTGACAGACGCACATAGACAGCATCTGTGGAAGATCTACAACCGGTATCGGATTTGTGGTCCGCTTCCTAAGATGGCTGATCAGACTGAGCAAAAAGACGAGTTGGGCTGGAGTGCGCTGATGATGGGTCTTTTCACAGTTGCGCATAACCTCTGCAATTATGTTTTCCCTCCACAGAAAGTAGATGGAGGGACGAGGGAACAGACGAGCCGGATACATCCCACAGGAAATGGGGAGTGGAGCGTCGAAGACGCGGACTTGAGAGATGCGACGGTTGTTGTGCTAAATGCGAGTGGCAAGACAGCATCTTGTTTTGCGTATGTTCTTCGACACTGTCGACCCGCTGAGCACCAACCTGCCCGTATCATCGGCATTGGATCTACAGCCTCCATTGAGGTCATCAAGAGAACTGGATGGTACGACAACGCAGTTCTCTATGACAATTTCGACGATACTGCCATGGAGATCAAAAACTCGAATTCGAAACGTATCGTTTTCTTCGATTTTGGCGCCCGACCTGGAGCAAACGCGAAATGGCGATCCGCTCTTTCTTCACTCTCGCCCACTGTCCCTTTCACACGAGTGACAGTTGGTGGTGAGGTCGCACCTCAAGATCCAGAAAAGGCCACGCAACGACTCGCTAACAGAGCTTCCTTGAACATTGTCAACGCGGGCTTGTTGCAAGAAAAGGGTATTGAGACTGCTGGAGGCATGTATTTTGATAATGTGTATGCTGCGTTTCAGGTGTTCTGGAGACAGGCCAGAGAGGTAGGAATGTTGGAGTTGAAGTGGGGTGAGGGGCTAGAGGACTGGGAACGAGGCTGGGAGATGCTATGTAGGGATGAGGTCAAAGCTGATGTGGGCCTGGTGTACAGTATTTAGGTGTTTCACCTACTGTTCTCATATGGCTCTCTCGACCGCAAGGCGGGAAGAATCTAGCCAGGTCTTCCAGGATATGCGTAATGTTTCAGTGGAGGTGAAGACTTTAGCTGACAACGCATGTTGGGCATCTGTAAGCTGCATCATTGATAAGATTTCCTGTAAACGATACCATCTTGTATGATGGGCTATCTGAGACCACTGGGCAGAGCAAAGTACTTCGGTCTCGGCCTTTCGCTAATGTTAGCATGAAACGTAATTGCAACAAAATCCATCCAACGGTCCAAGGTATCCACTCTAAAACGTGTGCTGAGAAGAGAATTGACGTCGACATGACGGGTGCCGCTCATCATCGCTTACCCCACAGGCCTTGCTGGGTCTCTCTAATCCTCCGCTCTTGCTCCTGTATCATCTCTTCGGTCTGACCGTGTCCGTTCCCTCTACTGTCAATCTCCATGGGGTCGTCTGGCTCATCAGCTGGCTGAGGAATGTTGGCGTGAGGGGCACCTCTCCGTGGTTCAGCAGAACGCTGGCCGTCCATCATACCAGCGGCACCACCCGCTCTCAGCTGATTGATAGCACGAATCGTATCGATAGCTGCATGCAGGGTACGACGAGCGTTAAAGTTCTTCTTGACCGTGGGCAATAGATCCTCTTCACCATCAGCGTTATTCTTGCCAAGCTCCGTGATCCAAGGATGAGACAAGGCTTCATGGGCTGTCATGCGCGCTGCAGGGTCGACGGTCAAACAGCGACGAATGAACTCGCGTGCTGTAAGAGAAACACCCCTCCAGTACTCCAAGGGTGTAAAGGAGTAGTCTGCGACTAAGATGGCCTGCATCTCTTCGAGGTTAGAGTCGCGGTCGAACGGAGTATAACCGCAGAGGAGGAAGTATGTGATAACGCCGATAGCCCATATGTCACTAGTTCAGATGTTAGCACTGAATCGCGAAATGGCGCAGTGTGCCTTACACCGGTTTGCCGTGTCCAGTTTTGCGGAAGATCTCAGGTGCCATGTAACCTGGCGTTCCGCATGTCGTTGTCAGGACGTGGAACTGCTCTTCATCCATAATTCGAGACAGCCCAAAGTCGGCAATCAGCAGATCGGCATTGTCTTCTGGCGTTCGGAACAGGAGGTTCTCAGGCTTCAAGTCTCGATGTACGATGCCGTGGTCGTGAAGGTATGCGACAGCAGAAAGCGTGGCACGGATGAGATCACCAGCGTCAGATTCGTAATAGTTGCCCTTTCGGCAGATGCGGTCGAAAAGCTCGCCTCCAAGCGCAAGGTCGGTGACAAGGTAAACTAGAGAGATGCATGTCAGCGAAAAGTTTGGCCAAAGCAAGGCTTCAACGTACGGTTGTTCATAGTTTCGAAGTAATCAACGAGTGTCAGAATGTTTCTGTGACCCATAGATACTCTCTTAAGCACGGCAATCTCATTTCTGACCTGGCACTTGTAAGCCTTATCGTCCTTCATCGCTTAGTACCAAGCTGACCATGTGTTCTCGGCCTGCCATGAGCCGCTTGTTGATGACCTTGGCGGCATAGTATCTTCCTGTATCAATGTGTACGCACTCCTTCACGACAGAGTAGCTGCCTGCGCCTAAAGTTTTGCCAGTCTTGTATCTGCAAGGCTGCACTTGCGCTGCCGTCTGTGTACCCTGCGCTCCAGAAGCGCCGTTCGAAGTCCTTGTCGCCATTGTTAAGCTCAAGTAGGGTTCCAGAGAACCGTCGTGACCGGAAGTGTTGTAGCAGGAGTGTCTTATGGTGGTTGCGATTACAAGAGTCTTGGGAGGGCGCAGTCGGGCACCGATGCCTAAGGCTGGCTATCGGAGATCACAGAACCGACAGATGAGCTTGTCGACGCAACACGATGTGGGCTTATGACAACTTGTGTCACAGATTGAGTATCGCGGAGCAGTAGCGAAAGTTTGTGGAGACTCGGGAGTATTGCGACGGCTCCTGATCGACGGCGATAGTGGGTTCGTGGAGCTGCTTGGTGGCACGTGGTGAGATGATATTGGTGCCGGCCGAGATTGACGCCGGTATTCCTGCTGAAGGCAAGAAGGAATTGTGTCTCAAACACTATGGATATAGTAGACGAAGCTACGGGAGGAAGGAAAAGAAGGCTGTCGGGACTTAGAGTGCGTAAGGAGGGGTCCACACGATTCCCCGCCGGTGACTTTACCCCTGTTGTTGCCAAGATTGCCCGTGTTAGAATAGTGGGATGGTAGCCGCTCAGCCGGGATTAAGGATCCCAGTATCAATCCATGGAGCGCAACATGTATAGCCAGTCGTATGCAAGCGACACCTGAACTAACAAACTCCCGAGAGCAAAGGCTATGCACGTCATTGCATTGCTTTTTTATTCATTTCCGTCTATGTGAGTTTCTATAGGTCATAGCTCTTCTCGTCTAGATCTGTACGGACCTAAGCAAAGAACGTCAGGACGATGCATCCAAAAACTGTCGTCTCTGGTCTATATCGCAAATGGAACTCTACGACTTGACGAGCAAGCTGTGGCCATCCATGTCTTCAGGCTGCTGAAGACCCATGGTTGCAAGAAGGGTAGGCGCAACGTCACCGAGTACGCCGTCAGACTTCTTCAGGCTCCAACCTTCGGGCGCGTTGGCCATGACAAAAGGCACCTTGTTAGTCGTGTGGGAAGTCTTGGGAGTGCCCTCCTCTGTGAGCATCTCCTCGGCGTTACTAGCACAATGTCAGCCCTAACCCAAAAGATGCAGATGATGGGAACTTACCCGTGGTCAGCGGTGACGAACAGAACGTATCCGCTCTCTTTGCACTGGTCGTAGACCTTCTTGATAGCCTTGTCGGTCTCTGTGCATGCTTCAATGGCTGCCTTGTAAACACCAGTGTGGCCAACCATGTCTGGTGGCGCAAAGTTGTTCATGAGGAACTCAAACTTGCCGGTCTGAATGCGCTCGCACAGCTTCTCTGCAACAGCCATGGCGCTCATCTTTGGCTCGAGGTCGTAAGTAGCTACCTTTGGCGAAGGAACCATCTCACGCTCCTCATTCTCGAACTGCTTCTCGACACCGCCGTTGAAGAAGAAGGTGACATGGGCATACTTTTCAGTCTCAGCAACGTGACACTGCTTGACGCCCTGCTTTCCTAGTGTCTCGGCAAGAACGTCTGTCATGCGCTGAGGCTCGAAAGCAACGTTGAAAGTGTATTTGGGGTTGTATGAAGTCATGGTGGTGAGGTGAATGTTTTGCGGGTATGGGAAGTCGGGCTTGGGCGAACGGTCGACATCGCCCAAGAGCTGAGTGATTTCTCGAACACGGTCGGAACGGTAGTTGAAGAAGAAGACGGTGTCGTTGTCTGGACGAATCAGCAAGTAGACATGCAGGTGCTCAGCATGTTAGTATACCTTGTATCCTTCGCTCCTTTCCTCCCACAATGATGGGCTTGAGGAACTCGTCGTTCTCGTCTTTTGCGTATCGCTCCTTGATGGTTGCGACTGGGTCACTGCTCTCCTCACCCTCTCCAGTGACTAGACCCTTCATACCAAGCTCGACACGGTCCCACCTCTTGTCGCGGTCCATGATGTAGTATCGTCCGACGACTGTTGCGATGTCGCCGAGGCCGATTTCCTTGGTAGCCTTCAGCAAAGTCTCCATGTATCCAACCGCGGACTTGGGGTCGGTGTCTCGGCCGTCTCCGAAGAAGTGGATGTAGGCCTCCTTGACGCCCTGGTCCTTCGCAACCTTGAGGAGCGCAATCAAATGGTCCATGTGGGAGTGGACACCGCCGTCGGAAACCAGACCGCAGAAGTGCAGCCTTCCGTTACCGTCAATGGCACGCTGGAACGACTTCTTGACATTGTCCACGTCCTTCAACTTTCCGTTCTTGATGGTTTGTCCAATTCGGACGGAATCTTGCCATACGACGCGTCCTGCACCGATGTTCAAGTGGCCGACTTCGCTGTTGCCCATCAGGCCTTCGGGAAGTCCGACGGCGAGAGAGGAGGCTTCCAGTTCGGTGTAGCCCTGTGCGGTTTTGGAGCCGTCCTTGGCGAACTCGTCCATAGTAGGCGTGTCGGCTGCGAGGATAGCATCGCCATCTTTGCGCGACTTCTCCGTCGCGACGCCCCAGCCGTCGATAACGATGAGGACCGTCTTCTGGTCGACCTTGGCCATGATTGCGAGTCGGTCAGGTGATTTTAGGAATAAGGAAGAAGAAGAAGAAAAAACTCGAGGATTCACTCGAGCAGCGAGGTTTGGAAGGCTAGTGAGAAGGGCGTAGGGAGCAACTTGTTGACGGAGGGGCAGGGTTGGCGGGGCTAAAATGGTCAACTTCAAAAAAGCATCGCCGGTTCACGTCACAACCTTCCCGCGACTGATCCACATTCCCCCCACAGCCCACGCCCGGAAACTTATCTCGAATCGCACCCAACAGCCGCGCTATTTGGCGATCGCTTTGGCATCCAACAACTCCTATCAGACAGACATAGCGATTATCATCTGCAGAATCGCCGTCCAATCAGCAACCTTGCCTTCAGCCCTACCCGTCAAAGGAGCAGGGAGCGTCGTCCCGTCCACGCGTGCTGGCTGGCCGACGCAAACACGACGCTAGACATCTTCAATTGGAACTCGTTGTAATCCACAACCATGTCGGCAGCCGCGACGCCATATGCGCCTGCCTCAGCGCGAGCCTCAGTTGCACCCACAGGCTCTCAAACACCAGCCCTGCCTGCGCCGCCGCCGCCTCCTACCACGAACACCCCGACCCTCCCTGCGCCCTCGACGTTTGACATGCTCCCTGACCTCCACAGGCTGCTCAAGCGCATTCTCGAGACACCTGCCCAGCCGCCACCTGCGACGCCAACGCCTGCCCAGCTTGCCGCAGAGGGGCCTCTCGAGATCCAACACGTCGCGACGGCAGCGAATGACATCCGCCTCAAGATACAAAAGGCACGACGCGCCGTCACAGCCTTGCCGGACATGGGTCGCACATGTGAAGACCAAGAAGATGAGATCGAGGACCTGGAAGCGCGTATTGCGCGGCTGAAGGCTTCTCTTAACGAGCTCGGTCGGCCGGTCGCTCAAGCAGAGGATGCAGACGGAGACCAGAGTATGACTGGCTGAGACGCCGTCCGCACTACGATTGATCCATTCTAGGACGCACGTCTGTCGACTGCATGGACGCACTCGACCTAGCTCTCGCCCAGGGCTAATGGCAGCTCGTCATCGTACGCGACTTGTCTACGCCTAGTTGAACAAGCACTGATCTCGTACACAGAAGGCGAGGCCCAAGGACCAAGTGTCGACACTCCAAACATGCGCATTGCATCGTATTGTACGCATAGCTACTAGCACGTCACATAACCCAGGTAGTCCTCTGAGCCTCACATGACCACGCGATCACGCGTCGAGCGCGTACGGCTAAGAACACGCTTTGCTCCTTAGCCTGGAATGCACATGTAGAAATAGTTGGGATGGATGAAGGGCGAGGAATACGGACGAGTCATCTTAGGTGCAAAGTAGATACGTTATGGGAGATCATTATCATTCTGAGGTGATATTACCGGATATCTACTTCATCTAGAAGCAAAGGCCCTCATGAGCTTGGGTATACTATAGAAGGAATTTTACCGTTCAACGATATATTCCTGGTCGTCTCTCATCTCTAGGCACGGAAGGCACGGCGTCCAATGCCAAGCTTGCTCAAGTCGAGGCCTGCGATTCCACCAGCCTTCTGTTGGCCAGCACCAGCAGCGGCTCCAGCAGCTCCAGCACCAGCTCCGGCACCACCACCAAGGAGGCTGCTGAGAAGACCTTCGATGCCACCAGCTGCACTAGCTCCACTAGCTCCACCCTGCTGTCCGCCGGCCTGAAGAGCTGCTTCAGCCTCCTGGAGAAGCTGTGCGATACCGTTGTTGCCGTTGTTGCCGTTGTTCTTGCCCTTGCCCTTGCCCTTACCATCTCCCTTTCCCTTACCCTTGCCTTTGCCGTTGTTGTTGCCATTGTTCGCGTTGCCAGTGCCGTTGGCTGCGGCTCCAGCGTCAACTACTCCGGTCGCATCTAAGGTAGTTAGCATATGGGACTGGTCATGGCGGTATGTGTCACTTACTTCCAGCTTGAGCAGCTTGGTCGGCAGCAGCTTGGTCGGCGGCAGCTTGGTCAGCGGCAGCTTGGCCCTTGCCCTTGCCCTTGCCCTTCGCAGCATCTTGTTGCATCTGCGCCTGGTCTGCCTCCAACTGAGCCTGATCCTTTTCCTTTTGCTTCTGGTCGGCTTTCTGTTGGGCAGCCTCCTGCTCAGCGGCAGCTTGCTCTAGCTCTTGCTGCTGCTGCTTTGCCTGGTCTTGCTGAGCTGCCTGATCGGCTCCCATAGCACCCTTTTGCTCCTGGGCGGCTTGCTGATCAGCTGCGGCTTGGTCCATTGCATCTTGTTGCTGTTTTCCATTCTGGTTTTGCTTAGCATCCTGAGCAGCCTGTCGTGGTTAGTATGTCATCTTGGTTCGTCATATGATTTTCAAAACATACCTCTTGGTCAGCCGCTGCTTGATCGGCTGCAGCACCGTCCTGTGCCTGGTCTTTACCCCCAGCCGCGGCATCCTGCTGTGCCTGTTGATCAGCCGCCGCTTGGTCCGCTGCCTGTTGATCATGGGCGTTCTGTGCTTGGTCTTGGTTCATGCCTCCGGCGGCCTCCTGTTGAGCAGCGTCTTGTTTTGCCTGCTGATCGGCGGCAGCTTGGTCTGCTGCTCCCATCTGCTCAGTTGCATTCTGCGCTTGGCCCTGGTTCATCATCCCAGCGGCCGCAGCATCCTGCTGTGCCTGAGCATCGGCGGCAGCTTGTTGCTCCTTAGCTAATGAGAATCAGTAAACTGTGTGGATAGGAAAGCCGTGAATCATACCTGCTGCAGCTTCTTGGGCAGCCTGCTTTTCGGCGTTCTTCCCCTTGCCCTTGCCCTTGCCCTGAGCAGCATCTTCAGCAGCGGCAGCATCCTGTGCCGCCTGATCCTGAGCGTCGTTGTTACCGGCAGCCGCAGCGCCCTCAGCGTTGGCTACCTCAGCATCCGCATTACCATTATCCTTGCCCATGCCGCCGCGTGCAGCCAAGAGCGCACCACGGAGCTTGAGGGCTCTCTCTCCAAACTTCTGTACAACGTCTTCCTCTCGGCGGCCGAAGTTCGTAGAAGGAATGACTACGTTCTCGGTACCAGCCGCGACTACAGGTCCCTGGCCCACAAAAGGTGCTGGGGCTGCTGCCACGAACGAGGCTGAAAGAAGGGTGAGAATGGAGATAGAAGTCTTCATAGTGACGGTGGGGATTTGATCTGGAAGGATTGAAACGAGGTGTGTCGAAACTTAAAATGAGCACAGCTCTTGAGAATTGAAATAAACAGATGGTGCTCTGCACAAAGGAATGATTTGGAAGATTGAAGCTGAGCGTGCCGTTCTATCCGCCCGAGGAGACTGGTTTATATAAGAGCGTTGCCTTATATGAGCTCACGAGTGCCTGAGAGAGGTAGTGCCTAGAATAGCTCAGGTCACGATTGTCGGGATGACCGTTCGTTGCCTGCCGTGCATATCATACATGCGCCGTTGGAGGATGCCTTGGAAAGACCAGGCTCAAAGGAAGAACATCGGCCATCCCCACAATTCTCTCACAGGCACGAAAGCCTCGTCTCGCATGGCAGCTGTAGATCAAGTTTGACATGCGATCGGGTCCGTAGCTTGGCTGGAAACGGTCGAATCAAACGCATGAAGGAGAGAGTACAATTACGGAAGAGAGAGCTGATGCAAGCTCCATGCCAGCATAGTCGTCGTAATAGCGAAGATCCAGGCTGGGGGTCGAACGTGTGTGGTTTGAGAACATGTTGCAGATGGAGCAGGGGCGATATATGCGGAGAGATATCTCCCTAAACGCATAAGTTTGGTGTATGACTGAGGTTTGCAGGCATAACATGGGCCTGAATCTCTGCCGGTTTCAGGCACACCGACGCGCCCACTGGAAATTCCGAGCGAACTGCTGGACATGCAAAGATGCAAAAACGTGCCCTTCCCGCTTCTAAGGGGGTTCCAGGCTCAATTCAACCTGAAAGAGCTTTGCGCCTCTGCTATACAATACTTGGTGTCGCGCGAGTACCTTGCTGCTGCTGTGGACTAATCACCGCTCCGTTGCCGGAACATGTACCGGAGGATCAACCCATGATAGGACGCGTAAATTCGTTAACACAGAGATGTTGCTTCTAGAAGGTTTTGACGATGAAGATGTTCGGATGCGGTGACTTTGACATGTGCGGAGAGAAGGATGAGGAAGGTTTGGCCAATGACGTGCTCGGTATTGCAATCCCGCACTTAGCCTTGTAGCCTCGGCTGCAACTTTTAGACATCGTCATATCAAGGTTTAGCATTGGCGACGAGCGTACATGTTGAATACCGCAATTCTGTCGCATTCCTCATCATTGAGCACTATCAGTTCTGGCCTGTAGTGCGCCGCCGGTCGGTCTTGTAGGAAGCGCAAAAATCTGTCAAGTCGTTCACTTTCGCATTCAATTCCATCTGTTTGCCTCCACAGCAAGTCCTACACCATGGCCACCAGATCAGTCCCCGCATCCGTAACGCGGCAGTTGCTTGCAACCTCCCGATCCGCGCGTATATCGTCAAGGCCCCTCGCGTGCGCCCCATTACCGAGACGGAATGTATCCGGCCTGTACCGTCCTGCAGTCCGAATTGCTGGTCAAAGAAGAGGCCTTTCCACGACGCCACGCACACGACTCGCCGCTGTGGACGACACATTCGATCCAAAGTCAATAGAACGCGAGTCTGATGAAGTGGATGTGCTCATTGTAGGCGGAGGTCCTGCTGGTCTGTCTGCAGCCATCAAGCTGAAGCAGCTTGCGACAGCGGCAGGCAATGAAGACTTTAGGGTTCTGGTATTGGAGAAGGCGGGCGAATTGGGCGATCACATCGTGTCTGGAAATGTCATAGAACCTTCTGCGCTCGACGAACTCCTGCCTGACTGGAGGTCAGAGGACAACCTGAACCGCTTCGCCGACATCACCCCCGCCAAAGAGGACCACATGTACTTCATGACCAAGAACAGCGCAATCCCTCTACCCAAGCCTCCGCAGATGAACAATCATGGCAACTACATAATAAGCTTGAACCAGATGGTCAAGTGGCTTGGCGAACGTGCCGAGGAAGCTGGTGTAGAGGTTTACCCTGGATTCGCTGCGTCGGAGATACTATACAACCACGAAGGCGTCGTACAGGGTGTGGCTACCAACGATCTCGGTATATCGCGAGAAGGAAAGGCCAAAGACTCATTCGAACGAGGAATGGAATTTCATGCACGCGTCACACTGCTTGGTGAGGGTTGCCATGGTAGTCTGTCCAAGCAAATCATCAAGAAGTACGACCTAAGGCGGGATAGTCAACACCAAACCTACGGACTTGGCATCAAAGAAGTATGGGAGGTACAGCCTGAGAAATTCAAGTCTGGGTTAGTGGTTCACTCCATGGGTTACCCACTGCCGAAAGACACCTACGGTGGTGGTTGGATGTACCACTTTGGTGACAACCTGGTCAGCATTGGTCTGGTTGTTGGACTCGACTACCCCAACCCGTGGTTGGCGCCCTATGGCGAATTTCAGAAGATGAAGCATCACCCGTATTACAAGGATGTATTAGAGGGTGGCAAGTGCATCTCTTATGGTGCGAGGACGCTGATTGAAGGCGGTTTCCAGTCTATACCTAAGCTCGCCTTCCCCGGTGGCGCGCTTCTTGGAGATGCCGCGGGCTTGCTTAATCTGCCGAAGATCAAGGGTACGCACAACGCCATGAGGTCAGGCATGCTAGCTGCCGAGGCGACTTGGGATGCCCTACAAGCCAATACCGACGGTGGTACCGTGTTCCTGTATGACTATGAGGACAAGATGCGCAAGTCGTCGATATGGTCAGAGCTCAAGACTGTGCGCAACATGCGTCCATCTTTCCATACTCCACTAGGCATCTACGGAGGCATTATGTATTCTGGCCTTGAAGCATACGTTCTTCGAGGCAAAGCGCCATGGACGTTAAAGCACGGCAAACCCGATCACGCAGCAACCAAGACTGCAGACGAGTGCCCGAAGATTGAGTATCCCAAGCCAGACGGTAAAATCAGCTTCGACATATTGACAAGCGTCAGCCGAAGTGGCACAAACCATGAAGAGGACCAGCCATGCCATCTTCAAGTCAAAGACTACGATGCACATGCTCAGAAGGAATGGCCCAAGTACAAGGGTGTTGAAAACAGGTTCTGTCCCGCCGGCGTCTATGAATACGTCGAGGATGATAGCAAAGAGCTGGGTGTCAGGTTCCAAATCAACGCCCAAAAGTAAGTTCAGCCGACCGGATCACTGGAAAGCCTGCTGACAACATACAGCTGCGTTCACTGCAAGACTTGCGATATCAAAGTGCCCGATCAGGACATCAATTGGCAAACACCACAAGGCGGCGAGGGACCAAAGTACGTACTTACTTAATGTAGACGCCGGGATAGAGACCATGGCCCAAGCCGTGGTCCACGCGATCAGCAAATATGTACATTAGGAAGGATCGCATGTATACATACTACATATTGGCATCAGCCCTAGACTTGTTGCTGCCCAAGTGAACCTCGGATGTTTGTAGGGCTTGGACAGAGAGATTCATCCCCTTGTTCGGAAACCGATCAATACCTGGATAAACTCAAGCGTGTGCTAACCCTACGGACAAATGACAATTCATCCGTCTGGAATAGTTACACTTCACTGGTAGCCCTGGGAGGGCGAGCGGCCCCGTTGGAGGCAAGACGCACGTGATGTCCGTGCCCGAAGCTTGGAAGGCTAGGGCGAGTGAGGCGTTGGGCGAACTTCCTTCTCCACCCTTCGTCACCGTCCACCCATCAACTTCGCCGGGGCCTATTACATCAATAGCATTCCGGCCCTCATCTATATTTGCAATCCGTTGTCGCGACACTGGGCCGACTAATTCTCTGCCCAAGAATCGATTGCGCGACTTCTGCACTTACCCGGCTCCTTCCTGGTCCCCAAGCTCTCAGGTTCTTCACGGCCACCCTGCTTCCAGCGCCCGACTCTATCTCCAAGGTACGACTAGCCGCCTGTATTGTATGCACTGGAAATCCCTTGCGCGTCTCCCTGGTTCCTGTAGTTTCGCACGTCGCTGGACACTGGCTTCCTGGCGTCGCGTCTTTGATACCGAGGCAACCCGTCTTTGGCACGCACCATGCGCGCTCCCTCGATGGCTTCCCGCTTGCTCATGGACATTTGCTCACGATTCTCTTCAGACTAGGTTATCTTTAGGATAAAGCTCTACCGCAACAGCCGTCACTATGACCGAGGTATCGTCTACGCGCCTATACCTAGGCAACCTTCCTCGCAATGCCACCAAGGCAGATGTCGAGGGCCACTTCCAGACGCATGGCACTGGTGAGATCACTGAGATCAAGCTCATGAACGGATTTGGCTTCATCGAGTACAAGGACGCAATGGACGCTCGTGATGTTGTCCCTGGTAAGCTTCAGCCACGCGCCAATCCATTGAACGCACGCTAATCTGTATACAGCATTCCGTACGTAACTTCTCGTGTATAGAAATCCGAACATACGTCCTAACTGATTCAAGATGGTTCCGACTTCATGGGCGAGCGCCTCATCGTCCAGTTCGCTCGCGGCTCGCGTGCCCGTAACGAGAACTTCACTCCCCACGAGCGCGTTCCCCCGCGTCCTAGGCGCACACCATACCGGATGAGAATAGCGAATCTTCCTGTGGAGACCAGCTGGCAGGTCAGACTCCCCGATCCTTGGATTCCTTCAGTTCCCTGTTAGCGCCAGTATACCGTTCCTGGACCAGTAATGGCTTTGTTCTCGCTTGCTTCCCGTTCTACGTTCTGGATTTGGGCCTCGCTTAACTTCGAATATATAGGACCTCAAAGACTTTGCCCGCCAGTCTGGATTGGACGTCGTCTACTCTGAAGTTGGCCGCGAGCGTGATGGCACTGGGTACGTGGGTAACACTGCAGCAAGTAACACGTACTGATCCACTGTAGATTCGTCGAGTATGAGACGGCCGCCGACCTGAAGACCGCAGTGGAGAAGCTGGACCGTCGTGAGTTCAAGGGGCAGGAAGTTACCTGTGTCCAGGACGTCTCCGATCCTCCCCCACCTCCACCTTTCAAACCGCGCGCTCCTTACGGAGGCCCCGGTGGTCCTGATGACCGGGGCCGTGATAGATACCGATCCCGCTCTCCCATGGGCCGCCGCGGTGGCGGATACCCACCTGCGCCCTACGATGATTACTACGACCGTCGCGGGCCACCTCGTGGCTACAGCCCTCGTCGCGATGACTATCGCCGACGCACACCTCCCCGCGAGTTCTACGACAGGCGTGATGGAGGTTATGGACGTTCGCCGCCTCGTGGTCGCATGCCTGATGAGTATGGCCCACCGCGCGCGCGTTACCCTGACGATCCTTATGATGCTAGGGCCCGACCTCCTCCCCGCGGTTACGATGACCCATACATGAACGGTCATGGACGCCCTTACGAAGGAGGACGACCGCCGTCCCCACGTGGTGCCCGTCCCCGTAGCCCCGGAGGCCGTCCGCCTTACGACGCTGCGGCGGCTGATTACCCACCACGGGGCCGCTACTAGACAGACGACAGAAGTAAGTTTAAGTCTATGCGTACTCTGTTAAGAGCACTTGCTGACAGTAGCTAGGTAGGCGTTCTTACTCCTGAAGACTACTCACCTCTCAGAATATCTACCCTTGAGACTTTTCTACCCGTGGATATGTTTTATGCGATGACGGAGCTGAAAGACAAACGGAGGATCAATTGTGCTGCATGAACCCAATGAGACTGCTTATGTGTTTCCTGTTTCCTGGTTTCTTGGATGTTCCATGTATCTGTTGCTTCAATGCGATTTCTTCTTGGTTCACCGGCTGTCATGAGAGGGCAATTCCCTTTATGCTAGCTTTCCTACTGTTATCTCAGCTGCACGAGGCAGCCTAATTTTCTGTAACATCAAAAAGTCCTTTCAGTACACGTGGACATATTCATCTGATTGTGTGCGGTTATGGATTATCATGTACTCTATCTGTGGCTCTGCTTGCAGACTGGCCGCTATGAAGACGAATCAACGCATCCCGTACATGACTACTCTTCGCCCAATATTGTTTTTCTGTTAACAGTCATAGAGTCTGCTCTTCGAGTGCATTGTCGGCTTGCTTGCTTTGTCAAAACGACCTTCCTTGGTGATTGCTTCAGCCTCGAAGAGAACCACTGACTATGCAAACTTGCTGTGTTGCAACCTAACACCTTGGTATTTTCATTGTACTTAGGTAGGAATCCGTCCGTTTCGGTGATCGGGCCAACCCATGTTCCCGAGATTCTCTCAATATCACGTTATCCTTCTCACCATTCGCCGGTTGCATAGTTGGGCCATGGTAGGTAAAGAGCGCTACTTGCAGGTGATGTAAGCCGAACGTAATGACTCACAGTATTCGCTGCGTTTCGTCTCGAAATTACAACACTGTAGACCCTGTAGGCTGTGATCCAGACTGAAGAATATCTCAGCGTACGATCAGGAGCAAAGTCTTGCTGCAGACACATCTGAAAGCCGCCTACAAACACTACAACTCTTCCTTCATCCCTGAATAATCGCAATATATTGGCACTACATTAGCCAAGACAAGACCAATCCTGCCGACCAAACGGAATTTCACGGCCAGTCAGAGAGTCGGCACTGGAACCATGCGCCAAGAGAACATCGCGATGGACAGGGGAGTTGCGCAGCGAACTGTGACACTAGATGTAATAACCTTCTTGAGACAGATAGCGATATAGCAGAGGTTTGCGAGGTTTGAAGATAGTTGGTATTGTGCTATGGGTTCTAGAAGATGGTACTAGAGATGTTGATGCGAGTCGCAACCGTAGCAATAATTGCCTTCAATGACAGGATTGTTAAGTTATATTTTATGTTCTGGATTAAAAAAAAGATGGGAAATATAACGAATGTGCCATTTTCCAACAGAACCTTGCCGGTTATCAATGCAGAGTATATTGAGGAATGCTTACCAACGTAATGCTGCACCTATACAAGGTTTTCCGTTGTATCGCCGATAACGCCCTCGCCACACAACTGGAAGCCACACCTAGATAGCTGGATGCCAAAACGATCGTGAAATCAAATAACCTTTCATAAGATATTCATGCATGTGACCTAAGAATCCCTACAAATGACGCTATACAATGTCAGAACCACAATATTTTGTATATCAAAGACCATGATTATGGTTCCAGTTCATATCTTAGTCGTAGAGACCATATCCCAGTCGTCGTCGCTGGCGTAGTCAGTGCCGCTGGCGGCTAGGATATCAAAAACAGGAGTAGGAACCATCTCAGGACTGGACATTGGCTCGTCGATTGTAGCCAGGGTGTGCGGTTTGGGTCGAGAGACTAACGTGAAACCCTGGTCTTCATCGGAGGAGTCACCGTTGGGTGTTGGTTGTGTGGCAGGCGGATCGAAGAAAGCAGGTGCTGGAAAGCTAGTAGCTATTCCAGGGAGCTTGAACGTAGGAGTGCTTTCGGAGTGGCCGGAGTGAGAATCTACGGACTGCAAACCGACGTTTGTTTCTGCAAAGGTGACTCGCCGCTCGACCTTGGGCCGATGCACAAAGGTTGTAATAACCGAATCGACCATGTTGTCCTGACCCACCTCTTCATGAGTCTTGGTTTGATTGGCAGTCCAGTGATCACCACGCGGGTAGTGCGATTCGCGCAGAATGTCTACAGAATCGCCGCAAATCATCTCTTGTGGTAGGTCTCTTGAAGCAAGGACGGTCGGGCGAACGCAAGGCTGAGTCTGGAGGGTGTCAAGACACAACCGTATGATATCCTGTGCGCCTATTGAAGTTAGCCTGAATATCCCCAGTAGCTACAGCGAATCTTACATTCATCCTCGAAATTGCGCTCCATGTTCATGCGACAGAGGTCCTGACGAAAGTCTGGAACATCGGCCGCAATCTTGAGAAACTCGGCCTCTTCGCCGAGTCTGTGGGCCAGAAAAGTTGAGATGCAGTAGTTGAGGAGCGTGTCAACAAGAGCATGTTGTCGGCGGGCCTTCTGACTCGCGTAATGTCGATACACGAAACGTATGGTTTCGAGTAAGTCTTGTGGAGGGGCAGGTAGAGAGCAGGCGAAATCAACCTGTAGCGAGATATTGCCATGCGCAAGTAGTTGTAGCTCGGCAACATCGAAGTCTTCGGCAATCTTGTACGTTTCGACGTGCGGAAGAAGCAGTATTGGCCCATACTCTGCTTGTGGAGGGAGATAGCTACCGGTGTAGCAGTAACGGAGAAGCGATATGATGGCATACTCGGACGGAGCCTCAAGGCTGGCTTGCAAGCGACTCTGGAAACCGTACTCGAATGCATGGTACAATAGAGGGCATTTGTCCAGAAACTTGAAAGGGCAGATACGATCAGAGATCTCGCGAACCTCTCCGTTGGGAAGAACTACCTTCAACGTCGCATTGCTCTGACCTTGCTCGAGGTACGCGTCTAGGAAAGAGAGGTCGTCCATGTGGAGTGTGAACGGAAGGATACAAGAACGCGCACAAGGCTCGAGACCCAGCACTGACTTGGCATATACTATCGAGCTTTTCGATTTATCTGAGTCGACCAGATGAAGCAACGAGGCTGCTGGCAAGGCGCAGCAGTGAGGTCAGCCCCAGTTTGTCGGCGTAGGCAAGTCAGAATTCGTGCGATAATCCAGAGTGATGTCGAAGGGAATGTTCAAAGTCTGAAACCGTGCAGTGAATAGAGAACTGCTGTCTGGGTGTCTGAGAAGACTCAAGACTCGAGATGATTAGGTCCAGGCAGCCGTCTGCATGCGCAGGGCCAAGCGCCTGTACTTTGGGAGGCCGCCGGTTAAGGGTCAACGGTCAATGTAATGAAGACGTAGCAGCGCCAGATTTTGCTTGATCTGGATTTGGCTCAGTTGATCACGATGTGACTGAACAACAAGTGGTATGGCAACGGAGGGGCATGGAGCCTTGGGAGCTGTCTCCCTGGAGGGGTGGGCATGCTTGCCAGTATGCCGGACATGCCTTACTGGCTTCGCAAAGCTAAAGCCGAGTTGCCACCCAATCAGAGTAACAACCATTGTACAGCCTCACATAAGGCTGAGATGTCAGCTGCATCTAATGTTGAGGGTTGATGTTCAGTGGTTGGTGTTGGATCGGTGATGGTGAGCCCGGTACCAAGCTGGGGAAAGCTTCAGCCACGACCCACTTCGGTCCACATCGCGGCGGCGGCTTGATGATGACGGCCGATCTCTCCACCAGACGTAGACATCACCCATCTTTGTCGTTAGAATTTGGTGCCGTTAGTGGGCGACTATCGTCAATTCAATTGCAAGTATTCGGTGTATCTCCAGACCCTCTGTACCTCTCGCGCGGCCCTTATCCCCAGCTTCCTCTCTATCAGTGCACATATCCGCTACGCCCCGCCATGGGATTTCTCTCTATTCTACCTGCGGAATTGGCCGTGGTAGAAACCTGGATTACACGCATATTCGTGAGTAGAACAAAGCACTCTCGATTGGGCTTTGCCTTCTCACAGTATAATAGCTCTTTCTCGGCCTCGTAGCCATCGGCCCATGGGCAGCGCTGCTCGTCTACGACCTACTCCTATATTGCTGTCGCGCTGGCGCATACGAGATACCTTTCATCGGCGGACGCGCTCGCGGAAAAGCGAGACCTCGTGCCCCAAGCCTCACTGAGCGCCCGAGCGGGCACCGTCGGAAGTTTAGTATTGCCTCTCGAGGTATAGACCGGCCGGTGCTGAGTACAGGGGGCATGGAGGCTGACTCTCAGGATGCCCGACATCGTCGTATAACGGAAGAGAAGACGGCGCACTCTTCGTGAGAGTATGATCAGAGACCAACGCACAATCGAACCTCGTTTGACGCGCTCCTGCTGGGTTGTTGTGAAAAAGAGCTGGATCTCTGGGCGTGTCTTTGGATACAGGTGATTCAAGAAAGGTTTCAGAATCTCAGATGCCCAGGCCCTGACATAGAATCTCACCCGCAGAATGGTAAACTTCGAGGTACAATCACCACAGTGCAAGTCGTTCAAGCACTAAAGGACCCGTTGCGCCCCTGTTACGACAGACTAAGATGCGTTGTAGATGTACGAGGATCTGTATGGCTACGCGAACGACTGCGTCATGGTGGCCCAATCCCGTCCGACTGCCTTGGAAACGGCGTTGGGCGCCCCCGAAGACCAACACGCTGCTCACGTCAGCTCTATGGTTTGCGAAATGGGGTTGTCCACTCCCTTAGGCATGATCGCGCGTTCCATGCCGCTATCCCTCGCTTCCGGAACGATTGTTTAGGGGCGCATATTGCTACATGTTTCATGTGATGACAAGCACCAATCGCGTGAGACCATATTTCCAACGTCGCGCAAGCATCTGGACAGGCTATTGAATCCATCGAGTAGATGCGTGGTAAACTAAGTAAAGCTTAGCGCGGTCTGGGTCGCGCCTTCTGTCAATAAACCTTCAGTTCACACTTACCTCTCATCAACGTTACAACTACACCTCTACTTCACCATTCACACTAGAAGCTCTTCTAGTTCAACAACTCTAACACAACATCTATCAGTATCTGCTACTGATCATGGCCACTACCACCACTACTAAAACTACGATACCGAAAGCGACCAACGGCGCGGGTGTCAAGAAGGCTGCTCCCAAGGGCGGTCGTGTTGGCAAAAAGAACAATGCGAGGACTGCCATGGCCAAGATGCAAGCATACTGTAAGTCTGTAACGTTTGACGCGTTTTGACGCGTTATCCAAACGTGTTAGTCGAGGCGCAATAACACTGCACCCTGAGATGACGACATCTGCTAACAGAAAGTCACAGTTAAAGCTCACCGTGACGAGTACAAGGACCTGTCTTTCAAGGAGCAACAGCAAGAGCTCGGCAAGAAGGTATGTTACTCGACCGAGCTTAGGGCATCACTGTGCAACGACGAGTAATTTGGTTAACGTTGAGCAGTGGAAGGCTTCACCAGAGAACCCCAAGAACAATGTCTAACCTCCCATGAGGTTGCTCACTGAATTTTACTTTCCTTGGTTGACTTCAGGTCACCTCTAGCAGTCATGTCTTTATGATGGGTCACTATGGGTTGGTGGCATGCGGGTGGAGTTCGGGATGATGGGCGGGAACAATCATGGCGCACAGGATTACAGTTACGATACGCTTTAAAGGCAATATGGAAAAAATCAACGCATCTCGTTATTACTCTATGTGCATCTATTGACTGCATTGTTCCTGCAGTTTTAGTGACGCAATATGTCTAGGCTAATTGCCGGACAGTCGTACAGAGCATGGTTCACAGCGTTAGCAGTTTCCAGAAGTCTACTCAGGTACACTACTGTACTAGTCGTTAGAACTGCTACGCATTGTCGTGTGCCGTCGAAGGTTGTGATTGCACAACTGCTTGTAAGCTCTTGGTAAGCTGGCGCTGGAAGCTGCCCCGCATCCCAGGTACCGAGAGCCCCTCCGACATCATCACCTCCACCTCTTGAACTCTCTGCCGGCGCCTGCAGCCCTGCGCTTTCCAGCTACTTGGCCTATGAGCTTTCTGGAATGGTCAGCGGCACTCTTTTAGGGTGGATCCGACGGAGGTCTCTCGCGTTAAGCTTCGCGGGTCCTTCCCATTTGTCAATGTTACGGCTAACTGCGACTGAACTCTCCTTTGAATAGCTTCAAGAGCTTTGTTTTGTTCTACACTTTGAGCACATCAGTATCGCTCTTACTTTGTGCCTCGATTGCTCTTCGTGTCTCTATACGCCCCTACTACCTGGCCGTCCCGTTGCACGTAATGGCATCTTCCAAGAGCGCAGATGCCTCCACGGTTCCCGTCCTCAAGGACCTCACCATCGAAAACATCACCGAGAATGTACACCGAATAAATTCGCAATGCAGCGACCCGCGCCTCAAGTACGTCATGGAACGTCTGGTCTCGCACCTGCACGACTTCGCGCGCGAGACGCGATTGAGCTTCGATGAATGGATGGCAGGCATTCAGTTCCTCACGCAAGTTGGGCAGATATGTACCGACGTGCGACAGGTATGCTCTCCATCTAGTCTTGTATCTAGAAGATAAAAAATACCGACTTATTTTAGGAATTCATTCTCCTTTCAGACATAGTCGGTCTCTCCCTCCTCGTAGACTCCATCGACCACCCAAAACCTCCCTCTTCAACTGAAGGCACAGTCCTTGGCCCCTTCCACACGCATGACGCGCCATCCGACTCAAACGGCACCTCAATCTCGGCCGATCCCGACGGTGAGGCCCTACTCGTCCTCTGTACTGTCAAGACCACAACCAGCGAACCTGTGCCAGACGTCAAGGTAGATGTGTGGGAGACAGACTCCCATGGCAAATACGACGTGCAGTATGAGAATAGAGGCGATAAAGCAGACGGCCGTGCGGTCATAAGGAGTGACAAAGATGGTGTGTTTTGGTTCAAGGGTATTGTACCTGTGCCATACCCAATTCCTAATGACGGACCTGTCGGCAAATTGCTTGAGAAACTGGGAAGGCATTGCTGGAGACCGAGTCATATGCACTTCATGTTCGAGAAGGAGGGCTTCGATAATCTGGTTACGTGAGTTTTCTTGCTACCCTTTTTTATTATATCCGTGCTGATCGTTGTGCAGGGCATTATATGTCCGTGGTTCTGACTATGAGACATCTGATGCCGTCTTTGGCGTCAAGGAGTCTCTCATCGTCAGCTTGGGTACTGTGACAGCCGAGCAGGCCAAGAAATATGATGCCAAAGAGGGGTCAAAACTTCTCAAGTACGACTTCGTACTCGTCACAGACGAGGAGACGAAGCAGTTGCGACACGACGAAGCGGCCAAGGCGATGAAGATGTTAGGAAGAGAGGGCATGATGATAATCAACGGACTACCTGTTCCAGAGGTCGACTAGTCTGTGAATCGATATTGCATATTTAATATATACTACGATATATCACCATTTAAATCGGTCTGTGAAAGTGTTGAGTATCATAATCAAGGGGGAGTTGATTCAAGAACAAATAAGAACAGACTTGGACAAGCCCTGATGATTTGAGCCAGAGAAAATGTAGCCAGAAATAGTGGCACCAGCCACCTTATGCAAATGCCTTGAAAGGAAAAGAAGAGAAAAGATTCATATCATACACCAACACGCATCCTCCTTTTAGCTGGTAACTCTCCTCACCCACAACGCACTCCCATTGGAGTTTGGATCATCCCTCTCCCTCTTCTTCCACGCGCGATGAAGTTTAAGCCCAATGTCATGCTCCTCGGCGCGAATCTCATCCAACTCTTCTTGAAACGCCTTCTTCCTCTCTTCCGCCACCCTGGCCTTTTTGAAGTCAGTGACTAGCGGGTTAGTCGGCGCAGCGTTGTTCAAGTCCTTTAGTAGGCGGTACACATTGTTACGACGGATACGCAGGTCTTCTTGTTGCGATTCCAGGTAGGCAATGTGGTCGATGGCGCTGAGAGCGCTAGGGGGATGTGGCAGTGCCTTTTTGGACGAGTTGGAGAAGGTGGATGAGGCGTAAGGGGAAGTTGGGTTACGGGCATAGACTTTGGGCATGCTGGGCGCGTTGGCACTATCTGCTGATGGTACTGGGCGGCGGCGATTTAGGATTGACGAGGCGGCTGATATGGGTTCTGTCACGACGCGCTTCGCAATCGGTGGTGAGGGTGGTGGTGAGTGTTGGGCGGTCGTCGCGCTGTTGTAGGTAGTCCACGAAAATCGGCTGATGGGCGCTTGCTTGTCCTTGTCCGAAGGCGGGGTCGTATTCCGTAAGCTGGGGTATAGCGTCTGTTCTACTGGTGTCACAGTGGCTGGTGACTGGTTCATCTGTGTGCGGGTGGTTGGAGTAATAGGGCTCGGATACGAAGTCGTAATCCCTAAGCCTTGAGGTGAGGTGGGAGTATTCTTTCCTACTTTGAGCGGGGCAATCGGCTTAATGCTGTCATTGTAGCGCATATCGTTGTCGCGCGGATCCTTGGGCGCCATTTCAGTTGTTACGTATTGAGTATCAGGCAGTTTGGTATCGAAGATGATGGCAGCTGCAAGCGCGTTTGACACCTCCTGGTCTGTGCTCGGTGAGACTGTCTTTCGTGGTATCTGTAGTGGTTTGTCTGCAGGTTGGTATTTCAGCGGAGGTGCGATCTCTGATCGTCCCGTAGCTCGGCTCCACGGCTCCACGGGCGGTGGTGAACGCTTCGACCCGAAGCGGCCAACACGCTCGCCGAAACTTGTGTTCTTTTTCTGAGGCCCACTGACTGAAACCTGATACCCCATAGGCCTGTCTGACGATGCCACGCCTTTCGCATAAGAGACTGGATCAACTGACGCGGCCTTTCCTGCACTATTGGGCTCGCCTGAATACTCGTCCCATTTCACTTTGGAATTTGGTGCAAGCTTGCCTTCCCAAAACTTCTGCTTTGGTCCTGACTCTGCGTCGCCATTTCTAAGCACGGATGGCGCTCTGCGTAGAACAGGAATGTGGCTACCCGCGCGGGTGTTGTCTTCGAGTTTCTTGCGGTCTTCGTCCATGGGTGATACGTCGCGCATGGAGCGGAATCTTCGAGGTAGAAAAGAGGAGGAGTGCTGTTCTGGCTCAGGAGAGCTAGGAGGCGATATGTCGTCGTAAGCGGAGGGAGATGTGGCTGTGGGATTGTCGTTGTTGTAGCAGAGTGTGTCTTGTGAGTAAATAGACGAGGCTGTTGGTACTTCTGACGATCTATAGTGGGGAGGCTCGTGAGGAGCTGATAAACTGCCAGGCAATCAGCGGTGACGCAGGAAATGAGGATTCGAGTACTTACTGGGACAGCGGAGGGAGCGCATAATTCTGGTGACTGCCATTTTGGAGGTCGGTCACTTTGGGATTGCGATTCAGTTGATCCTCGTCATAAGTGGTTTCAAGAAGTACAGGATTGCCTATTCGTGCATGCCTCTCCTTATCCTTATCCCGGACGGCACCCTGCAATCGTTTCCACATTATTAAGGATTCTGCATGAAACAAAGATTAGCCCGAATCGATAGAAGTACAAGTATACATGAGCATCACGAAGTAGGCAAAGCGACATTCTCAGCGGCTGAGGGCTACTTATTGCGACGGAGCCTCTCCTATTCCCAGCAGTCTTCAGAGCACATTGCATGATTGTTGGGTGCTTTTTGAAACCCGTCGACATCGCGAGACTTGGCAAGGTCCTAGATCTGGTGGAGGCAGCTGTCGGTGCGGGCGATAGGCGAGAAACATGGTCCGTCGATCAGAGAGGTGTGGGCGGCCAATACCATAGAATACACGTACAGCAAGGCAGATGGGACGTGCGATGTCCTCCAATACTGTTGGCGAGTATGAGGAAGGCGAGAGTACCGACTCTTGCTAGGCCATATACAATTCTTGTCTCGAGGAACACAATCTGGAAAACGAGCACGAGAGGATGCCGATGGCCGATGTCGACAACGCAAGTACCAAGTGCAAAAGAGCTGGCGACAAGATAAGGAATATACGTACAGGATATTATGCGTAAAGCGGGTTTGTTGAAGAAGTGGTTGATTGTTGATAGTTGATGTTGACGCTCAGATTAAACAAAGAAACAGCATGTATGTAGGTTCAAGCCTCGGATCCTTCGTCACGGGCGGATGCGAAGGCGTAATTTTGGTAAATGAAGGAGGGCGATCAAGTCGACGTCGAGATGTAAATGGTGTCAGCTCACTCTGAGAAGACCAGCACAAGACAACCAAGTAGGAACTGCGCCTCGACCAAAGCGCCAGCGGCACGATATCGCACCGGTGCCGCAAGTCTTTGTCTTCAAGCAGCGGTTCGACGGCAGCGAATTGCTCTCTGACGATTGTTTGGATAGGCTCAAGGCGACAAGTGCAGCCTAGGCGAATCAGCGGGTCCCAAGGCGGCGGAAATGAATCGCTGTCGCGCGTTTCAGGGCCTTGTTTCAAAAGGTGAGGCGCAGGGATGGGATGGGTGGAGCGGCGCGAAGCTCGTGTTTGCGCGCAGGTAGGCGCGTGCTTGGGGTTTGTAAAGTGGAGGTGAAGATGTCGTCAAAGTATCTTAAGATTACATGGCGACTCTCCGGTGAAAGAGAGACTGGCCGGGTGGTTGCGCAAAGTGGCTATGTCTCACGCGCGCCTCAGCTGTGATAACATGTGCAATACCCCTTTCACGGCCCGCTGGCAATCCGAATGAATCCATCGCTTGCACGGCTGGATTTGAACGTCCGGAACATGTGCCATGCAGGTTCGTGATAGTTTGCGGCGGACGTCCGTCGTCTTTGGGCATACATGTCTGGTTAGTGCTGAGCATTTGGGGTTGCATCATGGCCTGCAACTAAGCTCCCCGCGCCGTTGAAACTCTACCATCCACCACGACAGCACCGTCGACTGTCACCCACGTAGCATATCTACAACGTCGCGTTTCCACCATGGCGGATGGTTAGTTCTGAATTGTGCGCGTGCATCGGGTCAAGCTAATGGCAACAGCACTTCCTTCACCTCTTCCGGAGCCATCGGCAACCCACGCGTAAGCAGCAATACAAGCTACCCAGCAAGCACTCGACTCGACTCACAGAACCGCAGCGCCTCCGTCTTCACCCCGATAAACCTCATCCTCCTCTCCCTCTTCGGCCTTCTTGTCTATCTCCGGCTCAAACCAGCCGCCCCGCAAACCCTCCCACGCGCCCCGCCGCCAACCGTCTTCCGCACCTTCACCCCGCCCTCGCTCTTCCCCTACAATGGCTTGAACAACATGCCTGTCTATCTCGCGGTTCGTGGCCGTGTCTTTGACGTCACATCCGGCCGCAACTTCTATGGCCCGGGTGGCCCCTATGCAAACTTCGCTGGCCGCGATGCGTCGAGAGGCCTGGCCTGCGGTAGTTTCGATGAGGACATGCTGACCAAGGATCTGGACGGACCGCTCGACACTCTGGAGAATCTGGATGCTGAGCAGCTGGATGCCTTGAGGGGTTGGGAAGAGCGATTCGAGGAAAAGTACCTTGTTGTGGGAAAGTTGGTGCCTGTAGGCCATCCAGAAGCCGAGGACGCTAAAGCATAAACGTGCCAACAGCGAGGTTGCGTCGGATACACCATGGCTCGAACGAGGAAGCAGAAAGGCCTGACAGAGCCGAGGAACAAGTGCAGGAGCTGGTAAGACTGGGACAACGATATCTACTACAAATCTGTCCTGCGTTAGACAGCTGCAGACGTAGCATCGAGACAGGATATCATGTAAGTGTAAGCATTGAAGAAACTGCTCAAGACTGCGACATCATTGTGAAATGATAACATGGCATGGCTACGTTCCAGTGTCCCTGGGCTGCGGGTTCAGGATTGTCTGCTGAGACAGTCAATTTCACAACTAGTCCAATTTCAAGCAAACGTGCAAGACTGCATCGTTATGATCTGCCCCGTTGCTAGTACGCCATCTTAGCGTAACCGCTCCAATGCGGGGTTAGCTCTGATAGGCAACTAGATCCCACTTGTTCCAACAACTGATAGCATTGCCGAAGCGTTTGGAGCGTTTGAAGCGTTTGAAGCGTTTGAAGCGTCTACCACTTCGTGTCTTCTTTCTTCCATGTCATTATGACTTGTCGATCCGACGTCCTGCGTGCGTGACATATACATTGACATTGAACATAACTTATATACGGCTGTCCTGCGTGATACATCTGAATAGTCATCTAAGTTACCATGGACGAATTTGACATGATCAACAGACCGCTGGCATGGACGCTCCTGTTACTAGGAGCAATCGCCTATGCCTACTCCAAAAGAGCTCACTTGCAGAATAACATCTGTGTATGTTCTTCTGTCCACTGATCTTCCACATCAGCACTCTGACGCAACTTCTAAACTAGCGATTAAGACTTCCATTGTTGTCAACACCGGCCAAGCAGAAAGCCGAACACGTATGCTCGGAATCCGCATACGATGATATCACTCCTTTCTCAAACTTCAGCCTGGATACGGAACAGCCCCTCAAGCTCCGCCCTTTCAAACCAAAATACCATATGACAATGGGTAAAGTCTTTACCACCACGTACCAAGAGCATGAGTATGCACTAACAGCGACACTGCAACAGCACTCGAAAATACTACCCTGAATGATCTAATTGCAATGGATAACACTTATCGTGAACGGTTACAAATCCGTTCGCGACTCATCGAAAAGGAACGTTACGAAGTCCTTGCATGTAACTCAGAAGCCGTCCCCGCCGTCCTAGAACTGTACGAATGGCTTACAAGAACATACCTGCCTCTTCGCTTTTCAAGTCTATACTCCATCACAGAGTCGGGAAAGCATCTGCGCAACCATGTCACAGATAGCCTGATCCCACTACACATGACTAACGGCGAAGAAGCTCTGGAAATCCTAGGCTCCAATATCGACACGGAGTTCTTACTACTCACCCCTTCCCCCTCCCCTCTCACCTCCGAACCACTCGATGGTTCGTCGTTCGGTACCACTACGCAGACCAAATACTTGCTAACGGCCTTTATAAACTGCTTTCCGAGCGGATTCAACACACGTTCCAAGCTCAATCAACTTCTCGCTGCGATACATGCTCCTGTCCCCGGCTATGCCGCCAAGCTAGAAAAGAGCATGGATCGCTTCTTTGCCAATCTACCCATGGGCAAGATCGTCAAGCGGAGTAATTGGAGTATCAGTACAAATGGAGAGTTGTTCTGCTTGAAAGGGAACCACATGAGTGAGGAGGATTTGGCTCGGAAGCAAAAGAACGAGGTGGAGGAGGAAATTGATTTGGACAAGACCGTGGTGAGATGTGAGAGACAGACATTGCATCGTTTGCCAAAGACCGGGGCGCTAGTATTTGCTTTCAAGGTAATTTTGGATAGTTTGGAGGGCTTCAGATGGAGTTTCTTCTCTCTTGACAGTCCGCTGACAACAGCTAGACGTATCAGTATCCGTTGCGCGAATTGAGAGATGAAGGGAGCGGAGAGGTGCTTGCGGAGGCTATTGATGGTTTGGGCCTTGGCAGTGCACCCGGCATGACAATCTACAAGCGTCAAATCATCTGGGGTGATAAAGTAAAGGCTTTCTTAAAGGGGGAGATTGATGCCTGAATTATAGCATGCTTGTGTCGCAAGTTGATGACTGAATCGTTTGTGGTGCATGATCTTGAAGTCGTCTAAACCCTAAAATTGTACATGTGAAGACGTACTTCGATGTTCCACACATCTGTTGCTAACTATGTCATATGGCTCAGTGAGCCGGACAATAAGTGCTTACTCTCCGATCCGATTAATACCGTGGCTGCATCCCAACAATTTTTGGCCTGGGAGCTAAAAGAGGACATACTTGGAAGCTGATTGTGGACAGCGTCGCAAGGCTGGCGCCAGATTCCACGCCAAAGAAGGCGCTCTCCACTCACTTCAAGAACCAGGTTCCTCTGCTGTTGTTTTCTATAGCTAACGTCCCTGATTCCACAAACCAGTTTGATGAATGCCTGGTAACCAGTTATGTTGATTTCCCATAATCAGGATCTCAAACGGATGCCCGGGCGCCTCCCTCGAAAACGGCCCCTCACTTCATACTGAAAGCAGAGAAGCAGAACAACGCCGAAAGTCAATAAAACTGCAACGCTAAAAATCCATTTTGCAGTGCTTACCGACGAACACCAGGCGTACCAACTGGGGCACTACGCTTCATCATGGGCGGCTTGACGACAGCAGATTTTGTGGTCGTGGTAGTCTTGGGCGCGGGATTCTTGTTAGCAAAGAACTTGTGTGCAAGAGCTTCCTTCGGTGATATGCGCTTCTCGACGTTCATGTGTAGGCTTGCACTCAACAGATCCGCTAGATCGTTTAACTCGCTGACAGTTGGCCCTCCACTAGATATGTTTCGGGCGGCGTCGTGGACTCTAGTCTTCATGTCGCGACTGATCCTTTTCTGCTGTTCGATCTTGCGAACAGAGAGCTGTGAAAAAATTAGCTCCATCTCTCAAATGAATAACGAGAGCGTACCTTGTTGTATTGGTCAACTTCACGGCTGATGAATTTCAGTGGGGGTCCCAGCTCAAAGTTCTCAAGAATGTTGTTGACGAGGCCTTTCTTGAGCAGTTTCTCGCTCGGCCATCCCAAGCAGTCCATGAAGGATTTGATCATCTGGTTGTTCGATCGTCCAGTGAAAAGTATTTTGCCAGTCCATAACTCATATACGGTGCAACCTACAGCCCACATGTCTACAGGATAGCCAACGTCCATACCGAGTATAATCTCAGGTGCGCGGTAGAACCGACTGACGAGGTACTCGGTGCGCTCGATAACGTCTCGTTTGTCGACCGCGGTACCAAAATCGGCAAGCTTTATGGTCTTCTTGTCAGCAGAGACCAAGACGTTGTCTGGCTTCAGATCGAGGTGAATGACCTGACAATTTTGCAAGTGTTGGAGACCAAGGAACATCTGACGCGCATAGATACGCACAGCTGGAAGCGTAAGACCGTGGCCGTTAGTTTCTTCCTTGAGTAAGTCCCGCAAGTTCTTCGACATGTGCTCAAACACAATACACAAATGACCCTTGTGGTCGAACGACCCCAGCAAGCGGATGATGTGGCGCTTGTCTTGTGGATCTGCCTCGTTGACTTTGCGCAAGAAGTCCATTTCCTTCTGACTGGCCCTTCTCATCAAGTCGTTCCTGCGGATCATCTTGATAGCGACAATTCTCGAATTCGTGTCGCCGTTGTCAGTGTTGATCTCCTCAGCTTGTGCGACGTTAGCGAAAACACCACGCCCAAGACCCTTGATCATGCGATAACGTCCACCATCCACCAGCTCGTTGCTGATTAGCTTGTAGTAGCCTTCGGGGTCGTCCCAATTATCGAGCATTTTCTCGTCAAGTACAGTGCCTTTCGCAGCGACAACGTCCTCAGTCTCAACATCTTCCTCATCTTCGTCGTCAGAAGCGAACATGTCGAATTCCTTTTTTTGTTTTTTGACAGGCGCTACCTTCTCAGCTGGAAGGGTAGAAAGGGCTTTCGGATCGGTTTCGCGGTACGCATCCGAGGACATTTCTGGGTTCTGGTTCTTCTTCGCCGCTCGATCACGGTCATCCAACATGTCCTGCAGGGGGTCATAGTCCGCTGCTGATGGACTCGCTGCGGCAGGACTGTTACCGGCACTGATCCCACCCTGCTTATCGATTATCATGACGTTCGGAGAGGCGGGTACAGAGTCGAGGTCGCCATTGCGAGGCGATGCGAACGGTGATATGGGGCTGTCTGCGTAGGCTGCTGGGGAAGCAACATTGGGCGTCGTCGCTTCGGACGCGTTAGTAAGGACAGCCTGCTGGAGAAGGTTTTCTTTCGACTTCTTTTGCTCAGCAGCTGCGCGTATAGCAGCCCATCGTCGACGCTTCTCTTCGCGTGATTCTTGGGTGGGGACTTTCTCTTCGGCAGGAGCTGGGGTGTAATCAGTAGTATCGTCGACGGACGTCCTGTTGCAGAGTCAGCTCTTAGATGGGGTTGATTGGGGGCCGGTCCACTTACATCTCAACATCTCCGGCCACGCTTGCCTGTTTTGCTTGAGAATTGGAATCTTCGGACGGTGTCTGTCTGCTCTGTTGCTGCGTCTGGCGAGTCTTCTCACGCTGTTTGTCACCGTGACGCGAGTTCTGAGGTCGCTTGTCGGTCGGCAGAGACTCTCGGAAGTCTGGGACAGGATTCGGGTTCTCGACCTCGGCGTATGATATAGGCTTTGCATGCGATCGATCTGGTACGTCCTTCTGCTCCTTCACAAAACTGGTCTGGTGAGGTCCCGGAGCTCGTCGAGAATCACCGTGTCTGCTATGATCAGCATGGTATCGCTTGTCAGGGCGACTGCGCGGCGGAGAGGCCTTGCGCTTGTAGCCCCTTGAATCATTCCCAGCTTGATCAGCTCGGCTTCGTCGGTAAGGCGATGGCGATCGGTCGACGGCGCGGCTTCTCCGATATGGCGACGGAGATCGTGACGGTGTGCGCTTGCGGCGGTATGGCGAAGGAGATCGACTCAAGGCGCGGTAGTTATCATAAGCACCATCCAGTCCAAAGGACCTGTTTGAGCCGTTAATCGCAGGTTCGTTGCGCGAGTTGACTGTGTTTGCCTTGTGTCGGGTATCCAAGACCTCGCCCTCTGACGCAGAGCTTGAGCGAGACTTTGTCATGTTGACTCTTGTTGTGGTGCTGTGCGACGCTATCTTGCTTTAGAGAAGGGATCCTGGGCGTCAGCTTGCTTCTTGTTGATGACAAGATTGAGTGTCTCTATCACTGACTGTGTAGCAGAGAAGAAGAGACAGGCGCGATCACACCGATGTAGTTAGCAGGAACGCGCTGGTGATGAGGGAATTCGTCGTGGTCTTGTCGCGGTTGGCTTCGCGATACAGCGGGGAAAGTGCAAATGGTGTCAGAGCTTTTGTTATTACCTAAGCGTCTCACGTGATTGTGCTGTGCGTATCCAATATCAAAACTTCGGCTACTTCCACACCAGCATTGATGTGTTCCAACATCACTGGAGTAAACTAGGAAGGGCTTTCGAGCAGAAGCAACCTAAAGCCCATACGAGCTGCTTCGACGCTGCCCGCCAAGTCCCTACCTACCTACCTATTCCAGCACACAGCCATGGTCCTATGCTGAGCTGTATGCAAATACAATAGCTGAACAGAACCGCTAGAATGCACGCGCACAGTGAGCTCCGTGGAAGTTGGCCAGAAATCTATCCCGCGCGGAGAATCGTTCATTCGATGTGACGAAGAGGTCGAATCATACTTGCCTCATTGTGTGGACTCGAGACTGTTGCAAATCGTATGCATCCTAAGCCGGCATCTGATGGGAGACTCGCCGATTAAAAGAGCGCTTGTACCTCGCCGTCCGTTTTCTGCGACTTCCGTCGTGCAAGAGGCAAGATCTGTTTGGTCGAACCCTTATGATTAATGCTAATATCCATAACCAGAGATCATGACTCTCTAGTCCGGATCTGCGCAGAAGAAACTGGTGCGTCTTGAGTTGATTGTGTCACGCCTCGGGCTCAACGGTACCTAGCTGGGCCTGGAACTGATTGCATCGGCGACATCCCCCCGAAGGCACACCCATCCTCGCATCGATGTCTACCGAGGCTCTGCGACCCTTGATCGCATGTATGAGGCTAAGCACTTGGTTGTTTGCGCCTCCCTCCGTCTAGCTTCACGCACTCGAAGATCTTCCGCATCCAAGATTCGCGAGCCGATCCATGTAACAGTAACATGTCGGCTATGGGCCAGCAAGGCAGTGCAATGCTGAGGCATGTCAATCTTCGCATATCCGCGGAAATATGTCAAATATGATCACCGTCAACAGTTCAGATGCTTGCTACACTTGCCTCATAATCGTCTAAGCGACTGGGCGCAACATGCCCCTTGGGTAGAGGCGCAGCAGAATACGAAGCACTTCCACAATTTGGGCGTATTGGTATCAAAAGCACGGTCCATGTTATGTTGCGGCGGTGAGCAATGGGCTCTGGAGCCTGTTGGCGAACTACGAAATCGTACTATTTCCCATTGAAACACGGGCCATACGTTTGGCAGTCATAGGAAACACATCGTACACTTGCTCCCCCGGAACTAGGAGATACAGGTGGATGTTCGACAGTGTAGCGCGATAGGGAAGCTCAGGTAAAATAAACTTCGCACTACATCAAAGCGAAGGATAAGACTCGTGCAATATGCAGGAGATAATATCTAGGAGAGCCTATTCTTCACAAGAGGCGGAACGGGTGCGTCGAATGAGACCCTATCCGAAGGGTACCTCTTCTGGTGGCTTTGCTAGCCACGTTTTCAAACATTCCTTTGTGCTAACGACCTATGTTTGTCACCGAAGATCTTCGGTGGTTGGATGACCCTGTGACTGAGCTAGACAAGCAGCCGAACCAATTATACTTGGCGGAGTCGATCCCGCAGCCGCTGACGTGCTGAGAGTACGAAACGGTAGGGACCCTGATATGGCGTGTGCCAGACTGCCGGGACAAGATAGAGAACCGACAGCAGGGGACTATGAGAAAATCAGGTCTGGACCTCGATCTATATCCTCCGCACATTCGTCTTCTACGCCTCTTCGACGCTTGTAAACCAAGCTTTTCGGTTTTACGGCGCATACGCAGTCGTGTATCCCAAGTTGACGAACGATCCCTCGATACTATACGTCATCAATCGGGCAAAGCCGGCCGCACCAGAGGGGGTACCATGGCACACCTAACAATGAAGTTTGTCTTGAACTCCTGATCTTCAATCTATGCCAAGGTGATTCTTCGGTTCCAAGCCTCTACGTCAATAGTGCATAGCAAGAGGTGAACGTCGGAGGCGCACAATCCTTGAAGACTGTAGCAAGTGAGATAACCGTGCAGCTTAGGACGTACGCCTCCATTCGCACATAAATTCAAACATTACCAAATCTTGAAGATCCTTGGCCAGGGTCTCATAGTAATCTAATGAGCGGTATGTCATCGAATGGATAGCATTTTACCTCAATCTTAGTTATCCTCCTGAGACGTCTGAGATATCAAGGCGCGCGAGATCTAGCGCAGGTCCGTAAGTAGCAGCAAACTCTGCAATTTTAGGGTGCCTATTCGCGTATTCATAGCCCAAGGTTACAAACGGAATGTGGAGGAGCAAATCTCGGTGTGAAGGTCGGCTTCGCCAGGTTACATCCAAAATGGTAGGCGCATCCGTTTTCTTTTTTGAGGAGAGCAGAATATCTGCCCAGGCAGAATACGGCATTTGGACCCCAACCAAAACCACGTCGACGACAACGACGACCACGACCACCAAGACGCGTGAACATGAAATAGAAGCATCACAAATCTACATTGACCTAGTAATCTCAATTCCGGCTTCTGCTCTTCGAGGCGTGAAGCACGTGGTTGTATCTAGTACGGATGAATGCTCGGTGAGATGGCGTTACCTAGGTCATAGATGCGGTCGGAAGTCCAATCACACATGGCTAGAGCAATGTGCTAGAGAAGCGTTGGCGAAGACTTCCCCGTACCTGGGTCTTCTGGCCAGAAGCTAGACGAAAAGCCTCGTGTTCCGTCCTAGGGTACAAATGCCCTCTTGGGCCAAGTTTGGGCCGACTTCAAATAATTGCTTGATGACATTTGAAAAAGTGTCAGGAACAAGCTTGATGAAGGGGCACTACAATAGTATCAAGACAGACGGCGTCCTCTAAAGGTTGACAAAGACAATGGTGTCGGTAGTTTCAGACTCGACGCTATATCACTATGTAGTCTGGTCAAGGTGTATTCGAGTATCCAGCCTTGGTAAAGTGAAGATCTCGGGTAGTGTTTTCTTATGTAGATACTGAGTGGGGGCGCAGTCGAAGAAGCATATACCTGCCGAGTCGATTACTTCGCTCTACGAGAGTAATCTATCCGTTTCTGATACAACGTGGAAAGAATAAGCGCGTCGACATGACTTTCTCTACAATGCGCATGGCGTGGCTCGTTGGTGGCGCTATGCACTCTAATGCGCGTGCGGGAAGAGTGTTCCTGCCCAGCTGCGTGACTATTGACCCTGGTGGTAGCCGCTTGGCTGTGTTGGTCTTAACCTCCGGGCGTCCTGAGGGTCTCACACGAAGCGGACATTGGCAAACTTAAAAACTACGTCACACACGACTATGCTTAATGGTCTAAACACACTGCATTTTTCTCAAGGCGGATCCTGGCCAGGCGCTTCGACGCGGCAACACATCCAGCAAGCTTTGAAGGCTATCGGTCCGATTAGATATTACCACTCCGGCTTGGGTCAAGAGGAGTGTGCTGCATAGATTCTACGTGTCCCTAGCGAAATACCAGCAAGCGTCCATGTTAGATTGAGATCATACAGCATGCTAAGCCATGGAGGCCTGGAACTTCGTTGGAAGTTGATTCGAGGACGATCTGCCGCACGTCACTGCACCAGTGAGCATGCAAAGTGATGATCGGCAGGCGTGATCTAACCGTACCTATGTTTACACCAAGAAAAAGGGTCCGATTCCACATACCAACCTTGATCGTGCATACGGCGCATTGAGAGGCAACTGGCGCAGAGCAAACTACTCTCACGATCGCGACTTGTACGAAACGAAAGGACGATGACATAGGATCATGGGGTCACCTACCCGCGTTCGGTTTCGCATGCCTTTGCCAGCATCTCGTAGGAGCGGCCGTTCTAGCCTAGTCCAACAGTGCCGTCCGCTAACCCGATTTCCCCGCGGTCGTCGCTGTGTGGTGCGCTAAAACACTAGATCCAGCTGCATCCGAAAGCTGGTGTTTAGATGGGCGACGCTTTTGAAACTTCGTCCCAGCTCTATGTGCGTGTCAGCAGTTCCGCATAGGAGTTCGCCGGGCACTAATGAACCTCAGGCTCAGTGCTCTAGTAGAGGATATACAAAGTTAATGCCCGATATGCATTGCGGATCTTTCATGTGAATTTTGCAGAAGCAAATCCTTCCCTCCACCACCTTACTCCGACATAGCTCCTTTTGTTGATAACTCCGCCCTGAGATATGCTCGCATTCATGCCGGCACAATCATCGAATTCGTCTCCGGGTACGTCGGCAGTATGACCAGCTCTTGATCCCCCACTAATATACACCTCAGGATTGAACTACTGGTATGGCAGTGGCAGCTTGCCTGACACCTTAGAAGGACTTCCGCAAGGTAGCGCAAATCCCCGCTTAATGCGTCGTGCCTCGGAGGCTGTTGGACAAGCTCAAGGGATCCAAATGTGAGTATGTCAGTTTTTGCAGAATATCCCCACCATCATATACACGACAGCAATCGATTCCCTTCTCTGGACCGGTTAGGATACATCTCGCGCCCACCTGGCGCCCTACCACGATTCGTCAAAATACTCAACCAACGCCCGGAGCGTGACAGATGGCCTTTCAGTACGACGAGCGATGGCGTTTCCTCAGGCCTGCGGACGGCTCCAGTCCACATCATCGACCACAAAGACAGAGCATGTATCGAAGTACCGGTACGATCCGGATATGCCAAGAAATATACGGGAATCGTGAGAGATTGTCCAAGAAGTAGTCTTCCCAGGAAAGGATCGGCATTTCGTCTTACGTCCGCCCGTGGCTGTGCGTTTCGGCAAGTTCTACTGGCGACGGAGAATAAGTCCTCCATTCAGAGTCTCCTGATTATCATGGCGGTAATTTGAGAGACCTGCCCGTTGCGGCGTCAGGATGACCCGTGCATTGCTACCCATCCAAGGGTTTCTTCGGCACTGCTCTCCGGGTTGCCAGATTTGGGCTGCGGGCGCGGGGTCCAAAGCACCATCGAAGGCGCGCATATCGATGCGTGTTTACGCAACAAGATGCGCAGACCGAATGCGCAACCACCAGGATGCATCCAGACCTGAAACTGCAATTTCAGAACTTCGACCTGGATTTCGCTAACAATTCATTAGCCAGGAGCCCTCTGAATGGGACGAAAGTCAAGTGCCCCTCCACCTCGATACCAACCAAACGAATCTAGTGATTCGTCCACTGGCAGCGTCCGCCGCTGCAAATCACAAAGCCCCGCTGGCACCCAAGCAGGGACTTGGGGGCGCCCTTGCAAACGCTCGAGGACAGCACCAGTCTCCGATTGCTGGTACCTATGCGTTACGAACCCCTCGCGGCAAGATCACATCTATAGCATGTGAGAGTTGCAGAAAACGCAAATCCAAGGTACATATCCACTTCATCTATGTTAGGATGAGTAGACTAACATGTGGTTCAGTGTGATGGTGTGAGGCCCAAGTGCAACACCTGTCAATCAAAAAACCTCACCTGTGTCTACGATGTGGCAGAAGATGGTAAAACAACAACTCAACTGAGGGCTCACGTCAGGCGACTGGCCAAGGAATTGGACGATATGAAGTCCGTTGTGTCGCTGCTGGCAATGGCACCGGATCGCGCGTCGGCAGCGAATTGGGCGTCCGAGCTTGAGAAGAATGGATTTGCACATCATTCAGCCGAAGAAGTCAAGAAGGCGCTTTCGGTAGGTATGTTTCCGGCTACGGCTGGGATGCCGCTGAGCGAGAAGCAGGAGTCTTTGGGTCCGACACCAGCACTCCCAGATGCCGATTCGTTCGGGACTCCAAACAGCAGCGAGCCGTTTACTGGCCATACGCATCCTATGGGGGGCTCATCTTACGGCAGTTCTTCTCGAGAAGAAAGGTGAGAATGATCAGTCAAGATGTCTACAAACGACAGCTGACAGTACTTACGCAGAGAACAAAGCCAGTCCTCACTGGCTTATTCGCATGACAATGCCGTTGATGTTGCCGTGCCCACGAACCCATCCCCACTCAGCCTCGAGGCTGCAGCGAACGCCTTGAACAAGTTCGGGTTCGATTGTGCGTTTTACCGGAGGACGAAACGAGATCTACTTGCGAATGGGTGGAGTGAGGTACAGATATTTGGAAGGTCTGAGATCGATGTGGACACTCTTTTACTGGGTTTCCTGGATCCGCAGGATGCGCAGCCAGTCTCGACATGGTGTTCCAGAACAGTAAATAAGCTGCTTCCGGCGTCTCCTCTTCCTGTTAGACTGGCGTCCACATGGCTTTTGACCAAACTGATGCGGGTAAGTCCATCGTTCCCGTGGCGCCGAGTCGTAGCTAATGCATCTACAGTATCTCATTTGGCCAAGTGTCGAGAATATGAATGCCAATCCGGAATGGTTGATGCCACCAGTAGGGAAGCAGGAGACATCTCCATATGATTTGCTCATTGATCTGGTTCCTTGGTATGTTTCCAGACTCTTTCTTTGATGAAGGCTTCCTACTAACAGTTCTACAGGCCTCAACTTCGCCAGCTACTATATCAACATCCCCAGGAATATCCAGTTGCCCATATTGTCGGCCTCATCGGTGTTACGTGGCCATATGCGGACGATGCGTGCCATTACTGGGATATTGAATCAGGGTACACCCGCATGACGCCGCTATTTGAGAGTACCATCGCCGATTTGAGCAACTGGACAGTCGACCCAAAGGTTCTTGAGATTATGCCTCAACTAGAGGGGCACATTCCAGTAAAGCCGGTAGCATAATATTGTCGTAGAGTTTCGGGCCGTTCGGGTTGCAATTCCGGAGTTTGGTTCAATGTGGGGATTTCTCGGCAAGACCTGTTTTCGCATTTTGTGGTCATGATCGGTGTGTCTATCGTTTAGTTTTGGGCATTGGTCATCTAACGGGGCGGCTGTCAGTGAAAACCGCATTTGAGGGATCAGTTTCAATGATCGACGATCCTAGAGTAAGTTCTGGGTACAATAATTGACGGAGGTAAAAGGACAACAAAATAAAAATGTAACATACCTCAATACTTGTAAGAAAGTGCAAGCTTGGCTGAAAAGAACCAGACGCGTTCTAGGCAGCGCGAGGCTATTCATATAACAGTCGTTCAAGTCCGCGGAAACAATCCAGCCCCGAACTCCACTACCAGCTTTCAGCTATGTGGCTCTCGTAGCTCTACCGTATCCACTTTGATGATTGTGATGCCAAGGCCAGACCGGATGAATCGTACCGGTGCGGCGATCGGTGGAACGTCTCGACTCTTCACAAAAGCGATCCCGCTAAGAACTTCACCATGGCCAATGATAATCATGATCGAGAACCGACTCGAGTCGTTCGATGTTTTTGGTTGGATAAATTCTAACGCTCGCGGTTGCAGCGCATATCTCGATCTCGCAACTGGCTTTGAGTCAATCTACATCCTCAAGACGATGATACTATCCGTACCTGAGAACGACATATCTTGGTTGCAGCATTGCACCTTGCTGATCCCGGTAATCTAGAGGGCACGCGTGGGGACTTCGGCTTCTGCCGTGGTTAAATGACCCACTCGCGACAGATAGTTCTTTCGGGTAGGCATCAGGAAGAGGTCCATCCTTTGGTCGGTAAGGGCTTCCAGGGTGTTGTTGTATGAGCTGAGCAGGTGCATCAGTCAGGGAGCGACAGCTCTGGCCTTTTTGTGAAGTTTGCTCTCCGCGGAAGCCGCAATGGCCCGGCCAAGTATCTTCCCGCCCTTATATCCTGACATTGCAACCATTGTCCCACTATGTTCTAGCTTCGACGAACCAGTCTCTCGGAATCTAGTTATCCTCAGATGCATTTCTACAGATTTCCGTTGCAACATACCATCCCTACTGTAGAGCTGAAACCGCTCGGTAAACAAAGTGGTGTCGAACCAACTGCCAAGCATACAAATGGAGGCCACGTATTTGGAAGTACCTCGCTACCTCTTTTTCGAGGTTTTGTCCACTCCACATGGGGAGGCTGCACGCACACGCGAAACGCTGCCTCTGAGAGGGGTGTAGCGGTTTGAGTATTTCGATACCGAACTCCATATCCGGACTAGTGTGCCTTATGAATGCTAGATGCTTGAGCCACAACCAGATTTTGATCACTCCGCCTGCCAATGAGCATGCGGCGCTCCCGCACCGAGGATCATCCAGCTTTAACGCGGTGGAGGATATCTTTTCAGGCTGACGTACATGCAACCACGAGAAGAGCGGAAATCAAGCGATACCTACCTATGGTGTCAATCGGTAGAGGAGCCGGTGGACAAATTCATATGAACATCTGCATGGAACCTTGGAAACGTCAAAAATAATTCACAATCGCATGTGCTTGCTTATTGCCAACATGCGCAAATCAAATCCCATCTCGCGATACCATCTCCACACCATACGTCAAGTACACTCTATCCTGGTTGTCACGAATAAGATATTCGCGCAAGGGAAGGCATGGTTCCGATTGGCTCCAATTCAGCGTGATTACAATCACCACCACCACCTCCACCAACTATGCGATTATCTGGATTCGGACCGAATATCCCATCAAGCACACGTCGGCCGTCATTTCCGGCACCCCTGTCATGCAAACGGTTGACGTGATCAGATCGCTATGCGTTGGCCACAGCGTCGGCATGTTGGAAAACGCATGGTCTACTGAATGCGTGAGCGAAGAATCATCAACATCCTATTTAATTATCCTATAGCTCAAGTTGCTACCTGGCCTCTTGCACTCTTCATTAAATATGAATCCTGTAAGTGATACGTTTGCAACGGCTCTGATATTACAAAATATGCGGACTGGTTCCGCATTAGACATTACTCATGCCTGGGTCAAACAAAAACTGGGTATCGTGTTATGTCGCATAAGCAAGCTGACAAGTTGAAGCATTCAGCATACCAGTGAATGGTCGAGAGCAGGGAAGATGATCTCGGGATCCGCCAAAAGAACATCTCACCTCAGAAGAGATCTTCAGCCATCAAGACGCTGTGTCCAGTTCCTCCACTAACAAAATGTCCACAACTTGCTCGATTACACCGAAGTAGCTCTGTGCCCTTGTCGCCGACCAAGTCAGCTATCCCCGTGATCCATCCACTCCGTCCAGCCGTCTTAATGTCGTAAGTAATCTTACTGTCTATATGGCCGATATGGCCTCCGATAATCTTGTTCACTCTCACTTCGCCCTCGGGGTCAAAGACGCGAATGACCATGGTCGCATTCTTCCTAGCAGCAAGGATACGCGACTGTGCTACGAGACGCGATCGCATCGGCGTAAGGACGACTTCTGTAGGACTTGGATCGAACATCGTAGAGCCGACTACAGAATCTACACGTGATGCCGACGTCGCCCTGTAGGTAAAGGATCCATGCATTTTGGGTGATAATGTAGCAGGCTCTTCTAGCATAATGGAAAATCCGTCTGAAGTGGAGATACGTGACGCAGTCGCAAATTTGGACGTATCGGATGGAAGAAGTGCTGTTGCGAGAGGCTTACAGAGCGATTGGATGACGCCTTGGGGATCGTGAGGTATGCGAATGCGACGGAGCGATGGGAAGGCGTGTGCCTGGATACCTGCCGCAAGCAGAGACGTCGCGAGGCAAGCGATTGGTTCGAGATTCGTGAAAGGGAATGGTCGCGATTCTGGCAGTTCAATGGACGAAGGCGAAATGAACGAAGGCAGAGAAGAAGCCTCAGAGCATAACTCCCAGTGGATAAACCGAAGCGACGGCGATCGAAAACTAGGCTCCGAGCTTCGACACAGTAAGGTGGGGGCGCTTGTTTGAACAAGTGAGAATTCTGTTAGACTTGCAAGGTGTGGAGACAGTATGTCTGCTATGGTGAGAACACTTTCAATGTCCAAGTCTATGAGTGCCAGCTTCTGGATGGACATTGCCTGCTGAGAGATAGCGAAGCGTTGTATGCTCTTTTCCGTTATGCCGGGGAGATTCTCAAGGCGCAGAGACTCTAGATTAGACGGTATAGCGTTCAGGGCCATGCTGGCGAACGAATTCGCCGCCAGTCCAGATACCACAAGATGACGCATGTAGGGAGAGTTTCGAAAAGTCCCAACAATAGCTCGGAAATTTAGGCTTATCAAAGACCGGCCCTGCTCTTGATGCAATACCAAAGTAGATAGCGCGGAATGGATAGAGCTGAGTTCAAGGAAGCGTTCGGTTGGGTCGCATTCGGCAACATATATGCCTCCTAGCCTCTCTTCATCATCGTCTACTCCCGTCTCCATATCTGTATCGGCCAATATCAACACCCGCTCCTTGAGATTTGGTCTTGTTGACAGCGCATGTGACAACCGATCAAATGCCTGCGAGGAGTGGACGTGAAACCCTACCAGGCGTTCTAAGCGTGGACAGGCCAAAACCAAAGAAGCTACCAGGTTCGCAATCTCTTCTCGCTCGATGGTTGCATTTTGATAGAGCGACTGGAAGTCAAGCATGTGTAGTTCTCGTACACGTCGAGCTAATCCTGAGTTGGCGCGAAGCGTCCTCCGTAGTAGTTTAAGTCTACTTGTGCCTTTGATCCTGAGCTTCGGGAGCCCAGTGTGTTCTTCATTAGCAAGTACTAGGGCTCTGTAGTACATGGTTGTACTTGCAGCCTTTTCCCATGCACGACTCGTCAAGGAAAGGCTGTGAAGGTCTCGTAAATAGCATGATGAACAAGCTTGGTCGCGGTCTTGATAGATATTTTCAAGTTGCGCAACTATGCAGTTGTATACCTCTTTAGGGAGGTTCTTGAAGACTTGCGCAGGAAATCGATATTGGGGTCTTGAGCGTCGTTGTGTTGAGTTCCACTTGGCTCGTTCGAGTTCCCATGGGGTTTTAGTCAGGCGTGGCACATCCCAAGCATCATATGCTACGGTTTGATATGTGCGCAGAATTGAACTTTCAGTATGGAATGAAGGACCCGCTGGTCGTGTAACCGCCCTTGGAACTGGCACTGATTTGGATGATGTAGAGGTCCGATTGGTGGATTCATTGATGGATCTTGGTCGAGACGGCTCGGATCTAATGATGGTTAGTAAGTTGATATAATACCATGTTAGTGATGAACGGCCTGTAGTGTTTCAACATAGTACCATGAAAACACTTCAGGTATCACAGTGGTCTCGCCCTGTTGCCTCCACATTGCATGTTTTAGGGATAAATGGCGTTGCTCGAGCAAACTTACACATCGGTTGGATGCCTCTCCTCCTTATCTTTCCGAGATCTTGATAGGCGAAACATGATGCGATGTCCTGATCAAAACGACGCCGCAGCTACTGAGGACTGAAAAAGAAATGAGCGTAAGTGTCGAGTGTACGGTATCTGGTGTGGTGTCGCATCGGTTGAACCATGAACAGTTTACCCAAGCGCGTGTAAGACGGACCGCAATGTTTCAGCTCTGGGAACACTCATATATTTCCCACACCCCACTTGGATATCGCTCCGCACGGGCATCAACCGAGCATAATGCCGTTAACAAATCATGAACTACCCTGCTCTTAAAGCTGAACGCCGGCATGTTAAATCTGCAGCGGACGAGATCAGCGGCTCAATCAGAAAAATGCATGTACGCCACGAGCGTGTCATGGCGACAACACTAAGGTTCGACAGGTCGATTCCTTCGGCTGTTTTTGGAGATTACGAATCCTGAGCTGGATTGGCAAGGGCTTAGCGCCACCGAAAGCGCGGATATGGGGAATGACAGATTGCGGGACCAGGAACGAGAAGTCTTTTCTTGGTCGTTATTGTTGTGCTATGGTTGTGCAACCTTATGACGGACTTCTACAGCGCACACTCTCAAGAAGTCATACAGATAATACTTTTCCCAAGCGCTGAGCAGGTATGGTTGTTGTCTTGAGCCTGAGGCAAACCTTGATGTATTTATGGTGTGGAAGGCTGGAAGAACTGTGAAAAGGTCGAATGAGATCCCGGAGCCATCACGGCCCTAGTTGGCGATCCAATCTCTGATCTTCGAATTCCTTTCGCCAATCGAAAGCACGGACATTGCGAAACACTAGGGGCCTACCCCAAGCAACTGCATGCGTCCGCTGTTGTGGAGGGCCGAACATTAGCCTTTTGTCGGTTCTTCTGGCAAGATATTCAGCGATAGCAGAATCGTGTACGATACGATGCTAGCACAATTTCTCGCTGGTTTTTGTGGATTGCCAGAGTCATTCCTGCGTTGATGTTTCTATGACGTCCGTGCTATGGAAGGATCAATACCCGCTTCCTTCGAAATTTCGACAGCCCTTCTGGTCGGATCCGACATTGTTTCGTTCGCATAACTGAGCAATATATCTGCGTACAATGGGACCCTTGTCCCTGGTGCCATTCCTGATATCAGCCCGTCACAGCTGCAGACAGGTACCCGTATGGTGACACTTCGTATAAGCACTCACGCTCGCTTTATCACAGAAAGTGGGGGTTCACGCATCCAGGGGGCAGCCGTGTCGACATCATCGCGCGGGTGAACAGGATCCGGCATTGATACGCGATAGGATTCACGAAACCTAAGTGCTTCCTTGAGCTACCGCCAAAAGTTAAAATTGCCCTATGCAGTAGGCGTTGAATGCAGCACTAAAATGTCGTGAGTGTTTAGCGTTTGAATCCTTGCCGAAGTAGTTCTTTAGCACGGAAACTTGTAAGCTCCGAGCATGCCGAAACTGTTTTAATGGGGCAGCCGGTGCGGTGGCTTGAGCGCTACTTTGTGGCACAGTTAGTGAGACCAGTTTAGCAGGCACGAAATGCAAGGCCACATGGACGAATTGTCTCGGTTGAATTACAACCGGAGAAGGTTTTGCGCAAGGTCCCAAGTCATCAGACACCTCCCATGATCTCATCTCTTTTGGCTGGACCGCGTTATGTCGTAGACCTTTGTGCATAGGAAGGAGTTGTCCCTTGTGAACAATGCAGTAGGTGTATTGCAAGACGTCATCATCTCATCAGACAGTCGTGCGATTGGTGTGATACCGGATAAGTTTTCCGAGATGAAACAAAGCTATTAATCTTGAGGAGGTGGAGAAAACTGTCACATCAAGCTACGAATCCTAGAAGAACCCAAAGCATCTGCCCACGTTGTTGCAAATTCTGTTGTTGACTATTATCCAATTACTAGTTGGAACAGAACGGCGAGAAGGTCAAATGCACAAATGCACACGTTGTTCTGTAGTTTTCGACAAAAAGCAAAATTTGAATTCATGTCTAACAACGTGACTGGGTGAGCAAATGTATCGCTCAGGTATATTACATTACGCTATAACGATCGTTCTTCATATATCATCCCCCTGGATATCATCTACGCGACAGCCCTTGTACAGTATGCTGGGCTTACAAGAAGTAAACAGCAGCGGCACCGAAAAGCGCACCCATGCCAATGGCACCGGTTTGCCTAGGGGCTGCGTTCTCACCGGCACTGGTGGCAGCAGAGTTGGTGGGGTCAGCAGCCTCGGTAGCCTCCTGGTTGATGCTGGTAGTAGGAGTGGGCTGACCACTGGTGTACGGGACGTCGGAAACAGATGAGGCTCCCTCGAACGCAGGCTCACCCTCGTCGGAAGTAGAGTCAGCAACGGTAGCGTTGGAGGGGTTCAAGACTTCATCGATGACGTGAACGACACCGTTGGCAATAAGAATATCGGAGGCGACAACACGAGCGTTGTTCACAAAGATGCCGCCGTCACCGATGGTGATGGTAAGGTCCTCGCCGTTGGCAGTAGTGAGAGTAGTGCCATTCTCAAGAGTCGATGAGTAGCCAATACCGCCTTGTGTGACAACGTGGTAAGTAAGAATGCCGGTAATGTCCTCGGTGCTGAGGTTGCTAAGCGCAGATCCAATGTTCTGGAGAGCCTCGTTGTTGGGGGCGAAAATAGTGATGTCGGGAGTGTCGTTGACGGTGTCGAACAGATTGGTCGCATTGATGGCTCCACGGAGGGAAGAGAGTCCAGCAGCGGAAAGTGTGTCGGCAGTGTTCTCGGGGATAGCCAACACAGTGTCAATGATGTGAATCACACCACCAGTAAAGTTTACATCCTGAAACTATTAGCGGTCGAAATGGGGAGGTAGAGAGAGGATCACATACCGCTGTTGTGACAGTAGAGTTAGTCAAGAGACCACTGTAGAATACTACATTGTCACCGCTGGTTACACCCTCGACAACCTGACCTCCAGTGACGTTGGTGAAAAGAGGGTTGGTCAGCGCGGTAGGGACGAAAGCGCTCGTGTTGGTGATGGCGCTGGAAGGGAATGTGCCATTGAGCACGTGGTATTGCAAAAGGGCAGTGAGAAGCCCTTCGTTAGAGGTAAGTCCCGAAAGTGTCTCATTGTCAATTTTTCCAAAAGCAGAGTTGGAGGGGGCGAGAATAGTGATGTTGGTGAGACCAGCCAATGTCTCCAATACGCCCGCAGGAATGACCGACTGAAGAGTTGAAAGCTCATCCGTGGAGTTCAACGCAGCTGCAAGGTCCGGAACGGTCTCATTTTGAGCCAGCGCGAAGCTCGCAAGGGCAAGTATGGAGAGATGCTTGAACATGATGATGAGAGTTCAAGCTGACGTTACTACGTGATCGATGCTGGGATGGAACGAAAGAAGGTAGTATGAGGTGGATGATTTCCAGATGCTTCACTACCAGAGGGGAAGTTGGGTAATAAGTACTATGGCACCCATGCACATAGCCACAGACGATTTGTCCCGCCAGGTATCAAGTAGGGTTGGCATTGCTCTTCCAAGCACATCTCGAACCAAACGCCACCGGCCAGTTCTGTCCGGAACCCATGTTGACCAATAAGGGGTCTATTCGTAGCACGGTCGTCCAGGGCGAAGCTTGTAGCTCTCAGCGTTGCCCAGTGACAACTGGAAAGAGTTTGCCAAGTGATCGCGCAAGTGGAGCTATGACACAGCTGAAGCTGTAGATGCGACCAATGTATCGTGATCGAATTTGGCTAGCATTCTCCGCATGCATCTCATGTGGCATGGCATGGCATGCCGGCATTGGGGCTGTTGATCACCCATGGATATTTGTTTCTGAAGTATATCCAGCTCTTGCTCTTTGATCTCCTGCCAACGGTGTCATCTGTAGTGGCAGATTCTCTTGGTAGTGCTTGAGGCTTCCTGGCCAGAATCTATAGTTTGTCTGTCAGAGTTCAATTGACAAGGTCAGCGTTGTCTGAACCCAGGACACAGGGCTGAAGTGAAGTACAACAAGCACCTGCGCCGGTCGATCCGACAATGTGTGGGGTAAGCAGCACTAGTACCTTGGCAGACGACACCATCACCCAATCGAGCTCGTCTCGAAGGTCTTGGGCGTTTACCTAAACTCCGTCTCTTGGGCACATACGATGCGTGCATCGAACATTGCTGCAGAAGATCGAGCTGGAGCGATGTGGCTGATGGAGCATTGCGCGTCTTTTTCGACACAGCCTTGGATGTTGTCTTGTCTATCCGCCACTGTCGGAATATTAGGGCTGGTACCGATAGAATAGTCGCATCCTCTAACAAGCATCACGCGTGAACAGTATGACTTGTCCCGCCTACACGACGTTCAAGACTGAAGCCAAGAAGCTGTTGTGTTCCAAGGTTTCACTAAGAATATTCACAATGGTATATGACGACATCACCCACGAAAGTGCTTACTTGCTCGTTGCTTGAATTTTCCATCTAGCTACTAGAAAACCATTTCTAATCAACCCGACATTAACCCGACTGTATCAACAACAACAAAGAGATCACGGCAGCTTTTCGCCGGCCATCCTGCTCCAAGCCCGAAACATGTATTTTACCCGAACACGGCAGACAACACTGCCACAAGCGCTCCAGGAACGCAACAGGCCAATGCCATCGCTCCTTCTTAAGCGACTCCGTACTCGTCTACACACACCCCTGTACCATTTGCCCTGAACATCGAGCACCAACAAGGCTGTCACTAGACTCAGGTACCCTTTCAGGTTTGTATAGTTCAGACCCTGCTCTGGTAGGTTGACTCGCATAAGCTTACGGCGCGGACCTCCGTACCACTTTTTCTAGGCATCGTGGACTGTGCTGCCAGGAAGCCTTACTTCGGGACAAGGCGATTTATAGAATTTTTCCAATTAGACCTGGTGTCTAGTGCAATATGTATGCCGACTGAGTTCTAGCGGTTGAGGCCTTTTTTCATGAATCGCGTGTGGGCTTTGTCAACATTACACTAATGTAGGATAATGCTCCGCTCTTCTTGAGCATCATGCCATAGCCTAAGCAATGGCGACTTCGC